GTTTAAAAGCGATCTTTGTGCAACCCCTTTTCAGTATACTACCACAGGCCATTCACCCGATGGCTATTTCATGGTCAAACACCGCTTTTCGGAAAATCAGCCGCGGTTAGAGAATTTTACACAAATGCATCCAAAGTGGCTATTATCAGTCGAGAGGAAGTTAGGGCATTCCACAGTCCCTTATTTCGAAAATCTACCTAAATTAGGAAATTCCCCAGAACTCGCTCTCCAACTGCTATTGTTAGCAGAGGGACGTGATCATAAACGTAACGAGGGTTTTATGGTCTCTCAAACGAAGTACCTAGACCTTGTACACCTGAACGTACTTAATGAAAATTCGTTAAATAATTTCATTTACCTGCAACACAATTGTGTTTTAAATCTTCACATTTCTGCCACTAAACTCTGCGTAGTTGTTGGCCGTTTAAATCTTAGTTCAAAAAGTTTAAATATGAATAGCCGGAAGTATAACGAAATTACTGATAAAAACCATCTTGAGGGCGAGGGCGTGTATGCGCTCATTGTCAGAGTTAAAGCCGTCCTGAATTCGCGCCTTTCGAAGCCTCTGTCCAGTGACCGCAATAATTTGGTCGCATTTATACCTGGCCAGTGCCTCTTTCGTCCAGCCATCAACTGGTCCCTCAGGAAAAGACCACGCCGTCGTTCCCATCAACAGGCCATCCCTTGGCACCTCATCCACGCTTACCATCAACACTTCTGGAAGTCGTGGTACCTCGAATATTTGACCACACTGAAAGGCAGGTTAGGGTGGCAAAGGCCATCTTCCAACGTTCCAGGAATGGCAAGATGGGTCCTCGTGAAGGAGGAGAAATTTCCGCGTCTACAGTGGCGGTTAGGACGCGGCCCTCCAACATCATTTTGGAAAGGAAGTGGTGGTGTGTGTAGTGTCGGTGAAGTGCAAAAGATAATTTCGCAATCGCATGCATTATCATTCTATTTAACCATATTGCATACATCTTGTCAATTTGTTATATACATCTCATTGTTGATTTATTTTACTATGTTCTATGTATTCATATTTGTACCATTGTTATATTCATTCGCCATATTATTTACTCGTCGTATTATTCATTGATTTGGTACATTATAATTGTTGTAAATTTATTTTTAGGTATATTGTAAATAATGTGTATTCGCTGATATTGTACCAATGTAATTTGTCTTAGATATCTTTTTTTTAAAGTTTAATGCATTTCTTCAGGTTCATTGCTTTCTGTAACAATGTCCACCCAATTCATGTAATTTCATCTGTATTTAACATTACTAAATCATGTTTTCATTCTAATGTTCTATATAGTTTATTTTTGGTCTTAAAACAATGTAATTGTTTCAAGGCGGGGGGTATGTTAGAGCCTCTGGCGGGGACCTGTTTCACCCCTCCCCACCCGTAAGGGTGGGAGCCAGAGCCACCCCCACCTTGGAACACAGGGTAGCATTCATTCTTAATTCTTAACTCATACATACACATTCAATTCAATTCTCAATTCGTAACCACCAGTCATCTCTCTCGACCGCACGGTCACATAATATTCTATCCTTATCATTCTTATTTATCCTAACACTTGTCACTAGCAATATATATTTATCTTACTGTTCGCTGGTCTTATTCATTTATACAAACTTCGACAACAGTTTTATGATTTTGTGATTTTTCAATTTTTCGATTTTTTTAGTTACGCGATTTTTAATTTTCCATTACATATTTGTTTCTTCAATTTTTTGATCTTACAATTTTTCAGGTTTTCATTTAAAATTTTTCTATTTTTCAATTTTTCACGTGTTCAGTATTTTCAATTGACAATTTTTAGATTTTACAATTTCTCATTTTTTTCTTTCTGTGTTATAATTTTGTAAATTTTCAAAATTTAGATTTTTCAGTTCCTCGATTTTTAATGTTTAAATTTTACTATTTTTCAAGTTTTCAATTTTTAAATTTACAATTTTTCGAATTTCCAACTTTTAATTTTTCCGTTTTTCGATTTTTCAGTTTTATATATTTTTTAATATTCCATGTTTGGATTTTTCATTTTCTCGATTTTTCAGTTTTTCGATTTTCAGTTTTTCCTTGGATTTCAAGTTTTAGCGTTTCCAACGTTACAACTTTTAGATTTTTCCGGTTCTAGAGTATTATTTATTAAATTTTTCACGTCAATTTTTTAATTTAAAATTTTTCAGTTTTTCGTTTTTTCAAATTTTAGAGTTTCTAAGTTTTTGTTTAAATCTTTAGATTTTTTGAATTTTTCAGTTTCTGGATTTTTAATTTTTCAGTTTTTCCAGTTTTCGATTTGCAGTGCCTTCGATTCCAGTTTTCGGGTTTTCAGTTTTACAATTTTTCGAATTTTTAATTTTCATGCGTTTGTAATTTTTCGATTCTTCAGTTTTTAGGTTTTCAATTTTTCGATCGAGAAATTGAAAAATCGAAAATCTTTTTGATTTTTCGAGTTTTTAACTTCAAATTTTCACGTTTTCATTATTTAAATTTCTCGACTCCCAAGTTTTTCAATTTTTCGGTATTATAATTTTTCATTTTTGGATTTTTCAGTTTCTCAATTTTTATTTTTTGGGTTTTTTTCAATTTTTCGTTTCCTCAGTTTTTCAAGTTCTTGATTTTTATTCTGCATTTTTCGGATTTTTTTATTTCAATTTTCTCAATTTTATATCATAATTTTTCGTTTTTCATTTCCTTTATTTTTTCAGCGTTTCTTTCGATTTTATAATTTTTTATTTATTCAGTTTTTCATATTTTCAATCTTTGATTTTTCAATTGCTTAACTTTCCTATTTTAAAATTTTTCAAATTTAGAATTTTTGGATTTCCAATTATCCAATTTTCCGATTCCCTTAATTTTCAATATGTCCATTTTACAATACAAATTAAGTTTTTTCCATTTTACACTTTCTCGATATTTGAGTTTTTCAATTATTAATCTTTCGATTTTTGAATTTTTGAGTTTTCAAGGTTTCCATTTAATACTTTTTCGTTTTTTCATTTTTGATTTTTCAATTTTACAATTTTTCAATTTTTCTGTTTTTTTTGTTCCAAAAGTTTAAAATCGAAAGACTAAAAAGTCGTAAAAAATTGACAAACCGAAAAACTGAAAAAACGAAAAATTGCTAAATCGAAAACATGGAAAATCGAAAAACTGAAGAAACGAAAAGTTGAAACATTGAAAAACTATAATCGGGAGGCTTAAAAATAGAAAAATTGAAAAGTCTAAAACTGTAATATTGGAAGATCGAAAAATTAAAAAATTAAATATGAAGAAATTTAAAAATTAATATCGAAAAATTAAAAACAACAATAAAAAAACTAATGAATGAAAAATTTTAAAATCAAATAATCTAAAATATCTAGAAAAATTCTAAAATCGTAAAATTGAAAAAATGAACAAATTTAAATCTAAAATTGACAAAACGAAAAATTAAAAAATCTGAAAGTTGAAAAGTCGTAAAATTGTAAATCGAAAAACTGTAAAATCCGAAAATTGAAAAATTTCACAATGGAAAAAAGAAAACTTATAGAATCAGAACATTGAAAAATCGAAAAGTTAGAGAAATGAAAAATTGAAAAATTAAAAATTGAAATCTTGTAAAATTTCAAATCGAAAAATTGCAAAATCTAAAAATTGAAACATCCAAAAGTTAGTAAATCGAAAAACTGAAAAATGTAAAAATGAAAACGAAAACTCTATCGTAAAACGAAAGAAAACACAAAGAAATGAAACATCGAAAAAACAAAAATTTATAACATTGGTACATTGAAACATCAAAAAATTGTAAAAATAAATCAAATAAAAAACCGAAACGAATCGAAAATTTGGAGAAAAGAAAATTGAAAAATGGAAAAATTCTAAAATCGAAATATTTTAAAAATTGTTATTACATATTTAAAATGAAAATTAGAAAAATTGAAAATAAAAAATTGAAGAAACGAAAAATTGAAAAATCATGAAACTGAAAAATTTTAAATTGAAAAACCAAAATTTTAATAATCTAAAAGTTGAAAACTTGGAACATCGAAAAATTGAAGAAATGAAAAATTGAAATATTGAAAAACTAAAATCGAGAATCAAAAAAAAATAAATCGGAAAATTGGATAGAAGAAAAAACAAATCGAATCGAAAAATTGGAAAACCCAAAAATTGAAAAGTCGAAAAACTTTAAGATTGAAAGATCGAAAAATTGAAAAATTAAAATCGAAAAATTAAAAACAGAAGAATTAAGAAATCGATTGAATGAAAAAATTTGAAGATCCAATAATTGAAAATCAGAAAAATTTTAAAATCGTAAAATTGAAAAAATGAAAAATGAGTACCTAAGAGAAAAAATTTAAAAGTTGAGAATTGAAAAATTTCACATTGGAAAAAAGAAAACTTATCAAATCAGAACATTGAAAAGTCAAAAAATTGGAAAGGTGAAAAATTAAAATCTTGTACAATTTCAAATCGAGAAATTGTAAAAATAAAGCAAATAAAAAACCGAGAAAAATTGAAGAATTGAAAAATAGAAAAATTTTAAAATCATAAAATTGAAAAAGTGAATTAATTTAAAAATTATTACATTTTTAAAATGAAAACTAAAAAATTGAAGAAACGAAAAATTGAAATATGAAAATGAAAAATCTAAAATTGGAAAACGAAAAATTAAAAAATTAGAAACTACAAGAAACAATTTCATTGAAAAAATTGAAATCCAAAAAATTATAAAACCGGAACATTGAAAAATCGAAAATTTGAAGAAATTAAAAATTAAAGAATCTAAAAATTGAAAAAACGAAAAACTGAAAAAATAAAATTACAAAAACAAAAAATCATAAAATCGAATATGTACATAGTTAAAAACAAAAAACGCGTTATGTTAAAAATTTGTGACTTCCATACATATATGTATGTATAAAAATGTAGAAAGATAATTTTTTCATTGCCTCTTTGGTTTTGCTTTTTTAAAAATCATGGGCTAATCTTCACCTAAAAATTGCAGGTATTCATGAAGAACGGCCTCGACCACTTCACCGACATGATGCCGGCCCTCCACAACTACATCACGATCGACACGGTGGCCTTCCTCAGCAACGAACAGCGCCTCCTCGCCATCTACAACATGTGCAAGGAGGTCCTCAACAACGACTGCGGCGAGGACGCCGAATCGCACGCCGCCAAGCTGCTCGAGGTCATCCTGCTGCAATGCCAGAACAAGGTGGACCAAGCGGCGCCGCTGCTGATCGAACTGGCGGCCTCGCGGCTACTGCGCGAAGTGAAAACCAGCGAGTTGCGCACGATGTGCCTGCAAGTGCTGATCGCGGCTCTCTACTATAACCCCGTGTTGTTGTTTTCCGTGCTGGAGAAGATGCCCAATTTCACGGAGAACTTCATCAAGCAGTGGCTACACGATACGGATTGTTTTCTGGGGATACACGACAGGAAATTGTGCGTTTTAGGGCTGTGCACTTTGATAACGATGGATAATAAACCGAATTGTTTGGTAGAGATGGTGCCTCGCGTGATACCTTCGTTGATTTTGCTCTTTGACGGCCTGAAGAGGGCTTACGCGGCCAAGGCGCAAGAGCAGGCGGAGGAGGAGGAGAGCGACAGTTCGGATGGGGAGATTGAAGGAGGTAGGGATTTTTTGTTTTCTTCAACAAATATTATTTTTTTAAATTATGTTGGCAACGCCTAAGCATTCCTTGTTCGTTTTGACAGTTATAGCCAAAAACTGTCACAGTGTCACACAGCCAATTTTATTTTAAAATTGATATTCATGACCTAGACAACTTTTTTTTCGACAATATTTTGGTACTACGGGATTCTAATAAACACAAAAATTATCTCAATTTTGTTCTTGACACCTACGCCTGCTCAGGGATCTGCTATTCTCATATTATTTTACCTCTAGTAACTAGTAATAGTGAATTGACAAATTCGAACATAAAAGGAAAACGTTGTTTAACAAATTATGCAAAACTTATTCAAGAGTATTAAAAATTGGATTCGATTTTTTTTTAGTAAATTAACTTTTAAAATTTTATTTAGTTTTTCGATGATTCGATGATTTCGCTCCAGAAATAATGCATTAAATTATTTCATTAACGCTCAATGAAAGTAATGTTTTCGAATTTTCACTTTTAGGAAATGTACTTTTTCGTTTTTTCAAGTTTTCGTGTTGAATTTTTCAGTTTTTCGTTTCTTCGATTTTGGAAGTCTTCGTTTCTTCAATTTTTAGTGTTTTCGTTTTTTGATTTCTCAGTTTTTAATCTTCGATTTTTTAATTTGCCATTTCTTCAGTTTTTCGATTCCAAGTTTTGAGTTTTCCATTTTACAATGTTATGAATTTGGGATTTTCCAATTTTTAGATTTAGTCTCTCGATTTTTCAATTTTAAATTTTCACGTCTTCGTTGTTTACATTGTTAAATTTTTCAAATTTTCTGTCTTCTATTTTTCAATTTCTCAATGTTGAATTCTTCAGTTTTTCGTTTTATCGATTTTTCATTTTTGTAATTTTTCAAGTTTTCCATATAAAATTTTTTGATTTTGTAATTTTTAGATTTTTGAAGTCCTCGTTTTTTCAGCTTTTAGAGTTTTCGTTCTGATTTTCGAAATTTTCATTTTTCGATTTTTTAATTTGTCAGTTCTTCAGTTTTTCGCTTCCAAATTTCGAGTTTTCCTTTTACAGTTTTATGATTTTGTGATTTTCCACTTTTTAGATTTTCAATGTGTGGATTTTTAATTTTTCAATTCTTCGTGTCTAGGTTTTCGATTTTTGATTTTACAATTTTTCGAGTTTCCAACTTTAATTTTTCAAGTTGTAACTTTTTAATTATTCAAATTTTCGTGTCTTCATTTTTTCCCAATGTTGAATTCTTCAATTTTCAAGTTTTCGGTATAAAATTTCTCGATTTTGTAATTTTTCAATTTATGAAGTCCTCATTTCTTCAACTTCTCTCGATTTTTATTCTTCGATTTTTTAATTTGTCATTTCTTCAGTTTTTAGATTTTCACTCCCTCGATTTCTAATTGTTCGATTTTTCATTTCTTCGATTTTTCAAATGTTCGTGTCTTCAGTTTTTCAGTTTCTCGATGTTGAATTCTTCAATTTTTCGTCACTTCAATTTTTGAGTTTTTTAATTTTTCAAGTTTTCGCTATAAAATTTTTCGATGTGGTAATTTTTCAAAATTTTTATTTTTCGGTTTCTCCATTTTTTTTCTTCGTTTCTTTAATTTGTCATTTCTTCAGTTTTTAGATTTTACAATTTTTCAGGTTTTCGTGTTAAAATTTTCTATTTTTCAACTTTATTTTTTCAAATTTTCGATATAAACTATCGATTTTGTAATTTTTCGAAATTTTCATTTTTCGATTTTTGAAGTCCTCGTTTCTTCAGCTTTTCGAGTTTTCGTTTTTCGGTTTCTCAGTTTTTATTCTTCGATTTTTTAATTTGTCATTTCTTCAGTTTTTCAATAATTCTTCCTTTGGTTAGTTTTTCGATTTTATAATTTTTTCAGTTTTACAATTTTTCAAGTTCGATATAAAATTTCTCGATTTTGAAATTTTTCGAAATTTTCATTTTTCGATATTTTAATTTGTCATTTCTTCAGTTTTTCGCTTCCAAATTTCGAGTTTTCCTTTTACAGTTTTATGATTTTGTGATTTTCCAAATTTTAGATTTTCAATCTCTGGGTTTTTAATTTTTCAATACTTCATGTCTAGTTTTTCGATTTTACAATTTTTCAGGTTTTCAATTTGAAATTTTCTAATTTCAATTTTTCGAGTTTCCAACTTTTATTTTTCAAGTTTTCATTGTTTAAATTTTTCGACTTTTCAGCTTTTTAATTATTCAATTTTTCAATTTTTGAAGTCATCATTTCTTCAACTTTTATTAGAGTTCTCGATTTTTATTCTTCGATATTTTAATTTATCATTTCTTTAATTTTTCGTTTCTTCAATTTTTCATTGTTACTATTTTTCAGGTTTTCGGTTTTAAATTTCTATTTTTTAAATTTTCATGTCTTCAGTTTTTCAGTTTCGCGGATGTTGAATTCTTCAATTTTTCGTTTCTTCGATTTTTGAATTTTATAATTTTTCAAGTTTTCGATATAAAATTTTTTGATTTCGTAATTTTTCGACTTTTGAAGTCCTCGTTTCTTCAACTTTTGGAGTTTTCGTTTTTCGGTTTCTCGATTTTTTAATTTGTCAATTCTTCAGTTTTTCGAATTTATAAATTTTCATGTTTTCGGTTTTAAATTTTCTACTTTTCATTGTTTAATGTTTCGATTTTTCAACTTTTTATTTTTTCAAATTTTCCTATCTTCAATTTTTCAGTTTATAATTTTTCAAGTTTTCGATATAAAGTTTTCCGATTTTGTAATTTTTCGAAATTTTCATTTTTCGATTTTTGAAATCCTCGTTTCTACAAGAGTTTTCGTTTTTCGGTTTCCCGATTTTTATCCTTTGATTTTTTAATTTGTCATTTCTTGAATTTTTCGGTTCCAATTTTCGAGTTTTCCATTAAAAATTAAACATCGAGAAACTGAAAATCTAAAAATTAGAAAATTACAAAATCAAAAAATTATAAGATTTTGTAATTTTCCAATTTTTAGATTTTCAGTTTCTCGATTTTTAATTTTTCAATTTTTCGTTTCTTTAATATTTCCAATTTAATTTTTCACCTTAATTTTTCAATCCTTGATTTCTTTAGTTTTTTCAGGTTTTCAATTTTAAATTTTCTATTTTTCGCTTTGCAATTTTTCGAGTATGGAAATTTTCAAGTTTTTATTGTTTAAATTTTTCGATTTTTCAACTTTTTCGTTTTTCAAATTTTCGTATCTTCAGTTTGTCAGTTTTATAATTTTTCAGGATTTCGATACAAATTTTTCGGTTTCTCGATTTGTAATCCTCGATTTTTAATTTGTCATTTCGTCAGTTTTTCGATTCCAAATTTCGAGTTTTCCTTTTACATTTTTATAATTTTGTGATTTTACAAATTTTAGATTTTCAGTCTCTCGATTTTTAATTTTTCAATTCTTCATTTATTTAGTTTTTCGATTTTACAATTTTTCAGGTTTTCCATTTTAAATTTTCAATTTTCAGTTTCATGATTTTTCATTTTACAATTTTTCGAGTTTTCAACTTCAGATTTTCAAGTTTTCATCTTTTGATTTTTTCGATTTTTTAACTTTTTAATTTTTCAGTTTCTCAATGTTGAATTCTCCAATTTTTCGTTTCTTCCATTTTTGACTTTTATAAGTTTTCAAGTTTTCGATACAACATTTGATTTTGTGATTTTTCGAAATTTTCATTTTTCAATGTTTGAAGTTTCTTCAACTTTTAGAGTTTTTGTTTTTCGGTTTCTCGATTTTTATTTTTCCATTTTTTAATTTGTCATTTCTTCGGTTTTTCGATTTCTTGTTGCGAGGTTCCTATTTTATAACTTTTCAGTTTTTAGATTTTCAGTCCCTCGATTTTTATAATTTTTCAATTTTACAATTTTTCGAAATTTTCATTTCGATTTTGGAAGTCCTCGTTTCTTCAAGTTTTAAGAGTTTTCGCTTTTCGGTTTTTCGATTCCAAGTTTCGGGTTTTCCAGTTTTAATTTTTCAATTCTTCATTTCTTTAGTTTTTCTAATTTATAATTTTTCAAATTTTCAACTTTTTAATTTTTCAAATTTTCATGTCTTCAATTTTTCAATTTCTCAATGTTGAATTCTTCAGTTTTTCGTTTCTTGACTTTTCAGTTTTGTAATTTATCAAGTTTTTGATATAAAATTTTCCGAAATTTTCATTTTTCGATTTTTGAAGTCGTCGTTTCTTCAACTTGAGTTTTCGGTTTCCCGATTTTTTCGATTTCAATCTTCAAGTTTTCCATTTAAGAATTTTATCATTTTTCAATTTTCAATTTAAAAATTTCAATTTTTAATTTAAAAATTTTTCAGGTTTTCGCTTTTATATTTTCTATTTTTCAAATTTTCGTGAATTCGATTTTCAGTTTTTTATAATTTTTCAAGTTTTCGATATAAAATTTTTCGATTTCATGTTTCGAGTTTTCTATTTTACAATTTTATGATTTTTCAATTTTTAGATTTTCATTCCCTCGATTTCTAGTTTTTTCTATTCTTAACGTTTATTTTTCTTCTTTTTAGTGACATTTCCAGGAGAACCAAGATATAAATCTGAATTTAAATTCAGAATATTATGGACGTTTTATAGTAAAATTTTATTATTTCTCTTGAAGATATTTATCATTTTGTTTTGATTGTAATGTGTCAATTTTGGACTTTGAAATGGGAATGGGACACAGAAATGGAGTAACACAAAATGTATATTTGGTTGCATAATTTAACTTTTATTTTTTAATTTTTAAAGATCATTGAAAAAACATTGTAACTAACACGTTTGTTAATAGCCTTCATTAATCAACTCATTCGTTAAATAACTATTACATTATATGTAGCTACATTATTTATAATCATTTATTTAAATTTAAATTGACATATTTTCCCTGATTTCAGTCAATTTCAGTCACACTCCTTGATAAAGTAAAGCGCCACAAGATACATTAATGTTGAAAATAAAAAATATGAACTGTAAATATTCGAATAGATTATTTTAATGTTCTTTATGTTTATTTTACAGTTGCCAAGTTTTAGTTCATTTGAATGGAGAGGCTTAGAAATAGAAGCCGAATCTGTTATTACTTATTTTTGAAGAACGTAACGAACGATAAAAAGTTCTCTATTATTATTACTATTCAACGTGTCATTAAATGCAGCTTTTACTTAGCAAAGGTGTTTTTTGGTAATTAATTTAAAGTTTGTACCAAAATTGCACTTTTAATTTTAATTGTTAATAATAAAATTCTAATAAATAAAGAAGTGCGATGAAGAAACATAAATAAAGCAAAATAGTTGTTTAATTAGTTTCATTAGATATCCAACGAAAGAAAAATCAGGATTAAAAAAAAAACAGAAAAACCTTTTTGAATATTGAGTTTGATGTCATTGTCGGTTCAACTGTTTAAACTACAAATCCAAAATTTACAGGTTTGTTTGGTTACCAACGTAACATTGATTGGACTGTTCAGACCGACAAAAACACGTCATCAGTTTAGTATGTTTATTACAAAAGTAAGAATTTATTTATAATAACAATTACAGAACAGAATAACAGATAAATATGGGTATAATAAGATCACATTTTATATTTTTATAGTAAAATACACTATCTTCAATTGGCGATAATTTTCTGACGTTTCTATGAAGGCTTACGACTTTTCGAAAATGTACATAATCCTAAAAAACAATCTGTTAAAAGTTGACTTGTCGGGGATAAAGAAACAGCAACCTTTTTTATTATTTGAATTGAAATAAGCGAGGTCCAAACCAAATTCGATTTATTAGTTTGTCAATTACAAGCGTGGTTAGTAGTCAAACGATAGAAAGAGATAAATATAGTTTTTATTTCCGAGTAATAGTATTCTAAGCTGGCCATGTTGACGTGAGTTTAGACACATCTTAAACACTTTTTTATTTCTTCTCAGAAGTACTCAGTTCGGACGAAGACGAAATCGACGAACAAGGCCAAGAATACCTAGAGAATATTTCCAGACGGGCCTTATCAGCCGGCCAAACCGCCGGAATGGCCATCACAGGTACAATTAACGACATAGAGGACGATTCAGACGACGACGACTCGGATTTCGAACCAAACGAAGAAACCATGCTAGAAGCTTACACCACACCTTTAGACGAAGAAACTTGTCCAGTAGACGAATACGACGTATTTAAGGAAGTCATGACTCGTAAGTAGTTCAGTCCGCGGTCCGCTCACTCTCACGCCCGCTTTCCGTTTCAGGATTGGAGCGCGTCCAACCCGATTGGTACAACGCCCTCACGGCCAACTTAACCGAGCAACAAAAGAAGAATCTACTAGACATTTGTGTATTAGCAGACCAGAGAAAGGCAGCCAAAGAAAGTAAAAGGATCGAGCAGTCTGGAGGTAACGAAAACGTCGGTTGTGACAGGTGGTAAACGGGTTGTTTCAGGTTTCATGTTTACGCACCACGAAGTGCCCACATCGTTTAAGTTCGGAGCTCCGAAGCCGTCATGAGCGGAAGTGTCGGTTTGAAAATCCTACTATGACTGAGTGTAAAATTGACTGTTATGAGCAGTGAAGTGATTATTTGTACAGTTGGTAATCTTAATCTTTTTTAATTTTGATTAAGTGCCTTTTTATTACACGGATGTAAACAATTTGAATTAACTAATATAGATTTAAATGAAATCTGTTTATTTCCGATGTATTCTGTAATTTGTGTTAAGTCTGTGGACTGTGTTTGTCTCTTTTAGGTTAATTGATATTCTTTTCTCTCGATTAGGGAAACCAATGTAGTAAAATTACATTTCTATATACATATATGAGGTGTTAAGTTATTGCATTTTAATAAAGCATTGCTTCGATTTTTGTAGTTTTGTTGAAAAGTTGAAATTTTTCAACTTGTTTCAACACTTGGAAATTTAATTTTGTCTGCGTTTGCCGCTCCTCTTTATAGCAACCTTCACTAGACGTCATATGAGCGTTTCGTGCCAAAAACTGACGTCGAGCCTAATTATGATTCATATTTCGGTAAGGCGGAAAAGTCAACGCCCACTCCTACTTGTCTAAATTTTTTTATTACTTTTTTATAACGACGATTTGCATTTCTGATAATTTTTATTTGGAATAAAACTTTAAAAGCTGTCATTAAAAATTTATTGCTGTGTCAATGACACATCAAAAAATTTAAACAATTCTCTACTTGAAACACAATAAATAGGTGTTGATATGAAGTAAATTTACTGTGAAATGAAGTAGGTCGGGGCGATTGAACTTAAATTTAACTTTCTGCATAAAAACAAACGAAAATGAATAACAAGAAAATTTGTCGCAGATCTTTTGTGACGTCATCGCGACATGCGATCGATTCGAGATGTGGGGAGCAGAACTACGCGAAAAATCCTACAGAGCTGCAGTCGTAGATAATGTCATATACAACATTTTTTATATATTTTTTTAATAATAAGGTGAGGTGCAATATGATCGGAAAAAACTCCTCTAGTAGGCCATGAAATTTATTTTTAAAATAATGATGTTGCGAACAGTGTTTGTTAAATAAACTTAACTAGAAAAAATGTCATAATATTTTTAACGACGCGTTTTACTTTTGACAAATTGACACTAGATTTACCAGAATATTACAAGTTGCTTACTGTTTCCTTCACTTTAATTCAGGTCACACGAATTACAGTTCGTCGTCTGAGAACTTGTTTGATCTATAGACCAGAGCGGATTCAGGCCAATGTCGACTCTAAGCGTTCGGAAACGATTTGATTTATAAGCCATGATCTCTGATCTGATACACATCCTAACCGGTTTCGACCATAATTTCTTGCTGTTTCAACTTTCGAATTTTCAGTTTTTCGAAATTTTAGTTTGGGGACTTTTCAGTTTACTCATATTTATTATTCAACTTTTGGATTTTACAATTTCTCAATTTTTCAATTTCTCGGTTTTCAGTTTTTCTCTTCAATTTTACGATTTTTAAATATTTCGATTTTTCAATTTTTGACTTTTATAAACTCTTTAAACTCGATTTTTCAATTAATTGATTTTTCAGATTTTTTGGTTTTTCAATTCTTCTATTTTTTCAGGTTTCGATTTTTCAACTTCACTTTTTTGGTTTTTCGATTTCTCAATTTTTCAATTTTTTAATTTCTCAGTTTTTGGACATTTCAGTTTTGGGATTTTTCAGTTTACTTGTTATTCAATTTTTGATCTTACGATTTTGCAGGTTTTTGATTTTTTAATTTTTCGATTTTTTTATGGTTTCGATATTTCGACTTCACTTTTTTTATTCTCAATTTTTCGATTCTTTAGATTCTCAGTTTTGGGATTTCTCAACATTTATGTTCTTCGACTTTTCCAATTTTGACTTCTGGATTTTTCGATGTGTCGACTTTTTACTTTTTCGATTTTTAAATTTTAGATTTCTCAATTTTTGGTATTTTAATCTTTCAATATTTAAAATTTTTAATTTTTCGATTTCTTAATCTTTCGATTTTTAATTTTAGATTTTCCGATTTCTCGATTTTTCATTTCAGTTCTTCGATATTTCAATTTTTGAAGTTTTCGAATTTTTCAAATGTTTTGATTTCTTAATCTATCGATTTTTCGACTTCCCAGTTTTAGATTTTCTGTTTTTCAATTGTCGTTTTTTCAAATTTTCGATTTTTCAATTTGTCAAATTTGACATTTATAAACTGTCAATTTTTCGATTTTTCAATTAATCCATGTTTTGATTTTCCCATTTCTTGACTTTCGAGGCTTTCGATATTCCTGTTCTTCAATTCTTTAATTTTTCGATTGTTCAGGTTTTTGATTTTCATTTTTTAGTTTTTTTAAGGTTTCGATTTTTCGAGTTCACTTTTTGGATTTCTCGCTGCTCAATTTTTCGACTTTTTAGGTTCTCAGTTTTGGGATTTTTCAATATTTCGATTCGACTTTTCGATTTTTGGTTTCTGGAGTTTTCGATGTGTCGATTTTTTTTACTTTTTCGATTTTTCGGTTGCTTAATCTTTCGATTTTTCGACTTCCCGGTTTTAGATTTTCTGTTTTCAATTGTCGTTTTAAATTTTTCGATTTTTCAATGTTTTGATTTCCCGACTTAGTTTCCCATTTTTAGTTTTTCTTTCATTTTTCAGTTTTTCGATATTTCAGTTTTGGGATTTTTCAATATTTCGACTGTTCGACTCCTGGATTTTTCGATCTGTCGATTTTTTTACTTTTTCGATTTTGAAATTTTAGATTTTTTTATTTTTAAAATTTTATATTTTTTGGTTTCTCGATTTTTCATTTCAGTTCTTCGATATTTCAATTTTTTCGAAGTTTTCGAATTTTTCAAATGTTTCGATTTCTTAATCTTTTGATTTTTCGACTCTCCGGTTTTAGATTTTCTGTTTTTCAATTGTCATTTTGTCAAATTTTCGTTTTTTTATTTTTTCAATATGACTTTTATAAACTCCAAATTTTTCGATTTTTCAATTAATTAATGTTTCGATTTTCCTGTTCCATTCTATAATTTTTTGATTTTTTAAGGTTTCTATTTTTCGACTTCACTTTTTTGATTTTTCGATTTTTCAGTTTTAGGATTTTTCAATACATATTTCAATTCTTCGGTTTTTCTATTTTTGACTTCTGGATTTTTCGATGTGTCTACCTTTTCAGTTTCTCGATTTTTCAATTTTTGGATTTTTAAATTTTAGATTTTTCAGTTTTTTGATATTTTAATTTTTTAATATTTAAAATTTTAGATTTTCCGATTTCTCGATTTTTCATTTCAGTTCTTGTATATTTCAATTTTTCAAGTTTTCGAATTTTTCAAATGTTTTGATTTCTTAATCTATTCATTTTTCGATTTCCCGGTTTTAGATTTTCTCTTTGTCAATTGTCGTTTTTTCAAATTTTCGATTTTTCAATTAATCGATGTTTCTTGACCTTCGAGTGTTTCGATTTTCCTGTTCTTCAATTCTTTAATTTTTTGATTTTTCGGGTTTTTGATTTTTCACTTTTTAGTTTTTTTTAAGTTTCGATTTTTCGAGTTCACTTTTTTGATTTCTCGCTTCCTCAATTTTTCGACTTTTTAGGTTCTCAGTTTTTGGATATTTCAGTTTTCGGATTTTCCAGGATTTCCATTTTTCAGTTTTGGGATTTTTCGATTTTTCGATTTTTGGCTTCTGGAGTTTTCGATGTGTCGATTTTCTTACTTTTTCGATTGCTTAATCTTTCGATTTTTCGACTTCCCGGTGTTAGATTTTCTATTTTCAATTATCGTTTTAAATTTTTCGATTTTTCAATGTTTTGATTTCCCGATTTAGTTTCCCATTTTTATTTTTCTTTCATTTTTCAGTTTTGGGATTTTTCAATATTTCGATTCTTCGATTTTTGAATTTTCGATTTTTGAATTTTTCAAATTTAACTTTTATAAACTCTCAATTTTTCGATTTTTCAATTAATCGATGTTTTAATTTTCCCATTTCTTGACCTTCGAGTGTTCCGATTTTCCTGTTCTTCAATTCTTTAATTTTTTGATTTTTCGGGTTTTTGATTTTTCAGTTTTTAGTTTTTCTAAGGTTTCGATTTTTCAAATTCACTTTTTGGATATTTCAGTTTTCGGATTTTCTAGGTTTTCCATTTTTCAGTTTTTCTTTCATTTTCAGTTTTCCGATATTTCAGTTTTGGGATTTTTCAATATTTCCATTCTTCGACTTTTCGATTTTTGACTCCTGGATTTTTCGATGTGTCGATTTTATTTTTTCGATATTTCAATTTTTCGATTGCTTAATCTTTCGATTTTTCGACTTCCCGGTTTTAGATTTTCTGGTTTCAATTGTCGTTATAAATTTTTCGATGTTTCAATGTTTTGATTTCCCGATTTAGTTTCCCATTTTTAGTTTTTCTTTCATTTTTCAGTTTTTCGATATTTGAGTTTTGGAATTTTTCATTTTCCCATTTTTCCATTTTTAGTTTTTCTTTCATTTTTCAGTTTTTTGATATTTCAGCTTTGGGATTTTTCAATATTTCGATTCTTCGACTTTTCGATTTTTGGCTTCTTGAGTTTTCGATGTGTCGATTTTTTTACTTTTTCGATTTTTAAATTTTAGATTTTTTAATTTTTTCCAAGTTTTCGAATTTTTCAAATGTTTCGATTTCTTAATCTTTTAAATTTTCGACTTCCCGGTTTTAGATTTTCTGTTTTTCAATTGTCATTTTGTCAAATTTTCGATCTTTTAATTTTTCAAATTTGACTTTTATAAACTCTCAATTTTTCTATTTTTCGATTAATCGATGTTTTGACTTTCCCATTTCTTGTCCTTCGAGTGTTTCGATTTTCCTGTTCTTCAATTCTTTAATTTTTTGTTTTTTCAGGTTTTTGATTTTTCAATTTTTCGATTTTTGAAAGTTTCAATTTTTCGACTTCACTTTTTTGATTTTTCGATTTTTCAGTTTTTAGATATTTCAGTTTCAGGATTTTTCAATATTTCAATTCTTCGGCTGTTCTATTTTTGACTCCTGGATTTTTCGATGTGTCGATTTTTTTACTTTTTCGATTTTTCAATTTTTCGATTGGTTAATCTTTCGATTTTTCGACTTCCCGGTTTTAGATTTTATGTTTTCAATTGTCGTTTTAAATTTTTGGATTTTTCAATGTTTTGATTTTCCGATTTAGTTTCCCATTTTTAGTTTTTCTTTCATTTTTCAGTTTTTCGATATTTCAGTTTTTGGGATTTTTCAATATTTCGATTCTTCGACTTTTCGATTTTTGACTCCTGGATTTTTCGATGTGTCGATTTTTTCAATTTTGCGATTTTTAAATTTTTCAAATTTTAAATTTTTCGATTTTTCATTTCAGTTCTTCGATATTTCGATTGTTTCCAAGTTTTCGAATTTTTCAAATGATTCGATTTCTTAATCTTTTGATTTTTCGACTTCCCGGTTTTAGATTTTCTGTTGTTCAATTGCCATTTTGTCAAATTTTCTATTTTTTGATTTTCCAAATTTGACTTTTATAAACTCTCAATTTTTCGATTTTTCAATTAATCGATGTTTTGACTTTCCCATTTCTTGACCTTCGAGTGTTTCGATTTTCCTGTTCTTCAATTCTTTAATTTTTCGATTTTTCGAGTTCACTTTTTGGATTTCTCGCTTGCTCAATTTTTCGACTTTTTAGGTTCTCAGTTTTTGGATATTTCAGTTTTCGAATTTTCCAGGTTTTTCAGTTTTTCAGTTTTTCTTTCATTTTTCAGTTTTTCGATATTTCAGTTTTGGGATTTTTCAATATTTCGATTCTTCGACTTTTCGATTTTCCACTCCTGGATTTTTCTATGTGTCGATTTTTTACTTTTTCGATTTTTCAATTTTTCGTTTTTTAAATTTTCGATTTTTTAATTTTTAAAATTTAAAATTTTTCGATTTCCCGAATTTTTATTTCAGTTCGTCGACATTTCAATTTTTTCCAAGTTGTCGAATTTTTCAAATGTTTCGATCGTAATCTTTTGATTTTTGGACTTCTCGGTTTTAGATTTTCTGTTTTTCAATTGACTTTTATAAACTCTCAATTTTTCGATTTTTCAATTAATCGATGTTTTGATTTTCCCGTTTCTTGACCTTCGAGTGTTTCGATTTTCCTGTTCTTCAATTCTTTCATTTTTTGATTTTTCAATTTTCCGATTTTTTAATGTTTCTATTTTTCGTCTTCACTTTTTTGATTTTTCGATTTTTCAGTTTTTAGATATTTCAGTTTTAGGATTTTTCAATATTTCAATTCTTCGGCTTTTCTATTTTTGACTTCTGGATTTTTCGATGTGTCTACCTTTTTACTTTTTCGATTTTTCAATTTTTGGATTTTTAAATTTTAGATTTTTCAATCTTTTGATATTTTAATTTGTCAATATTTCTTAATCTTTCGATTTTTCGACTTCCTGGTTTTAGATGTTTTGTTTTTCAATTTTTCGATTTGTTAATTTTTCGTTCCTGATTTATCAAGATTTGATTGTTCAGGTTTTCGATTTACAAGTTTTAAATTTTTTATTTTGGCCTATTTCCGTTTCTCAGTTTTTCCAGTTTTCCAATTTTTCGGTTTTTGATTTTCCGCTTTTCCAATTTTCAATTTTTAACTTTTTGTTTGTCGATTTCTCTATTTTTCGACTTCATCACTTTTCGATTTCTCGTTCTTTTGATCTTTCAATCTCTCAATTTTTCAATTTTTCGAATTTTTAAGTTTTTTGATTTCTCGATTTATCGAGATTTGGATTTTTCGATATTTTGATTGTCAATTTCTCAATTTATAAATTGTTCAATTTTTAAATTTCGACTCCACGATTTCTTGTTCTTTTGATTTTTCGATTTTAAGTTCTTCGATATTTCGATTTTTCAATATTTTGGTTTTACGATTTTTTAAGGTTTCGATTTTTCGAATTTTCGATTATTTTAATTTTTCCCTTTTAATATGATACAGTGTATCGAAAACAACCACAAACATTGTCACTAAAAATATTCATACAAAATAGAACACAGTGTTTCCAAAACATCTTCCCGAAAAAAATCCATTGGGTTATTTCAACAATATTCTTAGTTTAAGACGTTTTGCTAGTATAAAACACAAATAAATAATTAATTCTTAGTTAAACAAAATATGTAAAATCATCTAAATATGTACCAAAAATGTTGACTTAGTCGTTATAAAAACCGACCAAATCGCTTCTGAACGCTTAAGTCGACATTGGCCTGAGCGCGCTCTGGTCTGTAGATCAAACAAGTTCTCATGCGACGAGTTGTAGTGAAACAAGTTTTTTCATTGGCTTCGACTATTTAAATTTGGCGCTTGAGGACTCCAATGTCAATAAGGGTGGTTTTGCAAAATCAGCCTGTATGTCGCATCTATATTAATCTATGGCAGTACCAACCCCTTCCTTTTTTAGTTTGACAGTTAACTATCTGTCAAATAAAGTGTCAAGTGCCAACGTCATTATTTTAAAAATAAATTTCATGAATCATGAGCATGACCCACTAGAGGTCTTTTTCGCCCACAGGGTAATAAGTTAGGTAAGGTCTAAATTTGGAGACTAATCCTGGATATTCAACTAACAGTTTTAATAAATTCAAGCAATTAGAATGGGGCTAATTTTCCACCAAGTTTTTTTTTATCACAATCCTGCCCATTTTCGCTTATTAACGCAACACCAAAACCATTATGGGTTAATAACACATCTGGTTTATGCTCAGTTCATGACTCGTGACGTCATGTGAACTACCTAAATCTAGATCTAGTTAACTTTCACCAAGCCAAAATCACATACACACTTTGTAAGCTGATAATAGAAATCAGTGTAGGAAATCGCATTTGCATGAAAACAAAGGTGCCAAAGTATTTGAAAAAAGCATTGCTCGATTTCTTTATGGTTTTATTATGAAAATTATCTATATCTTAATTAAATCAGTTACATTTTCACTGAGAAGAAATTACAACACACCGTAAGGTGATAATGGAGATATGATCACAAATTCATAGATCCAACAAGTCTGGAAAAACGCCGACAAAAAAGCAAACAAAACAACTATGATAGCTTTAATAAACGAAATTAGTAATTAGGAGCAAGAATCACTTAGTGTCCTCGTCAACAGGCATAAAACAGTAAACTTATAAATAAGTTCTTTACACATATGAATCACTTGAGACAGCGGTCGAAATAAGTACTGCCAACATACCCTCCCCTCATCGCCTTCTGCACGTTCTGCTCGAACAATCTCCTGTTGGTGGTGAGCACTTCAGCGGCTTCTTTGTTAAGAGGGTCCTCTGGATTCGGTTCCAAGAACAAGTATTGCAAGCCATACACGATGCTATTGATGGTAAGCACCGGCTTCCAGTCCTCCCGCAGGATGTTCAGACACACATTCCCCTGCTGGTCAATATTCGGGTGGTAGACCTGCGTCTCGCACTTCACTTTGGGGGGCTCGTGCGGGTAGTTGGGGCCCACTTTGAAACTAAACACGAAGCGACCAGTCTTGTAGAACCCCTTAAATCACACAATTAGAGACAACCCAGCAAATGCACCCCTCTCGAACCTCGTCAGGGCAGATCACCAGCTTGAATGACAGCAGGTCGTCGGGATCTGGGAACTCGGTTGTGCAAGTCTTCGGGAGGTTGAGCTCGTTTATATCTGGAAAAAAGCGAATTTTGACGTCTTTTGCGGCTAAATTGGAAAAAGTGAACCTTTTGTGATTCTCAACTGGGCTGCAGAGGCTTTCTTTTGATTTCCTGGTCGTGGCGAGGCTTCTCCATCTTTCTTCTGTTGCTTCAACGAGAATAATTTTATCATATTTAACTAGTTTGGGTGGGTGTTAATTTCTTAAATTAGCGTAATCGTCGGTCTTGTGCTATCACAATTTACAAAAACATGAGAAAAGTGAAATTTCTTCGGCTGCTTTTTGTATAATTTTTCACATCTGTCAATGTCAAAACTGTCAAACGGACGAGGTTAGATTTTGGGGCGCTCGGCTAAAAGTGGCGCTAGTGTCGTGCAGGTGCGCACATAATTAATTACCATATTTTTTATTTAATTACTTTGCATATCTTTATGGTTATTAACAACTTTGTTTAAAAATACGCAGAAAAATAATGCTGGTAGAGGAGGGTTTGATATTTCTTCAATATACCGTCGAGTTCAAACATCCACACGTTATGTTGCGCACCTACTTTGAATTTAATTTCAAATTTTCATAATTTTGTTGATTCATGGTTATGATTCAACATTTTTTCTGCCCTAGAAACGTTTCACACTTGAATGAAAGCTGATAACGAAAAACTAGGAGAAAAACTTTCATTAATAAAATAACACTTGCAATTAAATATTTTCACTTGTAATATGTAATTGTTTTTAATATGCTTCATTACTAGTTTTTAAAATCGTTACTGGATACAAGGTAAGCTTTAAAATATTCAAAATAGTAGAAATTACGAACATATCTATTTCAGGTGGAAGATTAGACGACTGACAAGTTTGAATTAGGCGCCATTTGTTGCCCTAAACGCAACCAGCAATTCTTCCTAAAAATAAGTTGGTACTGAAGACTACAGATAATTTATGACTGGCAGCCGACAATAGACCTTCAACACAGAATAATCATTTTCCGCATTCTTTTGAAATATTAGAATTAATCCTAGGTTAATGTAAATCTATTAATTATATTTTACAAGTGTAGCTACTCAATTTAAACACTCTGTTTAAAATGTTCGCAGTTAATTTTAGGTCCATTGTGTATTATTTTCGAATAAATTTAAAGGAATCTGGTGTTGTGATGCTGAATAAACTTGAAAAAATCTTTTGAGCTTTTAGTGTTTTATTTTTTAAGAATTTGAAAAAGCCTTGAATACCGCAATAGTTTTTTTTTTTTAATTCGGGGGACTCTTCGGTACCCATGGTATATTACTTTGGCAGCACATGGAGATTTTTTTTTTGTAAATTATTTAAAACAATTTTGGTGTTGTATTTTTGGAAAAATCTGACCCGACCTGTTTTTGAGTTAATTTTGGGACTCAGTTTTTTTTTGAAAAATTTTTGAGGTTCTATGTATTCCTGTTTGGAAAGAATTTGAAAGTATTTTGGAGCCTCTAATGTTTTTTTACTTTCCGAGTACAAGTTTTAGAAATATTGTAATCGAGTCCATCGGCCCAATAGCCACTTTCATATTCTCTCGACGTGTCATAACCTCTCAAGTACGAAAAACTGGTCTCCCGTTTCCGTCTGTGTGTCTGTGTGTCTGGTGTCTGTATCCATTATTATTAGATACGTAACTCCGAAACCGCTAGATCGATTGTTGTCAAATTTTTTATGTATATTAGAAATATATACAGGGACATTTTTTTAACTCTGAACATACACCAGAAAGTCCCTACGTTCAATCTTAAAAAAAACACATCAATGTAATGAAAGTATACAACCAAGATTACATCAAACCTACGTGATTAATAGAAAAAAATTAAACTTGCCAACTTGTCAACTTGTCAAAATATAATTTGGAAATTTAAGAAATGAATACAACAGAAGAAAACGTAAAAATATTAAATTGGTACTATCGCCATGTAATCAGTCGAATTGTGGGTAGGTACGTGTTATTTTTTTGGTCAATTGCTCTAAAGATTTCGTGTAAGTAATGTGTTATTGCAGTTGGATGTGGGGGAGTTCCATCCATTTGAAACGAAACCAATCATCAAAACTTAAATATTGAATTTGGTGCACTGTGGTAACGAAGCAGTCTTAAAAAGGAATTAGAATTCAAATTTTCTTCAATAAAAAATGGACCAGGTTTAAGGTTTGGTTTATATTTCCTTCCAACATTTTAGCCCTACGGTTATATTGTGCTCTTGTCAAATTTTGCAGACGAGGATTAGCATTTGACTAATAGCTGTAAAGAAAGGAAAAAAATACGAAGGGACAAGGGAGTTAACAGGACTAACCGAAAATTTTGGGAATAGACTTTACCATCTAATGATAATAATGCTTCATGTGTAAATACGATGTTTTGTAAAATGTTTTTATTGTTTTTTATATTAAATACTGTTTCTCAAAAATCCGTTCTTTTAATTTTACTTCTGGACTGAGTTATTGATGATTTGGTGAGTTTATAACATTTGTATTTAAACTGTTTTAAAACTTTGCGGGGATAACATAAGATGTTTAATTGTATATTAATACTTCCTCAGATAGGACATAATTTGATCTGTTTCTCTAACGATGTTTATATTCGACGCATCCGTGGGTGTTGACACAATTGGTCTATTGGCGTAATTGACTGAAAAAAGATCACGTACAATTCTGTGCCGACGATACCAAGTTAAAATTTGTGCTTTCTCTTCCGTTGTATAAAACATTGTTTGTATTCTCAAATTTTCAAATTGTATTTTGACAAGTTGACAAGTTTAAATCATTTTTTTTTCTAATTATCACGTAGGTTCCATGTAATATTGGTTGCATACTTCTAATACATTGACGTGTTTTTTTTCAGATTGAACATAGGGATTTTATGGTGTATGTTCAGAGTTAAAAAAATGTCCCTGTAGACGGTTAAATGTTAACCAAAATATTTTTAATCATCCCCATCATTTTTTTGTGTTCTTATACTATCCTGCTATTATAGGTAGATACTTTTTGGAAAAAAACCGGACTATGCTTACTTAATAAATTAGTCGTCTCTTCTGCATTGAAGAGACAAAATCAATCAAATTTCAATTTCTTTTAACACATATGCATGTTACGTACTTCAATGCTGGCGCTGATACGATATGATATAATGATTGAATTCTATATCAAAAACTTAACACCTGGTGTCCTCCAGATTTTTTAATGCTTCTCCGAAAACAAAACACTAGGAACCCTCAAGATTCTTAAAAACCATTTCAAAACCATAATACCAGAGTCCCCGAGATTCTTCAAAACTTCTCAAAAAAAAAAAAAACACCAGGACCCCTCAAGATTCTTTAAAACTTTTCCAAAAATGAATCACTAGGAACCCTCAAGATTCTTAAAAACAATTTCAAAACCATAACACCAAAGCCTCCGAGATTCTTCAAAACTTCTCCAAAAAAAAAAAAAAAAAACACCAGGAGCCCTTAGATTATTTAAAACTTCTCCAAAAATGAAACACTACAAGCCCTCAAAATTCTTGAAAACCATTTTCAAAACCATAACACCAGACCCCTGAAATTTTTTTAAATTTCTCCAAAAAAAACACCAGGAGCCATTTCATTCATGAAAACCATTTCAAAACCATAACACTAGAGCCCCTGAGATTCATTAAAACTTCTCCAAAAAAAGAACACCAGGAACCCTCAAGATTCATGAAAACCATTTCAAAACCATAACACTAGAGCCCCCGAGATTCTTTCAGATTTCTCCAAGAAAAAAAACACCAGGAAACCTCAAGATTCTTAAAAACCATTTCAAAACCATAACACCAGAGTCCCCGAGATTCTTCAAAACTTCTCAAAAAAAAAAACACCAGGACCACTCAAGATTCTTTAAAACTTTTCTAAAAATGAATCACTAGGAACCCTCAAGATTCTTAAAAACCATTTCAAAACCATAACACCAAAGCCTCCGAGATCCTTCAAAACTTCTCCAAAAAAAAAAAAACACCAGGAGCCCTTGGATTGTTTAAAACTACTCCAAAAATGAAACAATAGGACCCCTCAAGATTCTTTAAAACTTCTCCAAAAATGAATCACTAGGAACCCTCAAGATTTTTAAAAATCATTTCAAAACCATAACACCAAAGCCCCCGAGATTCTTCAAAACTTCTCAAAAAAAAACACCAGGAACTCTCAAGATTCTTAAAAACCATTTCAAAACCATAACACCAGAGTCCCCGAGATTCTTCAAAACTTCTCAAAAAAAAACACCAGGACCCCTCAAGATTCTTTAAAACTTTTCCAAAATTGAATCACTAGGACCCTCAAGATTCTTAAAAACCATTTCAAAACCATTACACCAAAGCCTCCGAGATCCTTCAAAACTTCTCCAAAAAAAAAAAAACACCAGGAGCCCTTAGATTGTTTAAAACTTCTCCAAAAATGAAACACTACAAGCCCTCAAAATTCTTGAAAACCATTTTCAAAACCATAACACCAGACCTCTGAAATTTTTTGAAATTTCTCCAAAAAAAAAACACCAGGAGCCATTTCATTCATGAAAACCATTTCAAAACCATAACACTAGAGCCCCCGAAATTCATTAAAACTTCTCCAAAAAAAGAACACCAGGAACCCTCAAGATTCATGAAAACCATTTTAAAACCATAACACTAGAGCCCCCAAGATTCTTTCAAACTTCTCCAAGAAAAAAAACACCAGGAACCCTCAAGATTCTTAAAAACCATTTCAAAACCATAACACCAGAGTCCCCGAGATTCTTCAAAACTTCTCAAAAAAAAAACACCAGGACCCCTCAAGATTCTTTAAAACTTTTCCAAAAATGAATCACTAGGAACCCTCAAGATTCTTAAAAACCATTTCAAAACCATAACACCAAAGCCTCGGAGATTCTTCAAAACTTCTCCAAAAAAAAAAAACACCAGGAGCCCTTAGATTGTTTAAAATTTCTCCAAAAATGAAACACTACAAGCCCTCAAAATTCTTGAAAACCATTTTCAAAACCATAACACCAGACCCCTGAGATTTTTTGAAATTTCTCCAAAAAAAAAAAAACACCAGGAGCCATTTCATTCATGAAAACCATTTCAAAACCATAACACTAGAGCCCCCGAGATTCATTAAAACTTCTCCAAAAAAAGAACACCAGGAACCCTCAAGATTCATGAAAACCATTCTAAAACCATAACACTAGAGCCCCCGAGATTCTTTCAAACTTCTCCAAGAAAAAAAAACACCAGGAGCCCTCAAAATTCTATAAAACTATATGAAAAACGTAACACCAGCTGTCCTCAAGATTTTTTAATGCTTCTCCAAAAACAAAACACTAGGAACCCTCATGATACTTCAAAACTTCTCCAAAAAAAACACCAGGATCCCTCAAGATTCTTTAAAACTTCTCCAAAAATGAAACAATAGGACCCCTCAAGATTCTTTAAAACTTCTCCAAAAATGAATCACTAGGAACCCTCAAGATTTTTAAAAACCATTTCAAAACCATAACATCGGAGCCCCTGAGATTTTTTGAAACTTCTTAACAAAAAAAAAAAACACCAGGAGCCCTCAGATTGTTTAAAACTTCTCCAAAAATGAAACACTACAAGCCCTCAAGATTCTTGAAAACCATTTTCAAAACCATAACACCAGACCCCTGAGATTTTTTGGAATTTCTCCAAAAAAAAAACACCACGAGCCATTTCATTCATGAAAACCATTTCAAAACCATAACACTAGAGCCCCCGAGATTCATTAAAATTTCTCCAAAAAAAGTACACCAGGAACCCTCAAGATTCATGAAAGCCATTTCAAAACCAGTTCATCATATTTTAAAATAGTTACTTTGAACATGGGCTGAGTCTATTGAACTTTGACTATTATTTTTTCCAAACAATTTAAATTTTAAAGACGCATGAGTCCATGTTTTTGCAATGATTCGAATAGGTGTTTAAGTCGTCGTGCCCACCAGACCAAGGACTTTGCTTAGTCTCAGAAAATAAAAGACAACTTCAGTAGTAAAGTTTGTTTCACTTTTCGCTTGCCGTGGGCGAATTATACTTATCATATCAATAAGACCCACCACTGACCCGGAAATGACCGGCATTCAGGCAAGACTTCTATCATTACGGGTACTAAGACCAAGTAATGATATGCATTGATTAGATTAACAGAATAATTATTAATTATTTAATAATTATTATTAAACCCTGTGTTACCTCTACTGCCTTTATTTTTTATTATTATATATACATATACTTAGTCTGCTAATAAATTTAGTCTCCAGTAAAAAATATTTACGATATCGTCATTATTGTTGATCACCTCCTGAATGGTAATACCTACGAGTTTTACTCATGGGTTTTACCTAATGCTGAAGGCGATGACAGGATTATACCTCGTGTTATAACTTGTCAAATTGTAATCATTTATCATGGCTTTGACGTTATGATTATTGCACTAAGCACTTATTGACTAATTGAGTAATTCCAAAACAATTAAATTAACTCACCATAACCCCTCAGATCCTCAAAACACTAAAAAACAATTTTGCACTTTTTAACGGTTCACGATGTGACACGAGAGCACGAGACAACTACGAAACCAGAGAACATAATGTAGTCTTCTCTGTTTTTTAGACTAATCTGGGTACGGAACGCACGTGCAGATTAATTCAGGTGTCTCGGGCAAGCCCTTAGATCACTTTTATTCGAAAATAAGGAGTATAATGAGTACGTGGTACGTAAGAAAGTTTAAAGAACATAATTGCAAGGATTTGTTATCGGCTTTATTATTTATAAAATTTGAGAAATTTATATTTTACTAATTTTAAAACCTCTAAAAAAATTAAGTTGGGCATTGCCCACCTTGCCCACCCCGACCGGCCGCCACTGATGGTTACATGTTAACTAAAATTTGGCTTAATCATCGCCACCACCAATGGGATCTCCTAAATTTATAATAAAAGGTTCTTTAAATTTTGTAAAATAAGATACTCCTGTACTTGTAGTGTGTGAATCCGTGTCGAATTTTCACCCTAGACATGCAGAATTTTTTGAAAAAATTCAAAACTGAACAACAATATTTTGCAATATAACTTTGAAACTGCAAAACCAATTGCTCTGAAACCTTGCAAATATTTTAAGGTTATCGTAATAATAAATCAAAACATTAGGAATCCTCAACATTCTTGAAAAACATTACAAAACCATAACACTAGAGCCTCCGAGATTCTTCAAAATTTCTCCAAAAAAAAAACACCAGGAGCCTTCAAGATTCTTTAAAACTTCTCCAAAAATGAAACACTAGGAGCCCTCAAGAGTCTTGAAAACCATTTCTAAACCATATCACTAGAGCCCCCGAGATTCCTCAAAACTTCTCAAAAAAATACACCAGGAGCCCTCAAGATTCTTTAAAACTTCTCCAAAAGTGAAACACCAGGAGCCCTCAAGATTCTTTAAAACCATTTCAAAACCATAACACCAGAGCCCCTGAGATTTTTTGAAACTTCTCGAAAAAAAAAACACCAGGAGCCCTGAGGATTCATGAAAACCATTTCAAAACCATACAGTGGAGCCCCCGAGATTTTTCAAAACTTCTCCAAAAAAAAAAAAACACCAGGAACCCTCAAGGTTCTTTAAAACTTCTCCAAAAATGAAACACTAAGAGCCCTCAAGATTCTTGAAAACCATTTCTAAACCATATCATTAGAGCCCCCGAGAGTCTTCAAAACTTCTTAAAAAAAACACCAGGAGCCCTCAAGATTCTTTAAAACTTCTCCAAAAATGAAACACTTGGAGTCCTCAAGATTCTTGAAAACCATTTCAAAATCATTACACAGAACCCCTTAGATTTTTTGAAACTTCTCCAAATAAAAGAAAACACCAGGAGCACTGAGGATTCATGAAAACCATTTCAAAACCATAACAGTGGAGCCCCCGAGATTCTTCAAAACTTCAAAAAAAAAATACCAGGAGCCCTCAAGATTCTTTAAAACTGTTTTGAAACCACACCTCTAAGTGCTCCTGAGATTCTTTAAAATTCGTCCAAAAACAAAGACAGAAAGAAGCCTCAAAATTTTTTAAAACTATTTCAAAACCGTAACACCGGTTCCGTCGCGATTTTTTAAAGACCAGATTCTTTACAACTTCTCCAAAAACATAGCACTAGGAGGCCCTGAGATTCATTTAAATTCTTGCAAAAACAAAACACCAGGATCTTCTAAGATTCTTTAAAACTATTTCAAGAACATTTCACCAGGGTTCCCTGAGATTTTTAAAATTCTTAAAAAATTAAAACACCGTCTGCTCATAAAATCGTTGTTTTTCTTTTTTTTTTTCAAAAATGAAACATTGGATGTTCAAAAGATTCTTGAAGATATTTCCAAAAATAAAACACTAGGGCCGTCTAAGATTCTTTCAAATTCTTTCAAATATAAAACATCAGGAACCCCCTCAAGATTATTTTAATTCTTCTCCGCCCACGCTCCCTCTCTTTTCTTAAAGAGCAGCTCATTTTCCAAAATCAGTCTTATCTTTAGCGGCTACTAGTACCACCCACCCATCCTCTCGTATCTTAGAGGATTAATGACTGCTGGTTAAAAGGTGGATTTCAGTCACCATCGCTACTAAGAAATCAGAAACTGTAGTGACACCCGTTATATTTAAGGAATTTAATATTTTTCTTTTATTGTTTGTTTTTATTTGTTAAGAAGTGTAATTAATTTGGCCTGTAAATGGAATTTTTCTGATGAATAAAATGTATTTATTTAAATTACATTAAATTCATTTTTTACGATATTTCTCTGCTGCATTTTTTTTGGTGGATTGAAATGTTTTCAAGGGCTTAGAATATAGAAAAGCTGCAGTTTGATGCATAATACATCAATATAATCATTTTATCATGGAAAAACTTTCAAAAATATTAATGTTGGGCTAGGCAACCAGTAATACTGATGTATTATGTGTAAAACCTGTACAAAATCTGTGAATGTTAACAAAAATGCTACGAATCCCGCATGACTTCGACGTCCAAAAGTTTCTTAGTGCTTCATTTTTTCGTAAATTTCTACCAATGTTTCGGAATTGCCAAAATAAAAGCGACAAATTTTGAAATATTGGATACGTTTGTTTTAATACACTTGTGCCATATTGTCTATTATACAATGTGATGTTATTAAAAGTAATAAAATCAAAACTTTAACAATTAAAATTCAGTCTTGGGGCGGATTTCTATCCACTTCTTGATAGCCGGCAGTTCGTTTACTTTCTGAACCAAGCTTTTCAGGCTTGGAGAGTTGGCCAAACAGTCTCCCCCAAAAAAGAAGTCGAAAGCACCACAAACCGTGGTGAAGTAGAAATCAGCCCAGGTCAACTAAAACAAACAATTAGTGTTCAATTAACAAAAAATAATAACAACAAATTACCCTCCCCAAAGCTAGATGTCCGTTATTTTGTTGAACGATCGTCTCCAACCGCGTTATATAGTAAGGAATCGTCTCTTTGGCCGCTGTTTCAAGAAGAGTTTTCTTCTTTTCTTCGTCTTTCTCGAAATGTATAGCCAACAATTCTAAAAATTAAATCACCGTCAACAATACACCCCCCTCCACACACATTTTTTCCTACTCAAGCGCAAATCGTTTATCGTATCGACTATAGCATCGATTTCCAGATTTTCCCAGTCGTCCTTTCCTGCAAGCCCGACTTGTTTGGCCAGATATCTGGCAATTGCGATGCTCTGACCCGCTTGTTTCCCGTCGTGTTCAAGGACAGGGAGTGTACCGAACGGCATTTCTGCAATTAAAAATAAAATAAAATAAAATAAAATTTGGAGGGGGCGCTAAGTCGTCTTACTCTCTTTAAGCTGAGGCCATTCTTCTTGTGTGACACGAACATCCTCGAACTCTATTCCTCCGTAGTTGAGAAGAAATCGCGCCGTTTCGGCTAGACCTCTAAAGTTGAAGTAAGAGAGTTTGTATGCGGGTGCCATTTTTTTTTTAAGAGCAGCTAGAGTAGAAATAACACTATCGATTTGAGCGAAAGCTGATAAACTACTGACAATTATCGCGTGTAGAGTTATTTAACTGAACTGCTGCGTATCTGTCGTCATAATCTGGGTGGTTACGTGAACACGAGTTTATTTTATTGCCTATTTTTAGGCGTAGTTATTCGCTAAAAATTCTTCAGATGAAGCGAATTAACGCGGGTCAACATAATTTTAAAAGGGCACATGCTGCGTTAGGCAACCAACAATACAACTTTTCATTATTATGTATTTTAATTTTGTAATTAAATGTGTTCAGATCATTTCGACGGGTGTTGAAACTCGTCTTAATTAGAAATACATGTGTTTTTCTTGCTCCCACGAAGATACACGAACTACCATGCATTCAATATTCATTCAATATCATCATGACCACACGCAACTTGAAATATTGAATTATTCATTGAGTTATTGCGATCTTAATGTTTAATTCACTGGATGTCGGCAGCCTTCCTACACATTTTACGTATAGGACTGTGGAGTAAATTGAAGCAGGAGTGCAGTATTGGAAATCAGTACTAAGGCGGCTATATTTAGAAATAGTAAAGACTACACACAACAAATATTATCAATTTTTATTTCAGTTGCTATGCAGCTCGGAAAAAATATGTTATCTTTTGGTTATCTGTTGTATTTTTCACCACTAGGTTACAAAATTGTGAAATATTTCGACAACTTACGAAAAAGTACAAATTTATGCCGGAATGTAAAATCAGCATGATTTAGCAAAAAAATCTATTAGGTAATTTATTGCAATGTTGTTTGTAACGTTGGCGTTTCCTTTGTGGCGGTTGTTTGACCTTGTGTTTGATCTGAATCATCTCACACTGTTTTAAAATAAATACTGTTATCGGTGGTTTATTCTGAGACTTATGTAATTTTATTCGATTACCTTTTGATAAAAGTTGTTTTTTTCGATGTGTGTTCTCAGGGAATTTATAAAAAAGTATCTAATGAGTGTTCATTAATAAATTTGTGATGATATCTTACACTAAGGAGTATCCTGTTGCTGAAAATTTTTGCGTTGGTTTTTTTAGATAAGCTGCTGTTTTAATAATTAATATTTGGTATCTGAAAACATTAAATTAGACTTTCGTCAAAGTAGGCCTACAGTATTTGCTAAGCTCAATTATCTATAAAAGAATTGGTCGAAGATTACATTTTTTGAGTCACCCTGTATAAGCAAATCTAAAAAATATGACTGTACTGATAAATTACAAGTCTAGTCTGATCATATTTTGCACATTTTCGAAAGGATTTATTCCGCAAAATTTTGCGATTATTTTTTTGGTTGTTTTACAATTTTGATTTTTTTTCCCAAAAATCTGGACATTATTGGTGGGGATGATTAGACAAATTTTGGTTAGCGTTTTACCATTTAGGTACATGATATTTCTAAATAATTTCGGAAGCTTGCACGGTCGGAGTCAATACATGATCGTTTTACGGGTTGGGACCGTGTTAATTGCGAACCCAAAAACTCAGTTAACACGGTCCTAATCATGTATGATATTTCTAACATAAATACAAAATTTGTTTTGAGATTGTCTAATAGAAATTGTACTCTAGGGGTCATGAAAGGTCGAGAAAACGTTAAAGTAGAGGGTCGGCCAATGGACTCAATTACAATACAGTGTAACTTCGAGCTGAACAACTTCATACACTACTGAAAACAAATTTCAAGAAATAAACCTTAATTTTCTTAAACAGAAATAAAGCATTCTTAACATTGGAAAAAATATTACTCCGTGACCATAACCACGCTATATTTTTGGAATCAACGCGTCGGGATCTATATCCTTGAATTTAATCAGAATTTTTAGATGACTTTTTCAAAAATGAAATTTCCCATTACGTATTCGTATTATCTCCCTTATGCAAATTTCGACCCATTCTCGACAATTTTCGACATTTAACTACATACTTCCATGTAGATTTTGGGCCACAGAAGTCACTTCTGGCCTCATTCAGAAATTTCAAAAAATTCGAATTTCATACCGAATTTTCCGAAAATATTGCTCCGTTACCATAAACATGCTATATTTTTTCAGAATTTTTGGACAACTTTTTCAAAATTGAAATTTTACACTTGCCAAATAACCTACCCTCTAAGAAAATAAAGAAAAGGTACTAGTCCCACCCACCCACTCTTTATTTCCTTAGAAGAGTAAGTCATCTGCCAAAATCAGTCTTATCTGAGAGTCAGAGACTGATTGTTGCAAATGACAGATCCTCTAAGAAAATAAGGGTGGGTGGGCGGGGCTATTACTTGTCAAGATAAGACTGATTTTGGCAGATGACCCACTCTTCTAAGAAAATAAAGGGTGGGTGGGTGGGGCTAGTACTTGTCAAGATAATACTGATTTTGGCAGATGACTTATTTTTCTAAGAAAATAAAGGCTGGGTGGGTGGGGCTATTACTTGCTAAAAATAAAAAAATAAAAAATAAAAAATGACAGATAAATGAGAAATCGGAAAATTGTACAACTGTATAATCGGAAAATTAAAACATTGAAAAAAAAATCAAATCTTATAAAATTTAATTCGAAATTCCTGTTTACATTTTTTTTAGTTTTTAGATTTTTCAACTTTTGAATATTTCATTTGATCATTTTTTTCAAGTTTTAACTTTACAATTTTGGAATTTTTTGATTTTTAATTTTTCAAGTTCTCAAGTGAAAATTTTCCTTTTCACGATTTGTCGTTTTTCAATTTTTTACTAAAAGAACAAATTTATTCTACCGTAATTTTGAAAAATCGAAAAATTGAAAATTAGAAACAGAATTTTCAGATTAAAGTTACGGTGACACAAAATTAAAAATCGAAAATTTAAAAAAAATATACATGTATATATTTTCTCGATATTTAAAAAATCAAATAATTTTAATCCAATAAGCTCACTGGCAGATATCAGTTGAACTGGATACACTTACAAAGCTTTTTTAGATTTGTGGCAAAAGTAGTCTTCGATTTTGTTTCAAGTTGTCTGAATTTGTTTATTCGGACCCCCAAGAAGGTTTCACATTCTTCAAAAGACATTCGGCGCCCCCGAAGTTTCACATTAAAAAAAAAAAAAAGACATTTGGGGCCCCCGGGAAGGTTTTACATTTAAAAAAAATACAGTTGGGACCCCCGAGAAGGTTTTACATTTTTAAAAGACAGTTGCGACTCCCGAGAAGGTTTCACATTAAAAAAAAATATTTGGGAGCCCCGTGAAGGTTTTACATTTTAGAGTAGACAGTTGGGACCTCCGAGAAGGTTTCACATTTAAAACAAAAGATATTTGGGACCCCCAGAGGGTTTAAGATACACTTGGCACCCCCGAGGTTTTATATTAAAAAAAAAGATAGTTGGGACCCCCGAGAAGGTTTCACATTAAAAAGAAAATATATTTGGGGCCCCCAAGAAGCTTTTACATTTTTAAAAAAGACAGTTGGGACTCCCGGGAAGGTTTCACATTAAAAAAAAAGATATTTGGGAGCCCCGAGAAGGCTTTGCATTTTAGAATAGACAGTTGGGATCCCCGAGAAGGTTTTACATTTTTAAAAAAGACATTTGGGACTCCTGAGAAGGTTTCACATTAAAAACAAAAGATATTTGGGACCCAGGAGCGGGTTTAACATACACATGGGACCCCCGAGGTTTTATATTTTTAAAAAAGAGGGTTGGGACCCCCGAGAAGGTTTCACATTAAAAAGAAAATATATTTGGGGCCCCCGAGAAGGTTTTACATTAAAAAAAAAACAGTTGGGACTCCCGAGAAGGTTGCACATTAAAATAAAAGATATTTGGGAGCTCCGAGAAGGTTTTACATTTTAGAATAGACAGTTGGGACCCCCGAGAAGGTTTCACATTTAAAACAAAAGATATTTGGGACCCCGGAGAGGGTTTAACATACACATGGGACCCCCGAGGTTTTATATTTTTAAAAAAGACAGTTGGGACCCCCGAGAAGGTTTCACATTAAAAAGAAAATATATTTGGGGCCCCCGAGAAGGTTTTATATTTTTAAAAAAGACAGTTGGTAACCCCAAGAAGATTTCGCCTTCTTTAAAAAGGAAAATTGGTACCTCACGAAAGTTTCACATTTTTAAAAAAAGATATTTGGGGCCTCCAAGAATTTTTTACATTTTTTAAAAAGACATTTGGGACTCTCGAGAAGGTTTCACATTAAAAAAAAAGATATTTGAGACCACGGGGAGGGTTTAACATACACATGGGACCCCCGAGGTTTTATATTTTTAAAAAAGACAGTTGAGACCCCCGAGAAGGTTTCACATTAAAAAGAAAATATATTTGGGGTCTTCGAGAAGGTTTTATATTTTTAAAAAAGACAGTTGGCAACCCCAATAATATTTCTCCTTCGTTAAAAAGGAAAATTGGTACCCCACGAAAGTTTCACATTTTTAAAAAAAAGATATTTGGGGCCTCCAAGAATTTTTTACATTTTTTAAAAAGACATTTGGGACTCCCGGGAAGGTTTCACATTAAAAAAAAAAAGATATTTGGGAGCCCCGAGAAGGTTTTGCATTTTAGAATAGACAGTTGGGACCCCCGAGAAGGTTTCACATTAAAAATAAAATATATTTGGGGCCCCCGAGAAGGTTTTACATTTTTAAAAATGATAGTTGGGACTCCCGTGAAAGTTTCACATTAAAAAAAAAGATATTTGTGAGCCCTGAGAAGGTTTTACATTTTAGAATAGACAGTTGGGACCCCCGAGAAGGTATTATGTTTTTACAAAAGACAGTTGGGGCCCCCGAAGTTTCACATTAAATAAAAAGATATTTGGGGCCCCGGAGAAGGTTTTACATTTTAAAAAAATACAGTTGGGATCCCTGAGAAGGGTTTACATTTTTAAAAAAGACATTTGGGACTCCCGAGAAGGTTTCACATTAAAAAAAAAGATATTTGGGAGCCCCGACAAGATTTTACATTTTAGAATAGACAGTTGGGACCCCCGAGAAGGTTTTATATATTAAAAAAAGGCAGTTGAGGCCCCCGAAGTTTCACATTAAAAGAAAGATATTTGGGGCCCCCGAGAATGTTTTACATTTTTAAAAAAGACAGTTGCGTCCCCCGAGGCTTCTCCTTCTTAAAAAAATTGGTCAAAGTTTACTTCGACAAAACTTTCCTCGCCCTTGAAGTACAGCCAAATAAATCATTTTCTTGCTTTCTGATAATCTCTATAAGATAAAAATCAGTGGCGTCAATAACGCTCCCGCAGCTTATTTGACTTGCATTTTTCTTCAATTTTAATTTTTTTTTTCCTAATTATTTCGATTTGCATTTTTTCTAGTTTTCAAGTTCATTTTTTTTTAATTTTCCAACTTTTCAGTTTAATTTCTAGATTTTGCACTTTTCGATTCGAGTTTCTCGAGGTTTCAATTTTTAATTTTTCCATGTGCAATTTTTCGTTTCAGTTTTTCATTTTCTTTATTTGTATAAAAAACTGCCACAATTGTAAAATTAAAAAATCGGAAGTTTTTTCAGTTGCCCAGAGAAATCAAAAATCGAAAGACAGATTAAAAAATTGAAAATTTAAAAAGCGGGAAATTGAAAAATTCGAAAGTTGAAAAATCGAAAAAAAAAAATCTAGTTATACGTTACGATAAAACTGGAATAGGTCGTCTGCCAAAATCAGTCTTATCTTGGCAAGTATGAGACTGATTTTTAAATATAATATTTTACATATAAATTACATATTCTCTAAGAAAATAAGGGTGGGTGGGCGGGGCTAGTACTTTTTCATAGATGAGTAAGTCATTTGTCAAAATGAGTCATGTTTTCAAGTTCAGTTCGGATTGCAGAGTTTTTGTTTGGATTAAAGAGATATCGACTTCAACTAGCCTCTGTTCGGATTACTGGATGTTCGGATAATCGTGGGTTCGGATTATAGATGTTATACTGTACTTCCTTCGCTTACGTTCGGGAGGTAAAAGGGGTACATTGTAGTCAATATGTTGTATACATGGGTTGTACAATTTACGATAAAAGAAACAACAAAAATTTAAATGCAGATAATTTTATTCAACAACAAACAATATTCGCAATGTATTTTTTAATGATAATAAAAAAACATAAATTGAATAATATCATCTTATTAACACTTATCATGGAATTATCGAGCGAAAGTCACAAAATATGTTCACCTTTTCTGATAAAGTTAAAAAAAGTAAACTCAGTCTACATTTCAGTCTTTGGTCGAATTTCAATCCACTTTTTGATAGCCGGGAGCTCATTTACTTTTTCCCTCAAACCTTTCAAATTTGGAAAACCGGCAAGGTTGTCTTTTCCAGTCAGTATATCGAATATTGGAGAAAGCGACGCCCAGTGTAAATCGGCCCACGTCAACTGCAACACAACAATAATTTCCAAAATAACAAAACCGAAAATTCTTACCCGTCCCAGTGCCAAATAACCGTTATTCTTTTGAACGATCGCTTCCAAACGCGGCAAATAATAAGGAAGCGCTTCTTTCAGAGCCTTTTCTTTCAGTGACTCCTTTTTAGAACTGTCTTGCTCATAATAAATAGGTAACACCTCTGTAAAATTACAAAACCAAAATTCAAAAACAATCAAACAGAATCAAGCACTTGACATACTGAGATACAAATCATACACAGTGTTCACAATTGCATCAATCTCCAAGTCCTCCCAATCGTCATTCCCCGCTAACTTAACTTTCTTCGCCAAATATTTGGCAATAGCGATGCTCTGACAAATCTGCTTCCCTTCATGTTCCAGAACCGGGACTATCCCGAACTGCATTTCTGCAAAGTTGACACACTAAAGTTTAAGGAGCAAAAACTAAATTCGGTGTACTTGGTTTCAACTGGGGCCACTCCTCATCCTCGAAACGGATGTCTTCAAATTCGATACCGCCGTAGTTGAAAAGGAAGCGACATGTTTCTCCCAAACCACGGGCGTTAAAGTAGATGAATTTGTAAGCCGGTGCCATCGCAAAATCCGCGACTCAAAACTAGCTTTTTGTGCTACCAAATATGCGCCGAGAACTGGCAGATTAACAATATTGTCAGATGCGCGCGCCGCCTCTAATTTAATGAAAATGAAGGTCAAGTGGCTTATTTCGGTTCGGGAAGCTGGCAACGAAAATTGAAGCTTGAAATCTTTTTTTTTTATTGAGTCTGTTTGTTTTACCTTTTAAATGGTTTGTGAGATTTTCATTTTCATATTATATATAGTTTAATTATTTTATTTGCTTACACAGGAGATGTAAAAAAATAATGTATGGATTGATTTATTTTTATAGTTATTTAGTGAATGGGTCATAATTTATCTAAATTTGCAAACATAGTAATGTTATGATTCACATTATATTGTACTATAAACATTAACACGCTTATCCCCACCAAACAAGAAATGACATCATCTCAGCAACCATTAATAATTGCTATGCATGAGATAGTTGTTTTCCCTAAGAGGGAGGAGAACTTTTGTGTAAATAATTAAACTGTTAGGTTTTTTTAAAATTTATGTTTTATTTTACATACGTAAAAAATACACTTTAAAATGGTGTCTTTGGTCGAGCTTCAATCCACTTCTTAATGGCCGGCAACCCGTTCACTTTTTCCCTCAAACCCTTCAGATTGGCATATTTAGCCAGGTTGTCGCCTCCGGTCAATAAATCGAACATCGGAGACATTGTAGCAAAGTAGAAATCAGCCCAGGTCAACTAAAGTAATCACACGATCTTAAAAACCATTTTAAATCTGACTTGCATTCTTACCCGACCCAACGCCAAATATCCTTTATTTTTCTTAACACGCTCTTCGAAACGCGACAAATAATAAGGGAGAGATTCTTTCTGAGCAGTTTCAATCAGTGTCTTCTTCTTAGATTCGTCCTTTTCGGAAAATATAGGTACCAATTCTACAAACCACAAAATCAGAAGTTGTTCAAACTAAGTCAAATTTTCGTACTCTGATACAAATCTTGAACTGTATTGACAACTGCATCGATTTCCAGGTCTTCCCAATCGTCGTTTCCTGCCAGTTTGACTTTTTTGGCCAAATAACGTGCAATGGCGATGCTTTGGCCCACTTGTTTTCCGTTGTGTTCGAGAAGGGGGACCACACCGAAGGGAGTTTCTGCGGGATTTTGGTCATAGTTATATTTTAGTATTAATTTGTCCACTTACTTGGTTTCCACTGGGGCCAATCTTCTTGTTTTATGCGGACATCCTCGAAATCGATTCCTCCGTAATTGATAAGGAAGCGAGAGGTTTCAGCCACTCCACAGCCATCAAAGTAAGTAAGTTTGTATGCTGGTGCCATTTCTGGAAACTATTTTCGAAGAAGGACGTAAATAGTGTCGAACGAGTGTTGAGCTGTACAGCGAACGAATGTTCAAGGATCACTGACGAAAATGTGCAGATTACATGCTAAAGTTTGTTTATATACGCAGTTGTTATCTTGAATTTGTTTTGGAGGTATATAGAAGTCAGTTATTTGTTAGTAGTGGGGTATTTTTAAACAATAAAAGTTAAAACATTTGCAAATATTTATTATGATGAGTGTGAACAACCGTATCTGAGACAATAATAACGTTAGTTTGAAAAAAGAAAATTTGACCTTGTGAATCTTCACGGAAAAATTCATACATGAAATTACATTTCACTTTGTGACCGTGCTCTCTGATCCGTTCTTTCGTTGCTGGTGATGCTTCACACTCACTACAGGAATCTTTCCCTTTTTTTCTGTGATAAAATGATATTGATACAGATGTATTATAATCAAACTGCAGCTTTTTTCATGTTCTAAACCCCTGAAAACAGTTACATCAACTTAAAAATGTCTTTATTAAAATCAAAATATACCATAAATTAATTCAAAATACGTGGAATGATTTTAATAGAAGTATTAGTGGAAAATTAGTGATACACTGCTTAGCAGAGTTTTTAACAAAAACGAACAATTACTGAAGAAAAATGGCTTTGAATTCAAGGCGGTTTGAGTGGTTTTCGACTGATTTGTCTAATTTATCACGACGAACTCAAGTTCAAAATTAATTTTATACAAGTCACCCGGAAGAGTGGATGCTATTATGTCGATTATCATATCAGAAACTGGTAGATTTGGAGTCATATAATTGTTAATATTTCTAGTCCATGGTAGATTAGGACTGTCTGTACTATTTTAGTATTACTACAAATTCATTATAATACCTACAGCTGAACAGGATTTTTTATTATTAAAATTTTGACGAACAATTTACCATGTTTCTGATTACATTTATTCTACTTCAGGCATTGCAGCGAAATTTATATATTTATCCGAATTAAAAAAACTCTGTTTATTTAATGCCCATTTATTACCACCTAAAATTCCTAATTTACCGTTAGAGACCTAAAGTGTTAATTAAACGACCTAATTGTAAATTTTAAAAGACTTAAAATAGGATTCCACGACCAACGAAGCGGACGTGCTTGCACAATAGAGATTTTCCGTGAATTCATTGTTTTGGCTGGCAGATTGTTTAAAAATGGGTTGTAAACAACGCTCTTGAGTTTAATGGTACGGGTTGGTGTCGCCAACTGACAACGCTGGCCTGCATTTCATTTAGATTATAGCTGGAAAGAGGTGAATCTTTGAAAAAGCATTTTATTTTAGAATTTTATTGTTATTGATACTGAGTGTCTTTGCGTGTTAGTGAGTGTGCTGGGGCCGGTTTTGATTTTTGTGCATACAGTAAAGAATCCTCAACATGCCTAAGGTAAAATCATCCATGAAAGATAAAATCAAATTATGGTTAGGGAATAATTTGGACACTAATTTTCAATTTTCTTCAAAGACAATGAGTTATTCTGCAAAGTGTGTGGAAAAGTTGTATGTAAACATTTGAAATATTGAAGCTTGAATTTTGTTCACATTTTTGTTTCCTAGTTTAAGTGCGAAAAAAAAATCACACTTTGAACAACACTGCATTGGCGATGCACATAAAAAGAACGAGAATAAATCCACTAAACAGACTTTATTAAACATTAGTTCCGACAATGATTTTACGCAATTTTGCACCGATTTATGTAGGGCATTTACCGCAGCAAATATTCCACGGAATAAAGTTAATTGTCTTGAGTTTAAAAATTTTATGCATAAATATACAGGAATCTCAGAAAGCACTCTGAGAAAAACATATTTACCAAAAGATTACGATATGGTGAGCACTAGAATTTTTATTTAAAAACTTTTTAACGTAAATTTTATAATTTACAGGTAATTAAACAAATTAGAAATTCTTTTGGCAGTAATAATATATGGATTAGCGTCGATGAGACGGACAGATTAGGAAGATACATAGCCCATTTAGTAATTGGAAAGTTATCTTCTGAAGAAGCTGACTGTCCATTTCTACTAGCTTTGAAGCAGCTTGATAAAACTAATAGCAACACAATCTCGAGATTTATAACGAATCATTGGGTGTGCTATTGATAATTTTAAGCATTGAAATTATTATAATTTATTTAATTGTTAATTTGTAGCTTTATTGTGGCCAAAAGGAACTGAACACAAAAAAGTTAAATGGTTTGTATCAGATGGTGCTTCATACATGATCAAAACTGGTACTAATTTGAAGGTGTTTTGTGAAAATATAACACATTTAACATGTATGGCACATGGGTTACATTTAAAGTGTCTGAAACAATTCGACTGAATTATCCAGATGTCAATGAGATAATTAGCAATGTTAAGAAAATCTTTTTGAAAACACCAATAAGAATAGAGTTTTATAAAAACAGTTTACTAAATACACCTCTCCCAACTGAACCTGTATTAACCAGGTGGGGCACTTGGATTCAAGCAGCATTGTTTTATGCAGAACACTTTGATGTTTTAAAACAAGTGAGTAAATATATAATGGTCTTTTACTATAATTCTTATATTGGATATTTTTAGGTTGTAATGTCATTTGAAGCTACAGATGCACAAAGCATTAAAAACTCAAGCACTCCTGAATAAAGCAAACGTTAAAAATGAACTCTTGTAGGTACATTAAAACTCACTTTAAAATTATTGCTGATGCAATAGAACAATTGGAAACTATAGGTTTAAAATTAAACCAAAGTATGGAAATTGTGGAAAAAGTGTATACATCTTTAAAGAACACACCAGGAAAGATGGGGGAAATGGCGCTCCAAAAATTATGTTCTCTATTATAAAAGCATCCAGGGTACGATTTTATATGTTCAGTAAATAACGTAATTTGTGGTAATGGAAATGCTACTAACAATACATACATAAATGAAAACGTAGTTTGTTGAATATTTAATTTTGCACCCATCACTTCTTGTGATGTGGAACGCACGTTTTCAAAACTTAAAAGTGTTTTAAGCGATCAAAGGGGTAAATTTACAATCGAAAATTTAGAGAAATATATAGTTTGCTTTTGTAACACATTTTAAATACCTGAATTAATATTTTATTTTTTGTTAAATGCGACTTGCTTTAATTTGATCGCCATAACTTGCGATAAATTAGAATTAGTGGACGTAACTATAGATCGTTTGTTTGTTTAATCATTTTTTTGTTTGTTACACAAAATATTTGTTTCTATAATGTTTTGTTTAATGTTTTTTTTTTTAATATATATTTTTTTGATGTATGCTTTTTCGTTGAGCAAATATTTTTTCCTCCACGTTTTTAAGCTAAACTAAGATTTCTATAACCTGATTCGTCAATTTTGGGACCTAAAAATGTCTCCTTTTATTCATTTTTTAACGACCTAAAATCCGATGCCTAGTGATGAGGTAATTAATTTTTTGAGAGGAGATAAACGGAAAAATTTTGTTTAACCTTTTACCATTCTTACAATAACCTTAAAACGTTTTCAAGAATTCAGAGCATTCGGTTTTGCAATCAGATACATCTGTAGAAAAGAAGTATTATGTAATAAATTATTAATATGAAGTCAATGGGGAAAAACATGAAAATTAAAAAACAAATTTTATGTTAATTTTTGTTCATTTCACTCCTAAGTTTCGTCCTGCGTCATTTTCAAAGTGTCAATATTCGTCAGTTTTTTCGATTGTTCACTGGATCAAGTTGATCTGGTAATCCTCATCTAAAATCTACCCGTAATAAATTTGTTAAATAAGAATTTATTATTTATTAAAAAAAATCACTGTATTGTTTGGTTTAAAATATTACCTCAAAAAATTCTCGTTTGGAATTCAAAATTTTTTGTAAGTTTTGGTCTTTGTCCACTTTATTCTATCTAAGCGTTTAGGGTTTATGGAAACCCGCAGTGAGGAGGTGGAACAGTCTAATATCCCTCTTTTGTTCGGAACATGTTTTCCCCCTTCCTTTCTTATTTCTTTCCAACATTCTTGCAATATTTTGCAATCACCTCTCTCACTAAACTTCTCTTCAAATCCAACCGCCCTTTTACCCGCTTCCACTCTCATTTTCTCCCTTTTTGTTTCTTCTCTCACTATATACCCCGGCGTATACTTTTCCAATCCCAATGTCCATTTCAAGTATTTTTCTTGCACTCTCTCTATTTTTTTATATTCCCTCCATCCCCAAATCTCAGCTCCGTATATAAATACACTTTTGATCAAACTATCAAACATCATCATTCTTCTCTTATAATCATGTCCAAATTTTCTCTCTCCTATTCCCCATACTATTTCTATCACTTTGTTCGCTTTTCGGACCATTTCTTGAATATGCGCTCTATCTGAGTTATTGCTCTTTAATGTATAAGTACTGGAATTCTTTCACCTGTTCAATGTTCTTCCCTCTCCATGCCCACTCTTCCTTCTCCTTTCTTACTTTCTTCCAAAACACCCCCATTTTTTTTTCCACATTCACTTCCAATTCCTTTTTTTACATACTTCTCGAAATTTTTAGTCATTGTTTTCATTTCTTCTCTATTCCATTCACTCTCACCGTATTTACTGTTTCTTCCTATATTTCTTCCATTTTCGTTACCAGGTACGCATCTATTCCCTTTCTCCTCAAATACTCCCACATTTTCTCTCTATTCACGCTATCAAACGCTGCTTTGAAATCTATGAACAATGCGTACATTCGTCCACCCTCTTTCCTTATTTCTCTTTCCAGTAAATTTCGCAGGATGTACACATTGTCCATAGCACCTCTTCTTTCCTAAACCCTGCCTGACCGTCTGATAACATACCCCTTGCTTCCATCTCCTTTCGTAACCTCTCATCTAGTATCATTGCGCATAACTAATTGAGCAAGGTGATCCCTCGGTAGTTCTTCACATCACTTTTTTGACCCTTTTTAAATAATGGAATTTTTATGCCTTCTCTCCATTGCCGAGGAAACCCTTTTCCCTTCCAAACTCCATCTACCACTTCCCATATCTTTCTTTCACTCCTTCTGTCCCGAACATCCACGTTTCGTTCTGGACTCCATCCCCTCCTGGTGCCTTTCCTCTTTTCAGTCCTTCAATCTGTCTTCCTATTTCATCTTCTGTTATTTCCGAACCTCTCCGCATTTCTTTCGTTGTTGTGATTCCTTTATTTATTTTGCAGCATTTTTCCTCACAACCTCCCTATAATTCTATAAAGTGTCTTTTCCATGTATTTTGAAAGTCTTCCTTCTCCGTTCCTTGTTTATATATCTCCATACGTCTTCTTCTGTATTCAGGCACTTTATTGTCTTCTCTTCTTCTTCTCGTTTTTCTCTTTTTCTTTCTTCCCATTTTCTCCTATAATTTTCTCTTGCTTTTAGGTACTCTTCTTTCCTTCCCTTGTTATTCTCCCATTTTCTTAATTTTTCCCTTGCTTTTCTCCTCAACTCACTACATTCTCCGTTCCATCCATTATTCCTCCCTTGCCATATGAATATCTTTCTTTTTTCCGTAGCTTCTACAATTAGGTTGCTCAGTTCCGTTATCATAGCTTCTATATCTTTTTCACTTCGAATTTCTTTTTTTCTATTTCTTTTCTTTCGTTTCTTCTCTCTTGTTTTTCGTACTCTTGCTCTTTTCCTTTGATTTTTATTTCTAGTGGCATTTGGACTGATTCTACCCTTTCTCCCACTTTGAAACTCTCTATTTCTTCCCACGCCTCTGACAATCTCATATTATTGTCAATACTTTTCACTATCAACTTAGTGTGAAATAATTTGGTATGATTTCATTAAGAGATTTTTCTTTCATTGTTTTTTTTTCTTGTTGTATATTGTTCTACCCAGATAACTTTAATATTTTTCTAAAGGAACAACAAACAGTATTTAAAATAATTTTAAATGATTGTCTTAAGATATCGTAAATGGTGTTTACAATGGAATAAATTTCTAGATTCTCCCAAAAATTCGAATGAAATTCGAAGCAAAGTTTACAATTGTTCTAAAAAATATTATTGGTAACAGGGAACTCCTTAAAATTCGTTTTAGAAACAGCTATATCTACTAAGTATACTGTAGCAATAATTGTGCCGCATACTTTTGCTGAAGCTATTACTACAGCAGGTTACTTTGGCCGCTTCTCGATATAGCTCTATTCAAGCCAGGTTTTAAAGGTTTCAAAGATAATTTCTTCATTGTTCTGCTTACCATCTATATAATAAAAAAAGAAATATTAGTAGCTAGTACTTGTTAAGACAAGATTGATTTTGGTAAATGGTATATCCTCTACAAAAAAAAGGGTGGGTGGGTGGGGCTAAGACTTGCTAAGCTAGGATTGAACAGTATTAAGAGTAGTCACTGCAGCGAAGAAGGGGTGGGTGGACGGGGCTACTGCTTACTCATAAAACTCCATTTCACTGACTTATTTTATTTAGTGTAAAATGGAAATTAGAAATTGAAAAATAACATTATTGTATTCCCAACATTTCTGGCAAAATGGACTGAGCGGTTCCTGATTTAATCGATAAAATAAATTGACTCACGAGCCAATTTCAAATTGGGTTTACAATTTCGCAAGTCTCGGTTGCTATGGAAGTTGCGATGACAGCAGTCGCGAGGACGAATCAAATCGCGAATCGCAACAACTGTCATCGAAATTACCATAGCAACGGCACTTGCGATTTCGCAAATCTAACTTGAAACTACCCCCTTAGTCATTAATTTTTTTGAGACAACCTGTATAAGCAAATCTAAAAAATATTAACGCAGTGATAAATCACAAGTACAGATCATCATATTTTGCACATTTAAGATAAGATTTTTTTCAGCAATATTTTGAGGGGACGTCATCGATTTTTAGGGGGGTGAGCAAATACAGTTTGATCAAAAATCTACCATGCTCATGATCATTTTAAAACATCGCCAAAATTTCGAAGCATTGGGTTTTGCAGTTCCTGATTAAATCAATAAAATAAATTCGCGCATTCATTAATATTTTTTTGAGTCACCCTGTATAAGTAAATCCAAAAAATATGAATGGAATGATAAATCACAAGTACGGACTCATACTATCTTCTACATTTTAGATAGGATTTATTCAGCAAAATTTCGAGCCGACGTCATCAGTTTTTTGGGGGCGATAAGCAAATATTTTCTTCAAGAATTTCAGACATGTTGATACCTTATTGAACCCAATTTCCATCAAACCTCCAAAGGCTCTATCCAGTTCAAGTCTTTTAATCGTCGTAAGGAGGGAGCAGTGTTACATGATGTTAAATAGATCTGACGCGTGCTGAGCTGTGTACTGCGAATGCATGTTCAAAGATCACTAGTTCAAAGGTGGGATCATTACTAGCTAAACTGTTCATTTATACTTCAGTTGTTAAATATTTAATAAATGTTAAATCGGTTTTGACATAATAAAATTAGTTATAATATGGTAACGAAATTATACTTCATTTTGTGGTTATACTAAGTATAATCCATTTTTTAAATTTTGGAAATGCTTCAACTTTTTTCCTTAGATGGTGTCTATAATGGAATGGATATATCCAGATTCTTCTAAGCTTCATCCGAAGAAAGATCTACAATTCTGCCCAAATACCTACAGATGGAAACACCTCGTTCACTATTTTGCCATTGTGTTTCAAAAATGGTAAAAGGTGATTTTAGATTGAAAAATAATTTTTGGATTTGAAAGACATGTAATGTAAATTGGTCATCTATTCTATTGTTAAGTAGCTTTATTGTACGTTGAAATAGGTACTAACAGCTTAGGGTTGCTTGTGTTTGCTGATGTTTTAGATACACTTATAAATATCTGTATTTACCCAGAAACAAATAAACAGGTTTACCTCTCTGCAGAGAAATTTGGCATTATATGCAAAAAATTGCTAAAATATGCAAGATATGCAAGAAATGCAAGAAAAATTACTTTTTTTACACATTCATATTTTATTTCTATAATTTCTTACAACGTTTATAACTTAGATAATATTATTATGAAATAAACCCATACGCCGCCCCGGTACGACGCCTATGGGTCGTCGGGAACTTTCTAGTGTATACGGAGATGACTCATCGTCGAAGACAGCGGCCGACGCTCGCTAGAGAAAGGCCTGGAAACGGAAGTCGCGTTCCCATTTAATAGTTGTATAAAAAATTTAGAGGATTTACGTTTTATTTTTTATCTTTCACATGAAAATCAGTTCATTTTAAAACAACATACGTAAAAAAATACATTTTAAAACGGTGTCTTTGGTCGAACTTCAATCCACTTCTTAATGGCTGCCAATCCGTCGACTTTTTCCTTTAAACCCTTCAGATTGGCATATTTAGCCAGGTTGTCGCCTCCAGTCAATAAATCCATCATCGGAGTTATTGTAGCAAAGTAGAAATCGGCCCAGGTCAACTAAAACAAGCACACGATCTCTAAATCCATTTTAAATCTGACTTGTAACTCTTACCCGACCCAACGCCAAATATCCTTTGTTTTTCTTAACAAGTTCTTCAAGACGCGACAAATAATAAGGAAGCGATTCTTTCTGAGCACTTTCAATCAGTGCCTTCTTCTTAGATTCGTCCTTCTCGTAATATATAGGTCCCAACTCTACAAAACACAAAATCAGAAATTATTCAAACTAAGTCAAATTTTCGTACTCAAATACAAATCTTGAACTGTATTAATAACTGCATCGATTTCCAGGTCTTCCCAATTGTCGTTTCCTGCCAGTTTGACTTTTTTGGCCAAGTAACGTGCAATGGCGAGGCTTTGGCCCACTTGTTTTCCGTTGTGTTCGAGAAGGGGGACTACACCGAAGGGAGTTTCTGCGGGATTTTGGTCATAGTTATATTTTAGTATTAATTTGTCCACTTACTTGGTTTCCACTGGGGCCAATCTTCTTGTTTTATGCGGACATCCTCGTAATCGATTCCTCCGTATTTGAAGAGGAAGCGAGAGGTTTCGGCCAGTCCACAGCCATCAAAATAAGTAAGTTTGTATGCTGGTGCCATTTATGGAAACTATTTTCGAAGAAGGACTAAGTAAATAGTGTGGAACGAGTGCGGAGCTGTACAGCGAATGAATGAATGTTCAAGGACCACTAATAAAAGTGTACGAATTACATCCTAAAGTTGTTTATATACATAGTAGTTATCTCCAATTGGCTTTGAGGTATCTAGAAATTAATTATTTGTTAGTAGTGGGGTATTTTTAAACAATAAAAGTTAATCAACCACAAAAATGTGACAGAAAAATATCGTAAAAAAACCACCATTGTGTTCTGTCTTTTTTTTGTGTGTTAATCATCATAGAGTCACTTGAAAATCCTCACATTCATAAAGTCATATTAAACATTTGTTAGTGGTACAATTTATTTTAATAATAATGCCTTTATTAAAATCAAAATACACCATAACTTCATTCAAAATACGTCGAATGATTTTGACAAGAGTGTTAGTGGAAAATTATCGATACAGTGGAGTTATGTAATCTCTAGTGTTTGCTGATGTTTTAGATATCATATACACCTATATTTGTATTTACCCAGAAACACATAAACAGGTTTATCTTTCATGTGCATTTTTAGAAAAAGTGTTAGAGATAAAAGTTATCTCCTCACGTCCTTGTAAACTATTTTATTTATTTGATTTTTTAGAAAATTTGACAAATTAATAAAACCGACTGTGGTTTCAACAAGATAAAGTTCTATAAAATAATTAAAGAAATCATTACTCATTCTGATGCATGTATGAGTAATGGAGGGCTAGCAAAACCGCTATTCATTAAAATCGTGTATTATTTATTTACATTTTTAATCACTCTCACACAAATAAGAAATAAATACACATTTCAAAAGTCACTCGCTGGTCTAGTTTCAATCTTCTTAATAGCTGGGAGTTCGTTAACTTTGTCTCTCACAGCTTTCAATTTTGGGCAATTGGCCAGACAATCCTGGCCAGTGATGGCATCAAACATTGGAGAAATCGTAGCAAAGTAAAAATCAGCCCACGTCAACTAAAACAAAACTTCTAAACCAAGTATCCAATTTTTGGAAAATTAGTACCCGACCAAGTGCCAAATAACCATAATTTTTTTCAACAATGGCTTCTAAACGAGGAAGGTGATACGAAAATGACTCCTTAATTAGAGTGTCAATAAGAGCGTTCCTCTTAGTTTGGTCTTGCTCTCTTCCAATGGGAACCAGTTCTACCAAACCAAGATAGAAAAAAAAATCAAACTATTAAAACAGTCGTTACTTTGTCGAATGTCGCTAATTGTATCCACGATGGAATCAATTTCCAAATTTTCCCAATCGTTGTTTCCTGCAAGTTTGACAAGATTGGCTAAATAGCGAGCAATCGCGATGCTCTGGTTTATTTGTTTGCCGTTGTGTTCCAGAAGAGGAAGTTGACCAAATGGAGTTTTTTCTTTCCACTGGGGCCAGTCTTCGAACTGGACGCGGGCATCTTCAAATTCTATTCCACCGTATTTGAAAAGAAAACGAGACGTTTCGGCTACACCGTAAATTAATCACCGTAAATTAATTTGTACTCTGGTGCCATTTTGACAATAATTCACCGTGCTGTGGTAATACTTGGAAAGTATTGAAACGTGGAGGAGATTTATGTAATCAGTGATACAAATAACCCTATCTAATCGCTTTCTGGCAGGTTTTTAATTGGGTGTAATACCGCATTCGACGATAAATCTAGGTTTGGATTAACTCTTTTTTTATTTTTTACGTTGCTAATTTTTGCACAACAATCACAGTTTAAAACTGAGTCTTTGGTCGAACTTCAATCCACTTCTTAATGGCCGGCAACCCGTTCACTTTTTCCATCAAACCCTTCAGATTTGCATATTTAGCCAAGTTGTCGCGGCCTGTCAATACATCGAACGTCGGAGACATTGTAGCAAAGTAGAAATCGGCCCAGGTCAACTAAAGCAAACACACGATCTCTAAATCGATTTTAAGTCTGACTTGTAACTCTTACCCGACCCAACGCTAAATATCCTTTATTTTTCTTAACAAGTTCTTCAAAACGCGGCAAATAATAAGGGATCGTTTCTTTTTGAGCAGTTTCAATCAGCGCCTTCTTCTTAGATTCGTCCTTCTCGTAATATAAAGGTGCCAACTCTACAAAACACGAAATCAGAAATTGTTCAAACTAAGTCAAACTTTCGTACTCTGATACAAATCTTGAACTGTATTGACAACTGCATCAATCTCCAGGTCTTCCCAATCGTCGTTTCCTGCCAGTTTGAGTTTTTTGGCTAAATAACGCGCAATGGCTATGCTTTGGCCCACTTGTTTTCCGTTGTGTTCGAGAAGGGGGACCATACCGAAGGGAGTTTCTAAGAGATTTTGGTCATCCTTATGTTTTAGAATTAATTTGTGGCTTACTTGGTTTCAACTGGGGCCAATCTTCTTGTTTTATGCGCACATCCTCGAAATCGATTCCTCCGTAATTGAAAAGGAAGCGAGAGGTTTCAGCCACTCCACAACCATCAAAGTAAGTAAGTTTGTATTTTGGTGCCATTTCTGGAAACTATTTTTGAAGAAGGAGTAAGTAAATAATGAACGAGTGTTGAGCTGTATAGCGAACGAATGTTCACGGATCACTGACGAAAATGTGAGGATCACATCCTAAAATTGTTTGTTTATATACGTAGTTATCTCCAATTTGCTTTGAGGTATCTAGAAATCAGTTATTTGTTAGTAGTGGGGTATTTTTAAACAATAAAAGTTACAATATTTGCAGATGTTTGTTCTGATTCAATCGACCAAAAAATGTGTCATTATAGAATCCCTTGGAAATCCTTACATTCACGAAGTAACGTATTTCAAAGACCCCTGTAACATTAAATATTTGTCTTTATTGAAATCAAAATACACCATAAATTAATTCAAAATAAGTCGAATAATTTTGACAAGAGTAAATTAATTATTAGTACCTGCTAAGATAAGACTGAACAATATTAAAAGTAGTGACTGGAATGAAAAGTGGGTGGGTGGGTGGGGCCATTGCTTAATTATAAAAGACTCTGTAGGAAAAAGATAAACCTAGCCCCGCTCACCCATGCGTTCTCTCATTTTTTTCTTTTGAAATAAGGAATGAATCTCATAGCAAATACTACGATTAGGGGTTTTTTCTCTCTTTTTAGCAGCCTAGCCCCGCTTATCAACCCCGCCTCCATTTTAGTGATCCATTTTACTCCGTCTGAATAAAAGGTGGGTCTTATACTCAACAGAAATAAAACCGTCAATGAGAAAAGCGCGAGTGAGCGGAGCTAGTACTTGCTAAGATAAGTCTGATTTTGGTAAATGACATAGCCCGTAAGTAAATAAAGGGTGGGTGGCTGGGGCTAGTATTTGCTACGATAAGACTGATTGCAGCAAATGACATACCTTCTAAGAAAATGGGGGCGGGTGGGCGGGGGTAGTACTTGCTAAGATAAGACTGAACAATATTTAGAGTAGTGACTGAATGAAGAGAGGGTGGGTGGGTGGGGCTATTGTTTAATTATAAAAGACTTTGTAGGAAAAAGTTAAACTTAGCCCCGCCCACCCACCCGTTTTCTCATTTTTTTATTTTTGAAATAAACAAGATTAGTGGTACAACAAAAAAGTACGATTAACGTTTTTTTTTCTTTTTTTATGAGCCCACATTTATTACATTTTTTAGTGGCAAATTATCAATACAGTGGGGTTATATTCTCTTGTGTTTGCTGATGTTTTAGATATCATATACACCTAAATCTGTATTTACCCAGGAACAAATAAACAGGTTTGTCTATCGTGGTATTTTTAGAAAGAGTGTTAGAGATAAAAGTTACGTCCTCACGTCCTTGTAAACTATTTTATTTATTTGATTTTTTAGAAAATTTGACAAATGAATGAAACCAACTGTGGTTTCAACAAGATTATGTTCTAAAAAATAATTAAAGAAATGAATATGCCAAAATTAGATTTTATTTAAGCGGATATTATCAGTGATGAATTTGCACTTCTATCTCTATCCTCGTTGGTTATGAAATTTGTCTAATCATTCTGATGCATGTATGAGTAATGTAGGGCTAGCAAAACCGCTATTCATTAAAATCGTGTATTATTTATTCACATTTTTAATCACTCTCACACAAATAATAAACAAATACACATTTCAAAAATCACTTGCTGGTCTAGTTTCAATCCACTTCTTAATAGCTGGGAGCTCGTTAACTTTGTCCCTCACAGCTTTCAATTTTGGGTAATTGGCTAGACAATCCTGGCCAGTGATGGCATCAAACATTGGAGAAATCGTAGCAAAGTAAAAATCAGCCCACGTCAACTAAAACAAAACTTCAAAACCGAGTACTCCATTTTTGGAAATTAGTACCCGACCAAGTGCCAAATAACCATTATTTTTTTCAACTATGGCTTCCAAACGAGGAAGGTGATACGAAAACGAGTCCTTAATTAAAGTGTCAATAAGAGTCTTCCTCCTAATTTGGTCTTGCTCTCTACCAATCGGAACCAGTTCTACAACACCAAAATAGAAAAAAAATCAAACTGTTCAAACAGGTGTTACTTTGTCGAATGTCGCTAACTGTATCCACGATAGAATCAATTTCCAAATTTTCCCAGTCGTCGTTCCCTGCAAGTTTGACAAGATTGGCTAAATAGCGAGCAATCGCGATGCTCTGGTTTATTTGTTTGCCGTTGTGTTCCAGAAGAGGAAGTTGACCAAATGGAGTTTTTTCTTTCCACTGGGGCCAGTCTTCGAACTGGACGCGGGCATCTTCAAATTCTATTCCACCGTATTTGAAAAGAAAACGAGACGTTTCGGCCACACCCCTATAATCACCGTAAATTAATTTGTACGCTGGTGCCATTTTGACAATAATTCACTGTGTTGTGGTAATATTTAGAAAGCACTGAAACGTGGGGAGAACTAGGTGATCCGTGATTACAAATAACCCTATCTAATCATTATCTTCAATGATAAAACCAGGTGTATTCACATTTAGAATTTTTTATTGTGATAACTGACATTGCGAAATTAATATTCACTTTGCGGTCGTACTCTAATCCATTCTTTTATTGCTGGTAATGACTCCTTCTTAGAGCTTTAAGATTTGGATATTTTTCGAAAACGTCACCACCAGCAAAATAGTCAAAACCTGGACACATGCTGACGAAGTACAAATCAAACGTGTATGATTTGGTATGATTTCATTAAGAGATTTTTTTTTCATTGTTTTTTTTCTCGAAGCATCTTGTTCCATCCGGACCACCTTAATACTTTCTGTAAGAAAGGTTTGTGACTGATATTTACGTTATTACTAATTTTGAGAATTGACGATGATATTTTGTATTTAAAGAATTTTATTGCATTTACGACCCCTGATAAAAATATCCCAGACGCAAAAAAAGGGACATTATGTCCGTTCACACTAATAATCTGACTGCAAGGGTGCAACGTTACACTTGCATATAGAATCGGCTATTTAGGACGATAACCACTTGACGGGTCCATTAGTGAATCCTGATGAGTGATTTGGCCCAGAAATTTGTATTTATATTAGGTATCTCATGTAGATGGTAAAACGCTAATCAAAATTTGTCTAATCATCCCCACCACTAATGTGATGACGTCATTTCAAAATTGTACATAGTATAGAAAAAAAATCAAAATTAGGAAACAACATTTTGACATTTAATTTGGAATATGCAAAACCGAATGCTTTGAAATCTTGCAGATGGTTTACAGTTATGATCAGCTTTTATTCAAAATATATTTACTTGTCCCCTCCAAAAAATTGATGACGTCACCTGAAAAGTTTGTCCAATAAATCCTATCTAAAATGTAGAAAATATGATGAGTCTGTACTTGTAATTTATCATACCATTCATATTTTTGGATTTGTGTATGCAGGGTGACTCAAAAAAATTAATGAATGCGTGAATATATTTTATTGATTTAATCAGGAACAACAAAACCAAATCTTTTGAAATCTTGGAGACGTTTTAAAGTTATCATAGGCATGGTAAATTTTTGATAAAAATATATTTGCTGATCCCACCCCCCTAAAAAATTGATCACTCCACCCCAAAATTTTTCCGAAAAAATGCTATGTTAAATGTGCATTGTGCAAAGTATGATCAGTCTATAATTGTGATTTATCACTGCATAAATAATTTTTAGATTTGCTTATACGGGGTGTGAAAAAAATGAATGACAAAAAAATTAATGAATCAGTCAATTTATTATTGATCGAATTAAGAACGAGCCACCCCATTTTCTGGAAAATGTGAGAATACGCTCGTCTTTATAACAATAAAATAATGATAAGGTAATTATTATAATAATAACAATCAGAATATTTTGTTCAATAGAGGCTTATGAATAATTTTAGTCATCTGTTTTGGGGCGATAAATTCATTCAAGTCAAACAAATGTCTACGTGACATTCTTCCGATGTAATATATTCCCGTTGATAATGTGCTGTAATAGTATATTACATATCGAGGGTGGTAAGAAGCTAATTACGAACGAAGTTTACACACGAGCGAGCGTAGCGAGCGAGTGATGTAATATGAGTTCGTAATTAGCTTACCACCAGAGTTGTGTCATATACTTTTTCTACGATCTATAATGAAGAATCACTTTCAGAAGAATTTTTTTTGGGAAAGCAATTATTTATAGTTGCTATGGAAACTATTCAAACAGGCACGTAATATATATATATATATATATATATATATATATATTACGTGCCTGTTCATTCATTACATGCCAGTGGGTGTAACTATGGTTTTACTATGAGGCTAGACAGTTCGTAATTCATGGATTACTATGTGGGAGTAGAAAAATACATTTTTTTCACTAGCAGCCTGGACGCATGCAAATGTCGACTCATTTAGTGGTAGCAAATTCAACTTTTGCTACCACGGGTTCAAAAAGAAAAATTGAGGTTATGTACGCAATGTTTGATGTGATTATTTCTTAAAAAATGAACAAATGTGTGCTACAAACATTACTTGAGTATATGCATGGTAGTTGGTAGACGGTAGAAGATAAAATGATTAACTCAGCGACAAGTATAAACGATTTTCTTTGTGTTGAAGATTTAGATCAAGTTTGATTAGAAATCAAAACAAACTCATGTTGCGTCAAAAAATTGAACGTTTATTTTTCAGTTTATTGTCTTATGGTTTCTACTAGTGAAAAAAATAGTATATTAACCACGGTTGCAAAGCCACTTCTACACCTCGCACTTAGAGCCCTCGACGCTGCGCGTCTCGGGTTCTAATTTGCGCTCGGTCTAGAATGCTTGGCTCTGCAACCTTGGCTAATAATATACTATTTTGCACTCATAACCTTTTTTGATGGTCTTGGCGCATTCAACAGCATGCGGGACGTCGAACATCACGCACAAATGCGTTTTGCTATGACGTCGTTGTTTATAAATAAAACTGGGCGGTCGAAATTTATTCATCCTATCTACCCGTCTGAAGTGAAAAATTTTATTATATGTCGGGGATATGGATTTTAAAATCATCAACTGATGTTCAGTTAACGTTAGTTTGCTCATACAGTGACAACGTTCTTGTTGTATACAACAAAAATTGTATGATGGTTTAAGCCTGTTAGCTTCACAGCGGTTCATACCCACCATACATTGTAATTTGAAAACCGGAAAAGTGGAAGACCAGTAACCCCCAGAGTGAACAACTTAGCCAAACCCTCGTAATGGCATTGTAAAATTTTATTGTATACAACAGAAACGGGTGCAAGAATGGAAAAGATTGACGAAAAATAGACAAGCAAAAAGATGACATAATCACCAACCTAAGTGAAAAATTCCAAATGGAAGTGGAAGCAAACCAAAATGAAATAACAGGAATTAAAGAACAAATGAAGAACATATAAACAAATTTGAAGGTTGTGGAAAATCTTGTTACAGGAAATATGGTCTTGATGAATCAAAAAGTAAAAGAGGAAGTCGAACATCAACTAAAGAGTGAGTTAGAAAAATCGATGAGATCTATGGAAGATCGAATGAAGAAATTTGAGAAAGCAATAAAAAATGCAATATCTGGTTCATTTAATGTGGTGTCGACTCCCCAGAACAATTCAACCACCCACTTATGATGGTCAGACACCTTGGTCATCATACAAGAAGCAGTTCGAAGCAGCAGCGACGGTGGATTTCTGGGAAGAAGTACAAAAAACATCGGTCGGGCGACGCGGCGTTCACTAAAGGAAAGCCTGGAAGCGGAAGTCGCGAATACCCAATTCGAGAAAGACCTCGATGTCGAAGTTTGGGTTTAAATAGAGGCCGTTTTCGGGAACAATTATTACTCAGTCGAGTCGAGTACATTACCATTTTAAGAAGAGCCAGACAAGTCGCGCCGGTATTATTTTGTAATAGTGAGTCGTGTAAATTCGAGTTATTAAGAACTAAATTGTTTTATAATAACTGCAAAAAAAAAACAATAAAATTCGCAAAATCAAATCAGTTAATTTTTAATACAACACACGTTTTAAAACGGTCTCTTTGGTCGAACTTCAATCCACTTCTTAATGGCCGGGAACCCGTTCACTTTTTCCTTCAAACCCTTCAAATCGGCATATTTAGCCAAGTTGTCCCCTCCAGTCAATAAATCGAACATCGGAGACATTGTAGCAAAGTAGAAATCGGCCCAGGTCAACTAAAGCAATCACACGATCTCTAAATCCATTTTAAAGTTAACTTGCAACTCTTACCCGGCCCAACGCCAAATATCCTTTATTTTTTTAACAAGTTCTTCGAAACGCGACAAATAATAAGGAATCGTTTCTTTCTGAGCAGTTTCAATCAGCGTCTTCTTCTTAGATTCATCCTTCTCGTAATATATAGGTCCCAACTCTACAAAACACAAAATCAGAAGTTGTTCAAACTAAGTAAAATTTTCGTACTCTGATACAAATCGTGAACTGTATCGATAACTGCATCGATTTCCAGGTCTTCCCAATCGTCATTTCCTGCAAGTTTGACTTTTTTGGCTAAATAACGTGCAATGGCGATGCTTTGGCCCACTTGTTTTCCGTTGTGTTCGAGAAGGGGGACCACACCGAAGGGAGTTTCTAAGAGATTTTGGTCATAGTTAAATTTTAGTATTAATTTGTGAACTTACTTGGTTTCCACTGGGGCCAATCTTCTTGTTTTATGCGGACATCTTCGAAATCGATTCCTCCGTATTTGAAGAGGAAGCGAGAGGTTTCGGCCACTCCACAGCCATCAAAATAAGTAAGTTTGTATGCTGGTGCCATTTCTGGAACCTATTTTCGAAGAATGAGCAAGTAAATAATGTCGAACGAGTGCGAGCTGTACAGCGAATGAATGAATGTTCAAGGACCACTAACGAAAATGTGCGGATCACTTCCTAAAGTTGTTTGTTTATATACGTAGTAGTTATCTCCAATTTGCTTTGAGGTATCTACAAGTCAGTTATTTGTTAGTAGTGGGGTATTTTTAAACAATTAAAGTTAGAATATTTGCAGATGTTTATTATATTCACGAAGTAACGTATTTCAAAGGCCCCTATATTATTAAATATTTGTTAGTAGTACAATTTATTTAAATAATAATGTCTTTATTAAAATCAAAATACACCATAAATTAATTCAAAATAAGTCGAATAATTTTGACAAGAGTAAATTTATTATTACTACCTGCTAAGATAAGACTGAACAATATTAAAAGTAGTGACTGGAATGAAGAGAGGGTGGGTGGGTGGGGCCATTGCTTTATTATAAAAGACTCTGTAGGAAAAAGATAAATTTAGCCCCGCCCACCCACCCGTTCTCTCATTTTTTTCTTCTGAAATAAAGAGTGAATCTTATAGCAAATACTTAGTACAACAAAAAAAAATACGATTGACGTTTTTTTTTCTCTTTTTAGAAGCCTAGCCCCGCCCATCAACCCCGCCACCATTTTAGTGATTCGTTTTACTCAGTCTGAATAAAAGGTGGGTCTTATACTCAACAGAAATAAAATCGTCAATGAGAAAAGCGCTAGTGAACGGAGCTAGTACTTGCTAAGATAAGACTGATTTTGGTAAATGACATAGCCCGTAAGTAAATAAAGGGTGGGTGGGTGGGGCTAGTATTCGCTAAGATAAGACTGATTGCAGCAGATGACATACCTTCTAAGAAAATGGGGGCGGGTGGGCGGGGCTAGTACTTGTTAAGATAAGACTGATTGTGGCAAATGCCGTGCCCTTTAAGAAAATCGAGGATGTATGGGCGGGACTGAAACTTGCTAAGATAAGACTGAGCAATATTAAGAGTAGTGACGGGAATGAAGAGAGGGTGGTTGGGTGGGGCTATTGCTTAATTATAAAATACTTTGTAGGAAAAAGTTAAACTTAGCCCCGCCCACCCACCCGTTCTCTCATTTTTTTCTTCTGAAATAAGGAATTAATTTTATAGCAAATACTTAGTACAACAAAGAAAATTACGATTCACGTTTTTCTTTTCTCTTTTTAGCGGCCTAGCCCCGCCCATCAACCCCGCCTCCATATTAGTGATTCAATTTACTTGGTCTGCATAAAAGGTGGGTCTTATACTCAACAGAAATAAAATCGTCAATGAGAAAAGCGCTAGTGAACGGAGCTAGTACTTGCTAAGATAAGACTGATTTTGGTAAATGACATAGCCCGTAAGTAAATAAAGGGTGGGTGGGTGGGGCTAGTATTCGCTAAGATAAGACTGATTGCAGCAAATGACATACCTTCTAAGAAAATGGGGGTGGGTGGGCGGGGCTAGTACTTGTTAAGATCAGACTGATTGTGGCAAATGACGTGCTCTCTAAGAAAATCGAGGGTGTATGGGCGGGACTGAAACTTGCTAAGATAAGACTGAACAGTATTAAGAGTAGTAACGGGAATGAAGAGAGGGTGCGTGGGTGGGGCTATTGCTTAATTATAAAATACTTTGTAGGAAAAAGTTAAACTTAGCCCCGCCCACCCACCCGTTCTCTCATTTTTTTCTTCTGAAATAAGGAATATAGCAAATACTTAGTACAACAAAAAAATACGATTACCGTTTTTTTTTCTCTTTTTAGCAGTCTAGCCCCGCCCATCAACCCCGCCACCATTTTAGTGATTCATTTTACTCAGTCTGAATAAAAGGTGGGTCTTATACTCAGCAGAAATAAAATCGCCAATGAGAAAAGCGCTAGTGAGCGGAGCTAGTACTTGCTAACTTAAGACTGATTTTGGTAAATGACATAGCCCGTAAGTAAATAAAGGGTGGGTGGGTGGGGCAAGTATTCGCTAAGATAAGACTGATGGCAGCAAATGACATACCTTCTAAGAAAATGGGGGCGGGTGGGCGGGGCTAGTACTTGTTAAGATAAGACTGATTGCGGCAAATGCCGTGCCCTTTAAGAAAATCGAGGATGTATGGGCGGGACTGAAACTTGCTAAGATAAGACTGAACAAGATTAAAAGTAGTGACGGGAATGAAGACAGGGTGGTTGGGTGGGGCTATTGCTTAATTATAAAATACTTTGTAGGAAAAAGTTAAACTTAGCCCCGCCCACCCACCCGTTCTCTCATTTTTTTCTTTTGAAATAAGGAATGAATCTCATAGCAAATACTTAGTACAACAAAAAAAATTACGATTAGAGGTTTTTTCTCTCTTTTTAGCAGCCTAGCCCCGCTTATCAACCCCGCCTCCATTTTAGTGATTCATTTTACTCGGTCTGAATAAAAGGTGGGTCTTATACTCAACAGAAATAAAATCGTCAATGAGAAAAGCGCGAGTGAGCGGAGCTAGTACTTGTTAAGATAAGTCTGATTTTGGTAAATGGCATAGCCCGTAAGTAAATAAAGGGTGGGTGGGTGGGGCTAGTATTTGCTACGATAAGACTGTTTGCAGCAAATGACATGAAAATGGGGGCGGGTGGGCGGGGCTAGTATTTGCTAAGATAAGACTGATTGCTGCAAATAACATACCTTCTAAGAAAATGGGGGCGGGCGGGCGGGGCTAGTACTTGCTAAGATAAGACTGAACAATGTTGAGAGTAGTGAATGGAATGAAGAGAAGGTGGGTGGGTGGGGCTATTGCTTAATTATAAAATACTTTGTAGGAAAAAGTTAAACTTACTCCCGCCCACCCACCCGTTCTCTCATTCTTGGTACAAAAAAAATACGATTGGCGTTTTTTTTTCTTTTTTTATGAGCCCACATTTATTACATTTATTAGTGGAAAATTATCAATACCGTGGAGTTATATAATCTTTAGTGTTTGCTGATGATTTAGATATCATATACACCTATATCTGTATTTACCCAGGAACAAATAAACAGGTTTGTCTATCGTGGTATTTTTAGAAATAGTGTTAGAGATAAAAGTTACGTCCTCACGTCCTTGTAAACTATTTTCTTTAATTGATTTTTTAGAAAATTTGACAAATTAATAAAACCGACTATGGTTTCAACAAGATAAAGTTCTAGAAAATAATTAAAGAAATTAATGAAGGTGGGTGAATATTAGTCAATGTGCCAAAATTAGATTTTATTTAAGTGGATATTATCAGTGATGAGTTTGCACTTCTATCTCGATCTTCGTTGGTTATGAAATTTGTCTAATCATTGTGATGCATGTATGAGTAATGGAGGGCTAGCAAAACCGCTATTCATTAAAATCATGTATTATTTATACACATTTTTAATCACTTTCACACAAATAAGAAACAAATACACATTTCAAAAATCACTCGCTGGTCTAGTTTCAATCCACTTCTTAATAGCTGGGAGTTCGTTAACTTTGTCTCTCACAGCTTTCAATTTTGGGTAATTGGCCAGACAATCCTGGCCAGTGATGGCATCAAACATTGGAGAAATCGTAGCAAAGTAAAAATCAGCCCACGTCAACTAAAACAAAATTTCAAAACCAAGTACTCCATTTTTGGAAAATAGTACCCGACCAAGTGCCAAATAACCATTATTTTTTTCACTAAACGAGGAAGGTGATACGAAAACGACTCCTTAATTAGAGTGTCAATAAGAGCCTTCCTCTTGGTTTGGTCTTGCTCTCTGCCAATGGGAACCAGTTCTACAACACCAAAATAGAAAAAAAAATCAGTCAAACAGTTGTTACTTTGTCGAATGTCGCTAATTGTATCCACGATGGAATCAATTTCCAAATTTTCCCAGTCGTCGTTCCCTGCAAGTTTGACAAGATTGGCTAAATAGCGAGCAATCGCGATGCTCTGGTTTATTTGTTTGCCGTTGTGTTCCAGAAGAGGAAATTGACCAAATGGAGTTTTTTCTTTCCACTGGGGCCAGTCTTCAAACTGGACGCGGGCATCTTCAAACTCTATTCCACCGTATTTGAAAAGAAAACGAGACGTTTCGCCTAGACCTCTATAGTCACCATAAATTAATTTGTATGCTGGTGCCATTTTGACAATAATTCACCGTGCTGTGGTAATATTTAGAAAGCACTGAAACGTGGGGGAGAACTAGGTGATCGGTGATTAGAAATAACCCTATCTAATCGTTATGTTCAATGATAAAACCAGGTGTATTCACATTTAGAATTTTTTATTGTGATAACTGACATTGCGAAATTAATATTCACTTTGCGGTCGTACTCTAATCCATTCTTTTATTGCTGATAATGCCTCAACTTTCGTCCTTAGAGCTTTAAGATTTGGATATTTTTCGAAAACGTCACCACCAGCAAAATAGTCAAAACCTGGACACATGCTGACGAAATACAAATCAGCCCAAGTTAGCTAAAACCATCAAAATTATAAAAAAATTGTAAGCATTGTGAAAAAATTTACTCGACCCAATGCCAAATATCCGTTGTTTTTTTCAACCACAGCTTCCAAACGTGTGAAATAGTTTGGAATGATTTCATTAAGAGATTTTTCTTTCATTGTTTTCTTTCTTGAAGCATCTTGTTCCATCCGGACCACCTTAATACTTTCTAAAGAAACAACAAATACTACATGTTTTAAAACAATTTTAAGTGATGTTCTTACGATATCGCATGTCGTAGATAGTGTCTACAATGGAATCGATTTCCAGATTCTCCCAATCGTCGTTGGAAGCAAGGTTTGCAATTTTGCCCAAATACCTACAAATGGACACACTTTCTGTCACTATTTTGCCCTTGTGTTCCAAAAATGGTAAATGACCAAATGGTGTTTCTAGAATGAAAAATAATTTTGGAAATTGTAATTTGATAAAGGTACTAACTGTGTTTTAACGCAGGCCATTCTTCTTTCGTGATTCTAATATCTTCGAAGTCAATACCACCATACTTGAAGAGGAATCGGATACATTCAGCAGCCCCTTGTCTGTCAAAGTAGGTCAACTTGTAAGCAGGTGTCATTCTGGAAAAATAAAGCCAACAATATTTAAAAACGACTTAACACCAGCTTAGCGCTGTTTGTGTTTGATCTTTTAGATATCATATACACCATATCTGTATTTACCCAGAAACACATAAACAGGTTTATCAATCATATGTATTTTTAGAAGAGCTGTTAGAGATAAAAGTTACGTAAGTACGTCCTTGTAAACTATTTTTTAACATTTTCTGAAGGAACATCAGGTGTTAAAAAATTAAATTAAGCTAACTTCGTAGTAGTGGTAGTAGTATCGGATAATACTGGTAAATATCACCACGTGAGCTTGCACATTTATTGTTAATCTTCTTATAAGTTAAGAAATATTTGTACAGTCATTGTGATACATATCAGCAATGCAGAACCAGAGTGACTAACCAGAATCGCCTTTCTTTGAAATACTTATTCAAATTGATTCGAGATGTTCTGATTTGTTTGTTAAACACAGATAACTAATCTATATAAGCAAGGTTGTATCGGTGATACGGCAGTTTTTTTAGATCTTTGCCCTAATTCTTCCCAATGGCTCCACAATATAAATTCACCTATTTAGACACCCGGGGTCTGGGTGAAATGTGCCGTTACCTCTTCAAGTACGGTGGAATAGACTTCGAAGACGTTAGAATCAAAAGAGAAAACTGGCCTCAACATAAAGACAGTAAGTATTTTTTTGAAACTAAAGTTTCTATTGACTGATTTTCAAACACAGAGACACCCTTTGGCGTTGTCCCCATTTTGGAATACAATGGAAAAGTGGTAGGTCAAAGTCTTGCCATCGCGCGATACTTGGCCAAAAAAGTCAAACTTGTAGGAGACAATGATTGGGAGAGTTTGGAAATTGATGCAACTGCGGATACAATCAACGACATCAGAATAAGTAATTTTTTCTAATTTTGTTGGATAGTTTTCTAAATTCGTTTGTAGAATTAATCCCCATAATAATGGAACAAGACACAACAAAGAAACAAGCTCTCCTTGAAACGCTCAAAAAGGATACGTTTGGTTACTATCTGCCGCGTTTGGAAGCGGGTGCTCAAAAAAACAACGGCTATTTAGTACTGGGACGGGTAAGGTTTATAAAAAATCGAAAATTTGGATTGTTTACGTGTTTTGGTGTTTAGTTGACGTGGGCTGATTTCTATTTTTCTACGGTTTCTACGATGTTTGACATTGTCACTGGAGAAGATATTTTGGGCAGTTATCCGAATTTGAAAGGAGTAAGAGACAAAGTTCATGCCCTTCCGGCAATAAAAAAATGGATTGAAGTGCGACCCAAGTCTGATTTTTGAATTGTATTGGTACATTAGAACTGAATAAATACATCTTTGAATAAGAGGGTTCAATTTTTAGTTGAAGAGATACCCGAATTAATAAATATTTGTAACTGAAATGTTGTATCATTGATTACTAAGGCTCGGACAATACGCATAATGCATATTTTTGCATCTTCTTTGGCATTTATTGAATATTTTAATGTTAAGTGCATTTTGCTGCATTTTTCGTGGTAATTGGTGAAGATCTTGATTTTCTATGACCATGTTTAGTTACCATTTCAGTTAGAATGTACAAAGATACGGTTGGTTTTTGTAATAATTTGATAAAATTCCATTTGACAACAATGTTTACCTGATTTAAAGCGAAGCTACAAATCAGTTAAAAATGTTTCACGTATCAAAAATTGTCAAAATTTTCAAAACTCTACGTTTAAAATGTTGGCAGTGAATTTTAGATCCCCTGGTGTTTTATTTTCGGATAAATTTAAAGGAATCTGGTGTGTTTTGTTGCTGGATGTACTTGAAAAAATTTGAGCTCTCAGTGTTTTATTTTTTACGAATTTGAAAAAGTCTTGAGTGCAGGCGCTAGTGTATAGTAGAACCTCGATAACCCTAATTAATTGGGAAAAAGGTGTGTTCGGATTAATGATTTGTTGGGATCAGCAATTTTCCCAAAAATCTGAAAGGGAATTGAATAACAACTTCATACACAACTGAAAACAAACTTCAAGAATTAAACCTAAATTTTATTAAACAAAAATTAAAGAATTCTTAAGCAACATTGGATAATAGATACATTCTAAAAAAATATTACTCCGTGACCATAAACACGCTATCTTTTTGGAATAAACACCCCGGGATCTATACCCTGAAATTTTTCAGAATTTTTAGATGAATGTTTCAAAAATGAAATTTTCCATTATGTATTCGTATTACCTCCATTATGCAAATTTCGACCCATTCTCGACGATTTTCGAAATTTAACTAAATATATGTTCTTGTAGATTTTGAACCTCAGAAGTCACTTCTGGCTTCATTTCTTCGATAACTTAAACCATTTTTCCAGAACCGGCCAGTTGAAATATCGCAATTTTTAAAAATTTCGAAAAACTCGAATTTCACAGCGAATTTTCCGAAAATATTGCTCCGTTACCATAAACATGATATATTTTTGAAATTAGCACATCGGGATATATATTTTTCAGAATTTTTAGGAAATTTTTTCAAGAATGAAATTTTTCTCATGCAAATTTCGACCTATTTTCGACGATTTTCGAAGTTTAACCAAATACTTTCTCTTGTAGCTTTCGGGTCTCCGATAACTTCATCCGTTTTTCCAGAATTAGTTAATTAATTCAGTGCTTTGAAATATCGCAATTTTTAAAAATTTCAAAATATTCCATACAACATATGCAGAAAGATCTTGCGTCATTTTTGGAAGTAGATGCATGTTTTCAAGTTCAGTTTTTGTTCGGATTAAAGAGGCATCGACTTCAAATAGTCTCTGTTCGGATTACTGGATGTTGAGACAATCGTGAGTTCAGATTATAGAGGTTGTACTGTATTTACAAAATGAAATATAATTTTAAAATTTTGAAATTGGTCAAAATAAAGGACCTCGGTCGTGTGTCAGGGGGGGGCAATTGCACCCATTGCCCCCCCCCCCCTGGATCCGCGCCTGCTTGAGTGCCGCAGTGTTTGAGTAGCCATGGGGTGTTATTCTGGGAGTCCATACAAATTTTTTTTGTAAATTGTTTAAAAGAATTTTGGGGGACTTGGGTGTTCTATTTTTGGAAAATTCTGAGCTTCTAGGTATTCCTGTTTGGAAAGAATTTGAAAGGGCTTTGGAGTCTCTAGTGTCTTTTCTTATAATAATAATTTAATTATATAAATTTTTTAAGGGATACGTCGTTTGCCAAAATCAGTCTTTCTTAGCAGGTAATAGCCCCGCCCACCCGCCCTCACTTTTCTTAAAGGATATCTCATTTGCCAAATCAGTCTTATCTTGGCAACTACTGGCCGGCCCACCCACTCTTTTTTTTAGAGGGTATGTCATTACCAAAATCAGTTTTATCTTTGCAAGTACTGTTGACTAAGTTTTACAAAAAAAATGGATCAAAATTTGGCAACATTACGAGCTTACTTAATGCACAAAGCAGGAATTTTGAACATGTTTCCAAATTTTGATCACTTTTTTATAAAATTTAGTCAGAGGGTGGGCGGGCGGGGCTAGTGCCTGCTAAAATAGATTGATAAGATAAGATCGATGGTGGCAAATTACAAACCCTCTAAGAAAATAGAGGGTGGGGGGGCGAGGCTAGTACCTGCTAAAATAAGACTGACATTTTCAAATGACCTAGTCTCTAAAAAAATGAAGGGTGAGTGGACAGGGTTGGTATTTACTAAGATAAGATTGATTTTGCCAAATGACATATTAGGGTATATTATTTGGCAAAATCAGTCTTATTTTGGCAAGTACTAGCCCTGTCCACCCACCCTTTTCTTTCTTAGAAGGTATCTCATTTGCCAAAATCAATCTTAACTACAGCTACTAGCCCCACCCACCCTCTCTTTACTTAGAGGGTATGTCATTTGCCAAAATCAGTTTTATCTTAGCTAACACTTTATAAGATAAGATTGATGGTGGCAAATTACAAACCCTCTAAGAAAGTGATTTTGGTAAATTACATATTCTTTAAAAAAATAAAGGGTGGGTCGGTGGCGCTAGTATTCGCTAAGATAAGACTGATTGTGACAAATGATATACCTTCTAAGAAAATAGAAGAAGGGCGAGTGGGCGGGGCGGGTAGTTGATAAGATAAGACTGATTTTGGTAAATGACATATACCCTCTAAGAAAATAAAGGCCGGGTGGGCGGGGCTAGTACTTGCTAAGATAGATTTGAACAATAGTAAGAGTAGTCACTGGAATGATAAAGGGGTGGGTGGGCGAAGTGGGTACATGTTTTAACCAATCCCGGGCCCGTTTTCTACATTTTAATTCTCTGTTAAATTAATTCAGGTTTAAATACATATACGTAAATTTAAAGGAACCTGGTGTGTTTATTTTTTACGAATTTGAAAAAGTCTTGAATGCCGCAGTTTTTGAGTACCCATGGTGTGTTATTCTGGGAGCCCATACAACTTTTTTGTAAATTGTTTAAAAGAATTTTGAGGGACTTTGGTGTTCTGTTTTTGGGAAATTCTGAGCTGACTTGTTTTTTAGTCAATTTTGGGACCCCGTTTTTTTTTTGGAAAATTTAAAACAATCTTAAGGTCCTAGGTATTCCTGTTTGGAAAAGATTTGAAAATGCTTTGGAGCGTCTAGTGTCTTTTATTATAATAATTTAATTAATAATTTCTTAAGATATGTCATTTAAGTCAGATCTCATACTTGCTGAACAATATTAAGAGTAGTCAATGGAATGATGAAGGGGTGGGTGGGCGGGGCTACTATTGTTCATAAAACTGGAACAAAACTAAAGTTAGCTTATTTTTACAAAAAAAAATAAAACAAAATTTGGGAACATTACCAGCTTACTTACATGCACAAGGTAGGAATTTTGAACACAGATAGAAATAAAATATTAATGTGAAAAAAAATGTTTGTATATAATGCCAAATTTCTCTGCATATAATTCAGAGCTTTATTGATTACCTATACATATTGGTATACAATAATATGATAAAACCTTCACTGATTAACAGATAACAGATAACACGGTGAGCTTAAAATATTAACTTAATACTATTTTTAAAACAAATAATGGGCATTTAATAAACTTTCAGAAAATATCAAACCATAATGTTGATTTGGTATGATTCATCCATCACCAATACTAATGTAGGCCTATCCCTATTGCACCACAAAAAGATATTAACGACTTAATTAGCAGATAACAAATACATATAAATAATGATCATCGGTGCCACGACAGTTGTTTTTAGACTTTTGTCCTAAACACGTTCCTTTTTTAAACTTTTGAAATGGCCCCACAGTACAAATTAACGTACTTTGACGTGGCAGGTGTGGCCGAAGCGAGTCGTTACCTCTTCAGTTATGGTGGAATAGAATTTGAAGACGTTAGAATCAAAAGAGAAGATTGGCTGCAGCACAAGGATAGTAAGTCAAAATTTTTTTTTTAATTTTCTATTACACTAATTTTCAAACACCAGGTATGCCATTTGGTGTTCTCCCCATTCTGGAACACAACGGAAAAATAGTAGGTCAAAGTCTCGCCATTGCCCGACACTTGGCCAAAAAAGTCAAACTTGTAGGAGACAACGACTGGGAGAATCTGGAAATTGATGCAATTGTGGATACAATCAACGACATGAGACCAAGTAATACATGTTGTGTTTTGGTTGTTTTTTTTTTTTAATTCTGTTTTTAGAGTTAGCCCCAATATTTATGGAACAAGACGAAACAAAAAAAAGCTCTTGTTGAAACAGTCAAAAATGACGTATTTGGTGTGTATTTTCCCCGTTTGGAGGCGGCAGTTCAAAAAAATAAGGGTTATCTTGTTTTGGGTCGGGTAAAATTTGAAAAAAAATCGCAAATTTTGAATAATGTTTTTGTTTTTAGTTGACGTGGGCTGATTTCTATTTTGCTTCGATTTCTCCGGCTTATGATGTAGTTACTGGAGAAGATGTTTTGGCCAGTTATCCAAATTTGAAAGCTCTAAGAGAAAAAGTGAATGCACTGCCAGCTATCAAAAAATGGATTGAAAGTCGACCCAAGTCTGATTTTTGAAATAAATATATCTATTTATGTATCATACATGTACTTTCACTATAATATAAATAAAGCACGTATAACTGATTTGGAATGATTCATCACTAATTGTAATCTACGTTCTAACTATTCTAACTGATAACAGATATTGTATATAAATAATGCATATCGGTGCACAGGTATCTAATTGATTTTAGAAGCTTGTCGTTAACACTTTTCCTATTCCAACTTTTCCCAATGGCTCCACAGTATAAATTAACTTACTTTGACGTTACCGGTGTAGCTGAAGCCTGTCGCTACCTTTTCAACTACGGTGGAATAGAATTTGAAGACGTTAGAATTAAAAGCGAAAACTGGCCGCAGCTTAAAGACAGTAAGTGTTTTTTTTTTGGTTTCCGAGACACTAATTTTCAAAAAATAGAAACTCCATTCGGTGTTCTCCCCATTCTGGAACACAATGGAAAAGTGGTGGGTCAAAGTCTTGCCATTAATCGATACCTTGCCAAAAAAGTCAAACTCGCCGGAAACAACGACTGGGAGAACTTGGAAATTGATGCAATGGTAGACACAATCAGCGACTTAAGACCAAGTAAAAATTTTTGTATTTTTTTTGAAACGGTTTGTAATCTTCTTTGTAGAACTGCTCCCCATAGTTAAGGAACAAGACGAATCAAAGAAAAAAGCTGCTATTGAAACGGTTAAAAAGGACACGTTTGATGTGTATTTACCGCGTTTGGAGGCGGCGGTTCAAAAAAACAACGGTTATCTAGTGTTGGGTCGGGTAAGATTAAAAAAATCGAAAATTTTGAATCGTGTGTGTTTTTGTTTTTAGTTGACGTGGGCTGATTTCTACTTTGCTACTATTTCTCCGGCTTATGATCTAACTATTAGAGAAGATGTTTTGGCCAAATATCCAAATTTGAAAGCACTGAGGGAAAAAGTCAATGCTTTGCCGGCTATCAAGAAATGGCTTGAAGTTCGACCCAAGTCTACTTTTTGAAATGTATTAAGAGTACACAAAAGCGAATAAATATATTAATCAGTAAGAGGTTTTTATAATAGAACTAGATTCGCAAGTCACTAGCTACTTTAATGATAAGACAACGTAACTGAAATGTATTACTGATTAAGTGATTACACACTCTAATAACTAAAAATTTTGCTAAATAAATCAGAGATAAGACAATTTTACCTTGAAGTTTTTGATTTTTTTTTAAACGGTGGAGAAGAATTCAGAAATTTTCATACTCAGTTTTATTAGTATTGTCTAGACGTTTCATGACCCCTAGAATACGAAAAAAGTGGTCATGGTAAATGGTTAATGAAAATATATTCGTTGATCCCTTTCAAAAAATTGATAACGTCGTCTCAAAATTTTGCCTAATAAAACTTTCTGAAATATTTAAATATATAAATAAAATATAATATTCAAGTAAAATAAAGATATCTCTAGACTGTTAAAGTGCAGGTAAAAAGCATGCCATCTAGTGGCGTAAATAACACTCCGCATTCTCTGCGCCATGGGAGCACACGTTCCAAGGGAGCTCTATCCGCACAAGTACGGACAATATGGAAAATGTTTGCAGCAGATAAACAACGAGAAAAAATGTCCTCTCAGTTATAATAACACGCTTTACTTCGAATTCTTATGTTTATACCTCGAAAGAATTCGACTGTTAAGCACGTGCAGATAACGGGAGATCAAAGTATGCAGTTGCGTTAAAAGAAAATGAAATTTGATGATTTTATCTCCTCAACACAGGAAAGGACTAATTATATAATTAAAAGCTACTTTTTCAAAAAAGGGGGTGATCTGATCAATAAAAAAGAATTAGATATACCCGAGAAATGAATTCAATCAATGTGGATTCATAAACTATGAGTACAGAAGGAAATTATTTTATAAAATTTAAATATCCTTTAGTGCCAAAAATATTGAGCTGACGTCATAAAATTGTTGGTAGGGATGATTATACAAATAATATACATCCAAATTTGACAGCAATCGACCCAGTAGTTTTGTAGATTATCTGTCTAATAAAAATCGACACAGATGACACACAACCGACAGACAAACGGAAACGGGAGAACCATTTTTTCGTACTCTAGGAGTCATATAGCAACGATGATTTATTTATTTTAAAAGTAAAACTTCCCTTTTAAGGTAAAAGCAAACACGTTTATAGAGTTTTGTGTGAGCTACAATTTATACAGCTTCACCATTTAGTCATGCTTTTATCTCTCGAGAGTAAGCTAAGGAAATACTATGAGAATTTTTCTGACCGTGGTGCACAACTGACCACGCTGAATTGTTGGACCGGACCTATTTTTTTAACAAAAAAATTTGAAAATTAAAGCTGACTTGGTATGATGCATCACTAATTTAAATTAATACCTGCACTTATGACACAACAAAAAGATTTCACAAGTAAATAACAGATAAGAAATATACATGTATAAATAACGCACATCATTGCCAATTCACAGTAGCATACACATTTTCTAATTTTTCGAAATGGCCCCACAGTATAAACTAACTTACTTTGACGTTGGAGGTACAGCTGAAGTAAGTCGCTACCTTTTCAGCTATGGTGGAATAGAATTTGAAGATGTTAGAATCAAAAGAGAAAACTGGGCGCAGCTGAAAGATAGTAAGTAATTTTTTTTAAGTTCAAAAGTACTAATTTTCACTACACACTAGAAACTCCATTTGGAGCTCTTCCAACTCTGGAACACAATGGAAAAGTAGTGGGTCAAAGTGTCGCCATTGCTCGGTACTTGGCCAAAAAAGTCAAACTAGTAGGAGACGATGACTGGGAGAATTTGGAAATCGATGCAATTGTAGATACTATCAACGACATACGACTAAGTAAAATTATTTCATATTTTTGTTACACATGTTTTAAATTTGGTTTGTAGAAGTATTCCCCATATTCATGGAAAAAGACGAAGCAAAGAAAAAAGCCCTTATTGAAACACTGAAAAATGACACGTTTGGCTTTTATTTGCCGCGTCTGGAAGCGGAGGTTCAAAAAAATAAAGGTTATTTGGTATTGGGACGGGTAAGATTTAAAAAAATCGAAAATTTTGAATTGTATGGGTGTGTTTTTATTTTTAGTTGACTTGGGCTGATTTCTATTTCACCACGCTTTCTCCAATGTTTGATCTGATTACTGGAGAAGATGTTTTGGCCAGTTATCCAAATCTCAAAGGAGTGAAGGAAAAAGTAAATGCCTTACCAGTTATCAAAAAATGGATTGAAATTCGACCAAAAAGTCACGCCTGAAATGTATTTCTGCAATAGAACTGAATAAATACGATTAATATAGACCAAAAAGGAGTTTTATTTTTAACTGACCAGTTATATAAAGTAGTACCACTTTTTTTGTTTTGTGTGTTTGATTTTCAAAATATAAAGCTGACTGGAATGATACATCACTAATTCAAATCTATGCATGTAAGTATGACACCACGAAAAGATAAGAAAGTAAATACCAGATAACAAACGTATATAAATAACGCACAGCATTGCTAAGACACAGTATTACACACATAATATTCGTCCAATTTTTTTCCAAATGGCCCCACAGTATAAATTAACTTATTTTGACTTTCCAGGTATAGCTGAAACGTGTCGCTACCTTTTCAGCTATGGTGGAATAGAATTTGAAGATGTTAGAATCAAAAGAGAAAACTGGGCGCAGCTTAAAGACAGTAAGTTTCATTTTTTTAATTTCAAAAATACTAATTTTCAAAAAACAGAGACACCATTTGGCGTTCTTCCAACTCTGGAACACAACGGAAAAGTAGTGGGTCAAAGTCTTGCCATTAATCGATACCTAGCCAAAAAAGTCAAACTTGCCGGAGACAACGAATGGGAGAATTTGGAAGTTGATGCAACTGCAGATACACTCAACGACATACGACTAAGTAAAAATATTTTAGATTTTTTTTTTTGTCGGAAATGTTTTAAATTCTTGTTATAGAGATAATTCCCGTGTTTATGGAACAAGACGACGCGAAGAAAAAAGCTCTTCTTGAAACAGTCAAAAAGGACACTTTTGGATATTATTTGCCGCGTTTGGAAGCGCAGGTTCAAAAAAATAAGGGTCATCTAGCATTGGGACGCGTAAGATTATATAAAAAAATGAAAATTTTGAGTCCAGTTTTTGTTTTTAGTTGACTTGGGCTGATTTCTATTTTGCCACGCTTTCTCCGGTATTTGATCTGCTTACTGGAGAAGATGTTTTGGCCAGTTATCCCAATTTGAAAGGAGTGAGGGAAAAAGTAAATGCCCTGCCGGCTATTAAAAAGTGGCTTGAGAGTCGACCAAAAAGTGGTCACTGAATTGTATTATTAGAACGTAACTGAATAAACACAGTCAAAAGTCCATCAGGGAGTTTTATTATTGAGCTGTGATTTCATGTTTGAGATTTCACAGTATTTATAAAAAATTGAGAAAATTAATAATTAGGCTTCGGATCTTAGGTTTTTTGGTGAATCTCTGAAAAAGCATTTTATTTTAGAAGTTTATTGTTAGTGATACTGAGTGTCTTTGCGTGTTAGTGAGTGTGCTGGGGCCGGTTTTGATTTTTGTGCATACAGTAAAGAATCCTCAAAATGCCTAAGGTAAAATCATCCATGAAAGATAAAATCAAATTATGGTTAGAGAATAATTTGGACAGTAATTTTCAATTTCCTTCTTCAGCCAAAGACAATGAGTTATTCTGCAAAGTGTGTGGAAAAGTTGTAAGTAAATATTTAAAATACTGAAGCTTGAATTATGTTCACATTTTTGTTTCCTACTTTAAGTGCAAAAAAAAATCACACTTTGAACAACACTGCAGTGGCGATGCACATAAAAAGAACAAGAATAAATCCAGTAAACAGACTTTATTAAACATTAGTTCCGACAATGATTTTACGCAATTTTGCACCGATTTATGTAGGGCATTTACCGCAGCAAATATTCCATGGAATAAAGATAGTTGTCCTGAGTTTAAAAATTTTATGCATAAATCTACAGGAAGGCATTTACCCTCAGAAAACACTGAGTGAGTACTAGAAGTTTTATTTAAAAACTTTTTAACATAAATTTTATGATTTACAGGTAACAAGTTAGAAATTCTATTGGCAATAATGATATATGGATTAGCGTCGATGAGACGACGGACAGATTAGGAAGATACATAGCCCATTTAAGTAATTGGAAAGTTATCTTTTGAAGAAGCTGGCCGTCCATTTCTACTAGCTTTGAAGCAGCTTGATAAAACTAACAGCAACACAATCTCGAGATTTATAAACGAATCACTGGGTGTGCTATTGATAATTTTAAGCATTGAAATTATTATAATTTATTTAATTCTTAATTTGTAGCTTTATTGTGGCCAAAAAGAATTGAACACAAAAAAGTTAAATGGTTTGTATCAGATGGTGCTTCATACATGATCAAAACTGGTGTTTTATGAAAATATAACACACTTAACATGTATGGCACATGGGTTACATTTAGTGTCTGAAACAATTAGACTGAATTATCCAGATGTCAATGGGATAATTAGCAATGTTAAGAAAATCTTTTTAAAAGCACCAATAAGAATAGAGTTTTATAAAAACAGTTTACCAAATACACCTCTCCCACCTGAACCTGTATTAACCAGGTGGGGCACTTGGATTCAAGCAACATTGTTTTATGCAGAACACTTTGATGCTTTAAAACAAGTCAGTACATAATGTTTTTTTTACTATCATTCTTATGATGAATATTTTTAGGTTGTAATGTCATTTGAAGCCCCAGCACACTCACTAACACGCAAAGCATTAAAAAAGCTCAAGAATTCCTGAATAAAGCAAACGTTAAAAATGAACTCTTGTACATTAAATTCACTTTAAAATTATTGCTGATGCAATAGAACAATTAGAAACTATAGGTTTAAAAATAAACCAAAGTTTGGAAATTTTGGAAAAAGTGTATACATCTTTAAAAAACACACCAGAAAAAGGTGGGGGAAATGGCGTTCCAAAAATTATGTTCTTTATTAAAAAAGAATCCTGGATACGATTTTATATGTTCAGTAAATAACGTAATTTGCTGTAATGGAAATGCTACCAACAGTACATACATAAATGAAAAGGTAGATTGTTCAATATTTAATTTTGCAACCATTACGTCTTGTGATGTGGAACGCACGTTTTCAAAACTTAAAAGTGTTTTAAACGATCAACGGTGTAAATTTACAATTGAAAATTTAGAGAAATATATAGTTTGCTTTTGTAATTCATTTTAGATAGCTGAATTAATATTTTATTTTTTGTTAAATGCGACTTGCTTTAAATTGATCATTTTTTTGCGATAACTTAGAATTAGTGGACGTAACTAGAGATCGTTTGTTTATTTAATCATTTTTTTGTTTGTTACACAAAATATTTGTTTCTATAATGTTTATTTTTAAATATATATTTTTTTGATTAATGTTTTTTCGTTGAGCAAATATTTTTTCCTCTAGGTTTTTAACCTAAACTAACATTTTTATAACCAAATTCGTCAATTTTGTGACCTCAAAATATCTCCTTGTATTCATTTTTTAACGACCTAAAATCCGAAGCCTATAACAAACAAAATAAACTTGATTTTAATGATAAATTTTAAATAAACAGAAGAATACGTTGCAGTAAAAATTGATACTAAAGAAATTATTCAAGCTGTTCCCCATTCACTAGCCAGACGATGGTAGACCGGGTTGACGAAATTTCCAATACTCTGGGGATTTATACGAATTCGCGCTTTCAAGTTGTCTAAATTATCGGGTCTATTCATGTAAACTAGACTTTTGAAATGTCCCCATAAAAAAATCAAGGGGTGTCAGATCCGGAGACTTAGGTGGCCAATCTATTGGTCCACTCCTTCCAGTCCAATTTACATCAAAATGATTATCCAAAAAAAAACATTATATTCAACTCATAAAGTGGTGGGACCCCATCCTGCGATCAAAATTTTGCGGATTATCTGGATCAGGAAACGTAGCAATTAGATCCGGAAGCACTGCGGTTCTAAGATGATCTAAATGTCGATCTGATGTAAAATTCCCGTGAAAAAAGTAGGGGCCAACGAATCTTCTGTTTATTATTCCCACCGAAACATTAATTTTTTAGGGACATTGGGTGTGTGCCGCTTGAAGCTAATGAGGTTGTTCTCGAGCCCAGTAACGACAATTATGTCGATTTATGGTACCTTTTAAGTAAAATATTGCTTCATCCGAAAATACGAGACTATTTAAAAATTTTGGATTGTCTTCACAATGTCTCTTGAAGCTTTCAGAGAAATCCAATCGTCTGTGAGGATCATTTTCTGATGGTTAATGGATGAGTTGAACTTTATATGGATAGAGTTTCTCGTTTTTTAAAGACTTTGCCACAAACGACTGGCTAACATTTTCTTGTAAAAACATTTCCGTCGTTGTTATATGGGGGCTGTTATGTCATTTACCAAAATCAGTCTTATGTTATAAAGTACTAGCCCCGCCCACCCACCCTCTATTTTCTTGAGAGTATGTGATTTGCCAAAGTCAGTCTTATCTTAGCAAGTACTAGCCCCGCCCATCCGCCGTCAATTTTCTTAGAGAGTATATCATTTATCAAAATCAGTCTTATCTTATAAAGTACTAGCCCCGCCCACCCACCCTCTATTTTCTTGAGAGTATATGATTTGCCAAAATCAGTCTTATCATAGCAAGTACTAGCCCCGCCCAACCGCCCTCTATTTTCTTAGAGAGTATATCATTTAGCAAAATCAGTCTTATCTTATAAAGTACTAGCCCCGCCCACCCACCCTCTATTTTCTTAGAAGGTATGCCGTTTGCTAAAATCAGTCTTATCTTATTAAGTACTAGCCCCACCCGGCCACCCTCTATTTTTTTGACAGTATGTGATTTACCAAAATCAGTCTTATCTTATCAATTACTAGCCCCGCCCACCCCCCTCTATTTTCTTAAAAGTTATATCATTTTGCCAAAATCAGTCTTATCTTATCAAGTACTAGCCTCACTGATGACGTCATAACTTTTACAAAATTTGTCGTAAATTCTTTTTGACATATGTCAAAAGATAAAGAGTAAAATGCAACGCTTGACATGTTTTTACATCTTTTTCACAAACTAATGCTACGATTTTTATGAATCTTGTGCATTCCTTTATCATAACCTGTATTTATGTTACACTGAAAGCTGGAAACCTGCAAATGCCAACAATCACTAGGGAATGCTAGCATTTACGGAGAACTTTTGACCAGTGCATGCTAACATTTCCTAGTGATTCACTGCATTTCCAACTTTCACTGTAACATATTATACTCCTATAATTTTATTATAATTTTCTTAGAGGGCATGTTATTTAACAAAATCAGACGTATCTTAGCAAGTACTAGCCCCGTCCACCTGCCAACTATTTTCTTAATATAGGGTATGTCATTTACCAAAATCAGTCTTAACTTAGCAAGTACTAGCCCCACCCCCGCCCCCTTTATTTTTTAAAAAGTACGCCATTTGCCAAAATGAATCTTATCTTAGCAAGTACTAACCTCACTGATGACGTCATTACTTTTACAAAATTTATACTTAAAATTTGTTTGACATAATGTCAAAAGATGGAGAGTAAACTAAAAGGCTTCACATATTTTTGCATTTTTTTTTTTTCAAAAACAAATATTGCGCTTTTGATGAATTTTGTGCATTACTTTATCATAACCCTGTATAACTGGAGTACGTACTAATGCAAATTATCCAAACTGAACAGCTGCTAAGAGAAAAGTGTATCAAGTGGCATGAAAAATATTGTATCAGTTATCTATTAATTTGAATTTGATTTATTTTTAACATAAAATTCTCCAAACCAAACTGAGTGGGAATGATTCATCATTAATTGAAATCAATGCCTCTAACTATGTTGTCACAAAAAGATAACAAGGTAAATTATAGATATCAAATAGGAGTATATTATATAAATACGCACCGTAGCATACACATATTATTGTTTTTTTCCAAATGGCTCCACAGTATAAATTAACCTACTTTGACGTTCCAGGCATGGCTGAAACATGTCGCTACCTTTTCAGTTATGGCGGAATAGAATTTGAAGACGTTAGAATCAAACAAGAAAACTGGCCTCAGGTGAAAGACAGTAAGTCGATTTTTTTTTTCTAATTTCAAAAACACTAATTTTCAAACAATAGAGATGCCATTTGGCACTGTTCCAACTCTGGAACACAACGGAAAAGTGGTGGATCAAAGTCTTGCCATCGCTCGGTACTTGGCCAAAAAAGTCAAACTTGTAGGAGACAATGAATGGGAGAACTTGGAAATTGATGCAACTGTAGATACAATCAACGATATAAGACAGAGTAAAAAAATTTGGTGTTTAGTTGGTCATGTTTTGAATTCTGCTTGTAGAAATAATCGCCGTATTTCTGGAAAAAGACGACGCAAAGAAAAAAGCTCTTATTGAAGCAGTCAAAAAAGACACGTTTGGCTTTTATTTGCCGCGTCTGGAAGCCGAAGTCCAAAAAAATAAGGGTTATTTAGTATTGGGAAGGGTAAGATATTAAAATTTTTCAAAATTTTGAAACATGAATGTGTTTTTGTCTATACTTAGCTAACTTGGGCTGATTTCTATTTTACTACGCTTTCTCGGGTATTCGATGTGGTTTCTGGAGAAGATGTGTTAGCTAGTTATCCAAATCTGAAAGGAGTGCGAGAAAAAGTAAATGCGCTACCGTCTATTAAAAAATGGAACGAAATTCGACCAAAAACTAGTCATTGAAATGTATTTGTGCTAAACTAAATAAATGTAATCAAGGATAAATATTTTTGGTTGACCGACAAAATATGCAATATTGCAAATCCTTCCATCCTATTTCCTGAAAATTTGAAGAAACGGTATTACAATTATGTAATACATATTAATGTTATTTTTCATTACTAAATAAACCAAAAAACATTTATAAATTATAAACAAAAGCAAAACCAAAAAAAAACATCGATTTTAAAGCATAACCAACTAAACACTAGAGAAGACGTTCATTTTTCTTAAAGTTAGTCATAAGATAAAACTGATTTTGGCAAATGACATACCCTCTAAGAAAAGAGAGGGTGGGTGGGCGGGGCTAGTACCTCACCAAAATGTGAGAAGGATTTTTTTACTATTTTTCCCAGACTCACCAGTTGATTCTTAAGACGTAGCGGAGAGTTAATCCGCCATTTTCCAGACACCCGGTATAGTATTAATGGTATTGCATTGACCTCTTCAAGTTGACATATGTCTCCTTGCTAAAATCTTGATGACGTCATCAAAACATTTTATATAGAAAAACTCGCTAGAAATAAATATTTATTTACCTGCACCTTATTTCTCTTACTTAAATAAATCATTAATAATAATTAAAAATTTGAAATTTTAATCTTTTTAAAAACCAAAGATATATATTTAATAATCAACTTTTTGAGAAAATAATTTGGAAATATCAAGCCGTGGGTATGATTCGACAAAAAGTTATCACCACGTAAATACTTTTCATAGATAACAATATATATATAAATAATAGGGGAGTACACAACAATGTTACGACAGTTGTTTTTGAAGCTTTATCGTGAACACGTTCCATATTCTAATTTTTTGAAATGGCTCCACAGTATAAATTAACTTACTTTGATATTCGAGGTCTAGCTGAAACGATTCGTTACCTTTTCAAATATGGTGAAATAGAATTTGAAGACGTTAGAATCAAGCACGAAAACTGGCCTCCACTTAAAGACAGTAAGTCGATTTTTTTAAATTTCCAAGACTCTAATTTTCAAATATTTAATAGGCACACCATTCGGCGTTCTCCCCATTCTGGAACACAATGGAAAAGTAGTAGGTCAAAGTATTGCCATCGCTCGATATTTGGGCAGAAAAGTCAAACTTGCAGGAGAAAATGAGTGGGAGAATTTGGAAATTGATGCAGTTGTTGATACACTCAACGACATGAAATCAAGTAAAAACATTTTGAATTTTTGTTGGAAGTGTTTTTAATTCTGTTTGTAGAATTATCGGCAATATTTGCGGAAAAAGACGAAGCAAAGAAGAAAGTTCTTATTGAAGCAGTAAAGAAAGACACTTTTAGTTTCTATTTACCGCGTCTGGAGGCGATAGTTAAAAAAAATAAGGGTTATTTCGCACTGGGTCGGGTAAGATTATAAAAAAAATGGAAAATTTTTAATCATGTGTGTTTTTATTTGTAGTTGACGTGGGCTGACTTCTACTTTGCTACGGTTTCTCCGGCGTATGATCTAGTCACTGGAGAAGATATTTTAGCTAGTTACCCGAATCTGAAATCAGTCAGAGAAAAAGTAAATGCTTTGCCGGCTATCAAAAAATGGATTGAAGTTCGACCCAAGACTGATTTTTGAAAATATTTGCACATTACGGTTTAATAAAGACAAGGCAATAGCTACTTTAATAGTAACTGAAATGTTAGTACCTATGTTGCACAATAATAAAATAAAAATTTTGCTAATTGGTAAACAACTAACAAATACACAATATTATCAGCTTTTTAATGGTTACCTTGAAACATTTGTCTGAGTGATTTTTAGGTCCCAAAATTGACGAATTAGGTTATAAAAATCTTAGTTTAGGTTAAAAAAATATATATTAAAAAAAACATTAAACAAAACCTTATAGAAACAAATATTTTGTGTAACAAACAAAAAAATGATTAAATAAATAAACGATCTATAGTTACGTCTATTAATTCTAAGTTATCGCAAAAAAATGGTGATCAAATTAAAGCAAGTCGCATTTGACAAAAAATAAAATATTAATTCAGGTATTTAAAATGAGTTAAAAGCAAACTGTATATTTCTCTAAATTTTCGATTATAAATTTACACCTTTGATCGCTTAAAACACTTTTAAGTTTTGAAAACGTGCGTTCCACATCACAAGAAGTGATGGGTGCAAAGTTAAATATTGAACAATCTACGTTTTCATTTATGTATGTATTGTTGGTAGCATTTCCATTACCGCAAATTACGTTATTTACTGAACATATAAAATCGTACCCTGGATTCTTTTTTAATAGAGAACATAATTTTTGGAACGCCATTTCCCCCACATTTCCTGGTGTGTTTTTTAGAGATGTAAGTATACACTTTTTCCACAATTTCCATACTTTGGTTTAATTTTAAATCTATAATTTCGAATTGTTCTATTGCATCAGCAATAATTTTAAAGTGAGTTTTAATGTACAAGAGTTCATTTTTAACGTTTGCTTTATTCAGGAATTCTTGAGCTTTTTTAATGCTTTGTGCATCTGTGGCTTCAAATGACATTACAACCTAAAAATATTCAGTATAAGAATGATAGTAAAAAAAAAACATTATATATTTACTGACTTGTTTTAAATCATCAAAGTGTTCTGTATAAAACAATGCTGCTTGAATCCAAGTGCCCCACCTGGTTAATACAGGTTCAGGTGGGAGAGGTATATTTGGTAAACTGTTTTTATAAAACTTTACTCTTATTGGTGCTTTTAAAAAGATTTTCTTAACATTGCTAATTATCCCATTGACATCTAGATAATTCAGTCTAATTGATTGAGACACTAAATGTAACCCATGTGCCATACATGTTAAGTGTGTTATATTTTCATAAAACACCTTCAAACTAGTACTAGTTTTGATCCTGTATGAAGCACCATCTGATACAAACCATTTAACTTTTTTGTGTTCAGTTCCTTTTGGCTACAATAAAGCTACAAACTAACAATTAAATAAATTATAATAATTTCAATGCTTAAAATTATCAATAGCACACCCAAGGATTCGTTTATAAATCTCGAGATTGTGTTGCTATTAGTTTTATCAAGCGGCTGGAAAGCTAGTAAAAATGGACGGCGAGCTTCTTCAGAACATAACTTTCCAATTACTAAATGGGGTATGTATCTTCCTAAAATTCTAGTGCTCACCATATCGTAATCTTTTGGTAAATAATTTTTTCTCAGAGTGCTTTCTGAGGGTAAATGCCTTCGTGTATATTTATGCATAAAATTTTTAAACTCGGCACAACTAACTTTATTCCATGGAATATTTGCTGCGGTAAATGCCCTACATAAATGGGTCAAAATTGCGTAAAATCATTGTCAGAACTAATGTTTAATAAAGTTTGTTTACTGGATTTATTCTTGTTCTTTTTATGTGCATCGCCACTGCAGTGTTGTTCAAAGTGTGATTTTTTTTCGCACTGAAACTAGGAAACAAAAATGTGAACATAATTCAAGCTTGAGTATTTTAAATGTTTACTTACAACTTTTCCACACACTTTGCAGAATAACTCATTGTCTTTGGCTGAAGAAGGAAATTGAAAATTAGTGTCCAAATTATACCTTAACCATAATTTGATTTTATCTTTCATGGATGATTTTACCTTAGGCATTTTGAGGATTCTTTACTGTATGCACAAAAATCAAAACCGGCCCCAGCACACTCACTAACACGCAAAAACACTCAGTATCACTAACAATAAACTTCTAAAATAAAATGCTTTTTCAGAGATTCACCTCCTTCCGGCTATAATCTAAATGAAATGCAGGCCAGCGTTGTCAGTTGGCGACGCCAACCCGTACCATTAAACTCAAGGGCGTTGTTTACAACCCATTTTTAAACAATCTGCCAGCCAAAGCAATGAATTCACGGAAAATCTCTATTGTGCAAGCACGTCCGCTTCGTTGGTCGTGGAATCCTATTTTAAGCCTTTTAAAATTTACAATTAGGTCGTTTAATTAACACTTTAGGTCTCTAACGGTAAATTTGGCATTTTAGGTAGTAATAAATGGGCGTTAAATAAACAGAATTTTTTAAACCTAAGATAAAAAAAAATCCCTCAATTACTCAATCTCTTGTTAAATTTTTACAGAAAAAGGTGTGTGGGAGTATTCGATTCAAGCGACTGGGGATGAATTCCGGGAAGAATTTCCTAACACTATCGTCGATTTTCATTTTTTCTAAGGATGAATCTATCCCAATACAACAAAATGATGTCACAACATATATAACAGATAACAGAACTGCGGCCGGCATAGTTATTTTTGGGGGTTATCGTTCCGTATTCTAAGTATTTGTCCGAATGTTTTTCATTTAAGTCGTATATCTTCGGTTGAATCGAGGTCAATATTCGGACGTTACAATACACTATACACCAGTGCTACGGTGGTCATTGTCGCAAACACGTTCCATTTTAAGTTTCGTAATGCCTCCACAGTATAAATTAACTTACTTTGATGTTCAAGGTGTAGCTGAAACGGCTCGCTACCTGTTCAGTTACGGTGGAATAGAATTCGAAGATGTTAGAGTCAAAAGAGAAGACTGGCCGCAGCATAAACCCAGTAAGCCGATTTTGCTTGTTTCAATTTCTAAACACTAATTTTCAAACAATAGAAACACCATTCGGCGTTGTCCCTACTTTGCAACACAATGGAAAAGTAGCAGGTCAGAGTATTGCCATTGCTCGCTACCTAGCCAAAAAAGTCAAACTAGCCGGAAATAACGACTGGGAGGATTTGGAAATTGATGCAACTGTAGATACATTGCACGACATAAAAATAAGTAAAACTAAATATTTTGGTTTTTTGTTGGAGATGTTTTAAATCTGTTCGTAGAAATAACCCCAACGGTGAGAGAACAAGACGCAGCAAAGAAAAAAGTTCTTCTTGAAACGGCCAAAAAGGACTTTCTTGGTTTTTATTTGGCACGGTTGGAGGCATTGGTTGAAAAAAATAAAGGGTATCTAGTGTTGGGTCGGGTAAGAGGAACAAAAATCGAAAATTTTGAATCATGTGCTATCTTTTTGGGTTTAGTTGACGTGGGCTGATTTCTACTTTACTACGATTTTTACGGTATTGGAATTTATGAGTGGGGAAGAATTTTTGGCCGGTTATCCAAATTTGAAAGGAGTGAGAGAAAAAGTTAACGGCTTGCCAGCTATCAAAAAATGGATTGAAATTCGACCAAATTGATCACTGGTACATTTAAACTGAATAAATATGCTCAGAAGTATAAAGTTTTTATTTTTAATCGACCAGATAAACTAATCTCTGTATGTGTACATACATACTTCGATATCTAAAAAAGCTAAGTGAAATGATGTTGATTTATCGTTGTATTTAATGATGAGACATTTTAAGTCAATGTATTTATTGTTTAGATTAGTCTTAAAACATCAAGCACATTTTCACATTATCTTTGATCCTCGATTTTTCTTATTCGTTATCTGCATTGCCTTCTAAAGCTCTGGAGCGGTTAGGGAAATCCGAAAGGTCTTAACGTAGCCAACAGCTTAGGTAGAATGACCTGGTAAGAGTAAGGATACTCTTTTGGCCTGGGGTTGAGAAATCGGATGAACCAACAATCAACGGCGTAAGAATGTAGAAGACAACAAAAAACCACCACATTAAAGATCTTTAAGAGGAGACAAATTATAAATGGCAGGGCCTTCTAGGTTGTCAGCCAGCGAAACCCCTGTAGAAGATTATGAAATATATTACTCTGGTAACACCAGAAAACATATAAATGGGGTAGGGGTTATTATGAGTAGGGCATTTGTAAAACACGTCAACGGCAAGATTGAGAAAGGAGCTCATGATAATACTATTTGTCCACAAGAAAGAAAACGAAAGAGAAGACCGATTGAAAATATTTGCAACCATTTACCGTATACTTATGATACCACAAAATGATATCACAACGTCTATTCTCGTAACAAATAACAGAACTGCGGACATTATTTCTATGGCACAGTTTTTTTTGAGGTTTATCGTTCCGTATTCTATTTGTTCGAATGTTGTTCATTTAAGTTCGTATATTCTCGGCTGAATCAAGGTGAAAATTCTAGCCTTACAATACAATATACACCAGTGCTACGGTAGTCATCGTCGCAATACGTTCCCTATTCTAAAGTTTCGTAATGCCTCCCTCGTATAAATTAACCTACTTTGACCTTCAAGGTCTAGCCGAAATGTGCCGCTACCTGTTCAGTTACGGTGGAATAGAATTCGAAGACGTTAGAATCAAAAGAGAAGACTGGCCGCAGCATAAAGACAGTAAGCCGATTTTGTTTGTTTCTATTTCCTAGACACTAATTTTCAAACAACAGAAACACCATTCGGGGTTCTCCCCATTTTGGAACACAATGGAAAAGTAGCAGGTCAGAGTATTGCCATTGCTCGCTACCTAGCCAAAAAAGTCAAACTTGGCGGAAATAACGACTGGGAGGATTTGGAAATTGATGCAATTGTAGATACAATGAACGACATAAAACTAAGTAAAAATAAATATTCAGAATTTTTGTTAGAGATGTTTTTACTTAAATCTGTTTGTAGAATTAACCCCAATGTTGATGGAACAAGACGCAGCAAAGAAGAAGGTTGTTCTTGAAGCGGCCAAAAAAGACATTTTTGGTTTTTATTTCCCACGATTGGAGGCGATGGTTGAAAAAAATAAGGGGTATCTAGTGTTGGGTCGGGTAAGAGTAACAAAAACCGAAAATTTTGAATAATGTACTATGTCTTTTTGGGTTTAGTTGACGTGGGCTGATTTCTACTTTGCTACCATTTTTACAGTATGTGAATCTATGATTGGTGAAGAGATTTTAGCCGGTTATCCAAATTTGAAAGAAGTGAGAGAAAAAGTTAATGGTTTACCAGCTATCAAAAAATGGATTGAAATTCGACCAAATTGATCACTGAAATGTACTAGTATATTTAAACTAAATAAATAGGCCAATCTGTAAGAAGTTTTTATTTATAATCGAAGAGATAAATTAATCAGTGTGCACATACTTCGATTATATCGAAAAAACCTAGTGAAATGTTGATTTATCGTTGTTTTTAATGACTAGACATTTTAAGTCAATGCGTTTACTGTTTAGATTAAACTCAAAACATCAAGCACATTTTAAAAGTCTTAACATAAAAAAACCATTACACTTTCACATTATCTCGAATACTTGACTTTTCTTACTCGATTTGATGTTTTGGGGTGGATTTGAGGTACGTTATTGAATAACACGTCAACGAAATCACGATCTCTGGTAACAGGCAAAGAATAAAAACAAAATAGAAAATCCAAAAATCGAAAAAAATCGAAAAACCGAGAAATCGTATTCTTGGCAATAAAAAACGTTGAGAAAACATGAAAAGTATTACAATCCTTCCTTAGCGTACGCTCGGAAAGTAAAATGAATCTTGATTTTGTTAACAAATTTCAGGATTTAAACACATTCTAAGGACTTTGTATAAAATTCCGACGGTTATTAATCATTACTGACGACGATTCCATCTATTAATACTAATTATCTAGCAACATATTTTATAGGACAACTTTTATAATTAAGCAGGTTATAATAACTACAAAATTATTATTTCCAGAAAAAACAACGAAAAACCTATATTAAAAGCCTATTAAGCGGACGCAAATGTTATGAGTTCAGGAATTACCTAATAATACTTATTACATTTCTGATTGAAATATATACATATAGTTAATAACGCTTAGTCATACCTTATCAGAAATTTTTCACAATATTATCGTGTGGAATAGGTTACTATGGATTGAGGTTGGTTTAACTTTTAGAGGGAGCAAATCTGTTAAAAAAAATTATTCGAAAGTGTTCCGACAGAACTTCCCTCGGTCCTGAAGTACGACGAAACATCCATATTTGGATTGGTGCAGTGTAATACTAAAAATAACAGTATTGTATTTCTAAAATTTTCTTGAAAATTGACTCATTCTATAATTTTTTTGAGTTATCCTGTATAAGCAAATTTAAAAAATACTAATGCATTGATAAATCACAGGTAAAAACTCATCATATTTTGCACATTTTGGGTAGAATTTATTCGGGAAAATTCTGAGATGACGTTATCAATTTTTTAAATTTATTTAATTTATTATGCTTATTATAACTTTAAAACATCTGGAAAATTCCAAATCATTCGGTTTTCCAGATTCAAAATTAAATTGCATAATGTTGTTTTACAATTTAGATTTTTTTTTTTTAAAAAACTCAACACGGAGTCAAGTGTAGGACTATGTTGTTTTTTGAAGTGACGTCATCATATTATTGGTGGGGATGATTAGACACATTTTGGTCAGCGTTTTACCGTCTATATGATATTCCTAATATAAATACGAAATTGACAACAATCGGCCCAGTACTTTCGGAGATTCTCTGTCTAATAAAAATCCGGACGGCAGATAGAGACGGACAGACGGATAGACAGACAGACTGAAACGCAAGACCTATTTCTTCGTACTCTAGAGGTCATGAAAGTCGAGAGTCGGATAAAACTCAAGAAATTCAACAAATCGAAAAATCCAAAAACTGAAAATATCCAAAAAACTGAAAAATTAAATAAAAACAAGGAAAAAAAACCAAAAACCCCCAAAATATAACAAATCTAAAGAATCCTAAAAAACCCCCAAAACCGAAGAAATCTAAAAAATGAAGAAACTCAAGAAATCGAGTAATTCCAAAAATTCAAAAAATATAAAAGTCGAAAATCACCAAAAAATCCAAAATTCTGAAAGTTCAAGGAAATAAATCAGTTTTTCTGGAGTAAACGCAACCAATAAGAGAATGTGTAAAGACGACTTCTTTTGTAAATATCAAAAATTAAATGGTAAGTAAAGTAAAATTTTGTATGTATCAGGGGTATTATTTGGAGTTTATACCCATGGGCGACTTGATACATAAATAACTATTACTGTCAGAAAAAATAAATAACTTTAATTTTTTACTACACATCAGTGTACTAAAAATAATGAATAATGAGGATTTTATTGAATGCCTTTATATTACAGGAAGTTTTGAAAAAAATCAAGCCGTAAAAAACTTCTGGAGGTTGAAATCAACAAAAGATTTTTTTTTTTGAAATTTGCTCTAGAAAAGGTCAAAATTTTGATAGGGGAAGGTACTGAAAAATCTAACTTGTGGCGAAGTTGCCTACAGATCCACCAAAAATTCTGGACGCTAGATTTCTAGCCGAATCGAAAAACATGTTGAGGGTCCCGCAGCAAGATTACAAGTGATCATCGAAAATCCCAGAGGAATCGTAGCATTTTTGTTAATGACTTACTTAGTTCCACTCCGGAAAAACTTTTCAAAATTAAAAAGGCCTCAACAGATTCAGACCTACCAAATTTTGTGGAGTTTTTCTGAAAAATAAGTCAAGCTTTCTTGTTTTGAAAATATTGCAATCCGTCAGAAGAAATAGTGAACTGAAGAATATGAACATTTTTCAATAGGTGATTCCGGAAAAACGGTTGGAGTTATCGAAGAAGCGAGCTCGGAATTGACTTCTGCGGCTCGAAATCTATGACAATGTATTTAGTTAAATTTCGAAATTGGTTGAAAATGGGTCGAAATTTAGTGTTTTGGAAAAATGTCACTTTTCTGAAATGTATATTTCGAGGTGTTGACTCCAAAAATGTAGCATGTTTCAGGTTGTAGATTTTGCAATTTTTCGATTTGCGGTTTCACGAGTTTTCAAATTTTAATTTTTCAATTTTTCACTTTTTCCGAATTCTCTTTTTCTTTTTCCAATATGAAAATTTTCAATTTTTGAATGTTTCAATCTTTTGATTTGCAATTTTTCAGCTTTCAATTTTAGTTTTTCTTCATGATTGTTCAGTTTTTTGTTGCTTGAGTTTTTGATTTACAATTATTCTAGTTTTCACTGTAAGTAGGTACTACTAATAATTTAAAAATTTTTCAATTATTCAATTTTTCAATTTTTAGATTCTTCAGTTTTTCATTTCTTCAAATTTTGATTTGCATTTTTTCGTGTCAGTTTTTCATTTTTTTATTTTTACAATGTTTCCCTTTTTCTATGTTCCAATTTTATAATTTGTTTTTTCATTTTTCACTTTTTCAATTTAAAATTAAAATTATTCAAAAAACTGAAAAATGAAATAAAAACAAGAAAATAAAAAACAAAAATCCCAAACATATAAAAAATATAAACAATTCCAAAAAAACTACAAAAAACCGAAGAAATCCAAAAAATGAAGAAACATGAAAATCCAGTAATTCCAAAAATTCAAAAAATACAAAAGTCGAAAATCACCAAAAAGTTCAAAATTCTGAAAGTTCAAGCCAATACATCAGTTCTTCTGGAGTAAACGCAACCAATAAAAGAATGTGAAAGTTGCTTCTTTTGTAAATATCAAAAACTAAATAGTAAGGTATAAACTTTTGTATATATCAGGGGTATTATTTGAAGTTTATACCCACGGGCTACTTTACTCCTATTTGTTATTCAATTTTTGGATTTTAAAATTTCTCAATTTTTCAATTTCTCGGTTTTCAGTTTTTCTCTTCAATTTAACGATTTTTAAATATTTCGATTTTTCCAATTTTGACTTTTATAAACTCTATTTGTCGATTTTTCCGGTTTTTTGGTGTTTCAATTTTTCTATTTTTTCAGGATTCGATTTTTCAATTTCACTTTTCTGATTTTTCGATTTCTCAATTTTTCAATTTTTTAATTTCTCAGTTTTTGGACATTTCAGTTTTGGGATTTTTCAGTTTACTTATTATTAAATTTTTCGATCTTACGATTTTACAGGTTTTTGATTTTTCAATTTTTCGATTTTTTTTAGGTTTCGATATTTCGACTTTATTTTTTGATTTTTTAAATTTTGATTTCTCAATTTTTTGGTATTTTCATTTTTCAATATTTAAAATTTAAGATTTTTCAATTTTTCATTTTAGCTCTTCCATATTTCAATTTTTCAAATGTTTCGATTTCTTAATCTATTGATATTTCGACTTCCCGGTGTTAGATTTTCTATTTTTTAATTGTCGTTTTTTCAAATTTTCGATTTTTCAATTTTTCAAATTTGGCATTTATAATCTGTCAATTTTTCGATTTTTCAATTAATCGATGTTTTGATTTTCCCATTTCTTGACCTTGGAGTGTTTCGATTTTCCTGTTCTTCAATTCTTTAATTTTTTGATTTTTCAGGTTTTTGATTTTTCAATTTTTCGGTTTTTTAAGGTTTCTATTTTTCGACTTCACTTTTTTGATTTTTCGATTTTTCAGTTTTTAGATATATCAGTTTTAGGATTTTTCAATATTTCAATTGTTTGGCTCATCTATTTTTGACTTCTGGATTTTTCGATTTTTCGACTTCATCACTTTTCGATTTTTCGTTCTTTTGATCTTGCAATCTCTCAATTTTTCAATATTTTCAATTTTTAAGTTGTTTGATTTCTCGAGATTTGGATTGTTCGATATTTTGATCGTCAATTTCTCAATTTATAAATTGTTCAATTTTTAACTTTTCGATTTTTCGATTTTGGCCTATTTCGGTTTTTCAGTTGTTCCATTTTTCGACTCCACGATTTCTTGATCTTTTAATTTTTCGATTTTTCAGTTATCCGATTTTTTAAATTTGAGAGTTTCGATTTCTCGATTTTTCGTTATTCGGTTTTTAAATTTTAGATTTTTGAATTTTAAATTTTTTGGATTTTCAGTTGGATATTTCGATTTTTCAATGTTTCAGTTTTACGATTTTTCGATTATTAGATTTCTCGATTTTTCGATTATTTTAATTCTTAATTTTTTTTTTCTCACTGTTAATATCATACAGTGTACCGAAAACAACCACAAAAATTGTCACAAAATACATTTAAAAATTCATACAAACTAGAACACGGTGTTTCCAAAACATTTTCCCGAAAAAAATCCATTGTGTTATTCCGATTTCAACAATATTCTTAGTTTAAGACGTTTTGCTAGTATAAAACACAAATAAAGAATTAATTCTTAGTTAAACAATATATGTAAAATCATCAAAGTATGTACCAATAATATTCACTTAGTCGTTATAAAAACCGACCAAACAACTATTTCCCTCAGAATGTATAGTCCAAACCAACCAAATCGCTTCTGAATGCTTAGAGTCGACATTGGCCTGAGCGCGCTCTGGTCTGTAGCTCAAACAAGTTCTCAGGCGACGAGTTGTAGTGAAACAAATTTTTTATTGGCATCGACTATTTAAATTTGGCGCTTGTCTTTGGCAGTTGAGGGCTCCAATGTCAATAAGGGTGGTTTTGCAAAATCAGCCTGTAGGTCGCATCTATATTAATCTATGGTAATATGTCGAGTAGCACTGGCCTCACCCTTGAAGTAGGTATAGTTCAAGAAACTCCGATTTTTGAAAAATTATAAAATTTGATTTTGCTAAATTTTATATTTTATATATTTTTTGATTTATTAATGTCTCATACTTCAATCATACATATTCCGCCGCTGCCTTTGATTCGAACGCATTATGTTAGGGTTAAACAATTGCAATATTAATAACAAAACATATAGATAATACCAGTGACAGTGTGAAAACAATTGTATAAGATATAAACTTGCAACATGAAAGTATTAAAATCGCTCGAGAAATGAAATGAATCTTGATTTCGTTAACAAATTTCAGGATTAAAATATTACTCTCACTAATCATATTCAAACAAATTCTAAGGAATTTCTATAAAATTCCTACGGTTATTATAGGCGACGATTCTGTCTATTAATATTAATACTAATTATCTAGTAACACATTTTATAGGACAACTTTTATAATTTAGCAGGTTACAATAATTATGGAATTATTATTTCCATAAAAAGCAACGAAAAACCTGTGTTAAAACCCTGTTCAACCGACACTAATATTATGAGTCAGGAATTATCTAATAGTACTTATTATCTTTCTGATTAAAAATTAAAATATGTACCTGTAATATCGGTTAGTCAGCCATACCTTATCAGAATTTTTTCACAACGTTATCGTGTGGAGTAAGATGCTATGGATTGAACTTACTTCAACTTTTAGACAAAGCAAATATGTTTAAAAATGACATCCAACTAGTCGTCAAACTTGACACTTTACTCGTCTAAAGTTCTAAAAGTGTCAACCACGCCACTCTGTGCGAGCTCGTGATGTCCTTTTTAACTTATACCTCAAAATTAGAAACCTCATAATAATAATGCCAATCTTTAATTGTCTTATACTGATTAGCATTTATTCAAATGAAGTAATGAGCGTCTTCCCGTCGACATTCTTGGAACCATGGAAATATCCACTTTTTTAGACAACGCTGACATTTTTGGCAAAAAATTTGTATGTTTGACGCTTCCGCATAAAATCGTGGACTCTGGCATCCATTGTAACTAATATAATAGCAAATTCCGAACTGTCATTTAACGAATATATTGCATAATGTTACTGTTGCATATCTAATCTATTTTACGGTTCCTGGTTTTTTACACATCACTGACTCGCTTTTCAATCATTTATTAAATTTGTGGGTGGTATATAATTCTGAGTAACTTCACAAGCTTAATGTAGAAAAAACATAGTTAAAACGGCTTACCTTTCAGATCTTGTTACTCATCTCAGTACAAAAGTTGCATACTAAGCAAATTTTGCGAGACATTACGGTGCTATTTCTCAATGATAAATTTCACCTTGGCTCCCGTTGTAAATAATACTTAAAATAAATTGGTATCAACACCCAAAACTCAGATATTGTCGAAATTAATAGATATTTATTTTATTAGGAGTTTAAGTGATATTTTATGTGACGGAGTATGGACGATTAAACGCCGAGCAATAGCGAGGCGAATTAAGTCCATACATACGAGTCACATAAAGTCACTTAAACTCCGAATGAAATACAATATTTTATTTTCAATCGATTAATCTTCTTTTGAAATGATTATTTCCCATCTTCTTGCTTCATTAAGGAATTGCCTTGATTTCACTTACCATGGTTACTATGGTTGACAACCACTATGATTTTCACATATTTATACTCCGGCGGAGTATAAATGTTTTATTTATACGCCGGCGGAGTATAAGTAGTACTTATGCGCTGCTCAAACACGGTGTCATAGAAATGACACTTAAACCCCGGTAAGATCGTCATATAAGTGTCAATTATATGACGTTTGAAAATAAAAATAATTATGTACCGTTTTTTGTTACCATAGCCACGAAACAATCACAATTAAGTACGAGTGGTTAAGTCAAGGCCGAACTGACTCAGATTAGGTTAAGTAAAAAACACGATAATCGATAGATCAACAATAAGTTAATCTTTCGCCAATTATGTAAGCCATCGTAAATGACAACAATAAACTAACGAGTTCGATTTATTTTTTTATTTATTTATTTAGCAAGTTTATTCAGAAAGTATTCATGGAACAATAAATTACAGTGCATTACATATCAGTCTGGTCGGGTTTCAATCCATTTTTTGATGGCTGGGATCTCGTTGACTTTTTGTCTTGAGGCCTTCAAGTTGGGATAATCTGCAAGAGCGTCGCTTCCAGTGAAGGAATGAAGGAACACTCGAGATATAGTTGCAAAGTAAAAGTCAGCCCATGTTAGCTGCAAAGCAAAAATGAAAATCAAAATTTCCAAAAATTTGTACACTTACGCGTCCCAAAGCAAAGTGGCCATTATTCTTCTTGACGACAGCCTCCAAGCGTGGCAGGTAGTAAGGCAAAGTCTCCTTAGACGCGACTTCTATGAGGGCCTTCTTCTTCGCCTCGTCCTGTTCGTAGAAAATGGGCACAAGCTCTAACAAAAACAAAACAAGTTTCAAAAACACAAACTCTCAGTAATAACTCACTCAGACGCAGATCGTTGATAGTGTCCACAATGGCATCAATTTCCAGATTTTCCCAGTCGTCGTTTCCGGCCAATTTGACTTTTTTGGCCAAATAGCGTGCAATGGCGATGCTTTGGCCCACCTGCTTTCCCTCGTGCTCCAGCACCGGGAGTTGGCCGAAGGCGAACTCTACAATCTCACTGTTAAAACCCCGAAGACGTTTACCTCAATACTTGCTTTCTTTCCACTGGGGCCACTCTTCCTTCTTGATGCGCACGTCTTCGAAATCGATTCCTCCGTACTTGAAGAGGAACCGGGAGGTCTCGCCTAGGCCACGACCGTCGAAGTAGGTGAGTTTGTATGAGGGTGCCATTCTTGAAGAAAAATTTGTCCCACTTTACGATGCGGAGGTTCGGAGACGACTGTTTGATGGAGGTGGTCGCCACGTGGTCGCTGGATTTATACCCACTGTTGCCATACTGTTTTTAGATAAGACGCAAACTCCATCGTCAATTATCGCGAAAATCGCGATGACTTGGAAACTGCACAGGAAAAATGTACGCTTTACAAAAAATAAGTTTGGTAAGTTTGATTATTGAAAATAAACAATCAACTTAATTTTTACAGCTGCACTAAAGTCAAAAATATCTTTTTGCGCTAGATATCTAAAAATTGCACAATTTGCGACTTGTGATTTTTCTAAAAAAACCTGTCGCAAATTCTAATCGAAAATAGCACTTTTTGCGATAAATCCCGCAATATGGCAACAGTGTTTATACCGAGTAAGCTTCTTGCAAATGTAAAAGGTGTGTTTGATAAGAGGGTTTATTTAAACTGAATAAATATGCTCATACTTATGAAGTTTTTATTTTTAATCGACGAGATAAACTAATCACTGTGCACATACTTGACGATATCGAAAAAAGCTAAGTGAAATGTTGATTTATCGTTGTTTTTAATGACTAGAGATTTTAAGTCAATATGTTTGTTCTTTAGATTTTTCTCAAAACATCAAGCACCTTTTAAATGTCTGACATAAAAAAGCTATTACATTTTCACCTTATCTTGGTTTTATTTTTCAGTTGACGTGAGCTGATTTTTATTTCGCTGCTGTACACTTTATAATTAAAATGTGTGTCTTTGCGGTTTATTAATGGTCTGCAATGGCGTGGATTTGAGGTACGTTACTGACCAAATAATACCCAAGGGCATTAAGAATAGTAACGTCAACAGAAAACGCTTTCTGTTAGTTTACTGATCTAATAATCCGCGACTATTTCTAGTTTTACGTATACAGGCTAGTTTTAATAATAAATCTTTGCATAATATTTCACAATTTATCTCAGAAACTAGATAACGATTTTTTTTTAAATTTAGACTTGGCGATAGCAAAGAGTTATTTCAATTCTCTATCCATTTCTTTTGAATTTCACCTTTCTTAAAAGTTCCAGTAAGACACTAGTAATAATTTAGGAGTTCAAAAATATTAAGCTGATCTTCGTTTTACATCTCTCTCGAAAAACCGACGATTTTTTTTTAAATACTTTGATATTAATCCTTGAACACATTTCAGAAAAAAAATTGATTCGTTTTTCAAATTTAAACTAACTTGGTCACAAAACGTCAGTGTCCTTATAGTGGTATAAAATATGATGATACAATTTGAATGCTTCGGGAAAAATGTTAAGGTGGATTCATACACCACGAGTACAAGAGTATACTATTTTACAGATAGACTTTTTCGCATTCTTGGCATTATGAAACGTCGAGAAAACATGAAAAGTATTACAATCCTTGCTTAGCTTACGCTCGGGAAGTAAAATGAATCTTGATTTTGTTAACAAATTTCAAGATTAAAATCTTACACAAAGTGATCATATTCAGATACATTCTAAGGAATATGTATAAAATTCCGACGGTTATTAATTATTACTGACGACGATTCAATCTATTAATACTAATTATCTAGCAACATATTTTATAGGACAACTTTTATAATTAAGCAGGTAATACTTAATAACTACAAAATTATTATTTCCAGAAAAAGCAGCGAAAAACCTATATTAAAAGCCTATTAAGCGGACGCAAATGTTATGAGTTCAGGAATTACCGAATAATACTTATTGCATTTCTGATTAAAATATATACATAATAGTTAATAACGCTTAGTCATATCTGATCAGAAATTTTTCACAATATATCGTGTGGAATAGGTTTCTATGGATTGAGGTTGGTTTAACTTTTAGAGAGAGCAAATATGTTTAAAAAAACTGGTCGAAAGTTATTTCGACAGAACTTCCCTCCCTCCTGAAGTACAATGAAACATATACAGTATTTTCGAATTGAGTTTTTACTTTACACAATTTTGTGATGACGTCATCAACATTTTTGCAAGGACATATATATCAACTTGGATTGGTACACGTTATCAATTTTTTAAATTTATTTAATTTATTATGCTTATTATAACTTTAAAACATCTGGAAGACTCCAAATCATTCGGTTTTCCAGATTCAAAATTAAATTGCAAAATGTTGTTTTATAATTTCGATTTTTTTTTTCAAAAATCTGGACGTTTCGGGTAAAAACTCAACACGGAGTCGTAAACTACATGTGTAGGACTATGTTGTTTTTTGAAGTGACGTCATCATATTATTGGTGGGGATGATTAGACACATTTTGGTCAGCGTTTTACCGTCTGTATGATTTCCTAATACAAATACGAAATTGACAACAATCGGCCCAGTACTTTCGGAGATTCTCTGTCTAATAAAAATCCGGACGGCAGATAGAGACGGACAGACAGACAGACAAAAACGCAAGAGCTATTTCTTCGTACTCTAGAAGTCATGAAAGTCGAGAGTCGGATTACAAAACTTCCTTCGCTTACGCTCGGAAAGTAAAAATAGAAAATATTCAAAAATTTCAAAAAAAAACTCAAGCAATTTAACTATCCCAAAAATCCAAAAACCCCAAAAATCTAAAAAATCTAAAATTTTCCAAAAAACCCCAAAAACCAAAGAAATCCATAAAAAGGAAGAAACTCAAGAAATCCAGTAATTCCAAAAATTCGAAAAATACAAAGGTCGAAAATCACCAAAAAATCCAAAATTCTGAAAGTTCAAGGCAATAAATCAGTTCTTCTGGAGTAAACGCAACCAATAAGAGAATGTGTAAAGATGACTTCTTTTGTAAATATCAAAAATTAAATGGTAAGTAAAGTAAAATTTCTGTGTATCAAGGGTACTTATTATTTGAAGTTTATACCCATCGGCGACTTGATACATAAATAACTATTCTTGTCAGAAAAAATAAATAACTTTAATTTTTTACTACACATCAGTGTACTAAAAATAATGAATAATGAGGATTTTATTGAATGCCTGTATATTATGGGAAGTTTCGAAAAAAATGAAGCCGTAAAAAATTTCTGGAGGTTGAAATCAACAAAAGATTTTATTTTTTGAAATTTGCTACCGTTCTCTAGAAAAGGTAAAAATTTTCATAGGGGAAGGTACTGAAAAATTTAACTTTTGGCGAAACTGCCTACAGATCAACCAAAAATTCTGGACGCTGAATTTTGACGAGCCGAATCGAAAAACATGGCTAGCATTTTTGTTAAGGACTTACTTAGTTCCACTCCTGAAAAACTTTCCAAAATTAAAAAGTCCTCAACAGATTCAGATCTACCAAATTTTGTGGCGTTCTTTGAAAAACCTTCAATTGGAAATATTGGAACAGTTTTGAAAAACATGCTAATTCAAAATCTGAAAAATATGTCAAGCTTCTTTGTTTTGAAAATATTGCAATCCGTCAGAAGTGAACTGAAGAATATGAAAATTTTTCAATAGGTGATTTTGGAAAAACGGTTGGAGTTATCGAAGAAACGAGACTGGAATTGACTTCTGCAGCTCGAAATCTATAAGAAAATGTATTTAGTTCAATTTCGAAATTGGTTGAAAATGGGTCGAAATTTGGTGTTTTGGAAAAATTTCACTTTTGAAAAAGTTGTCTAAAAATCCTCAATAAATTTTGGAATGTATATTTCGACGTGTTGATTCCAAAAATGTAGCATGTTTCAGTTTTTAGATTTTGCAATTTTTCGATTTGCAGTTTCACGAGTTTTCAAATTTTAATTTTTCGATTTGCAATTTTTCGTTTCGCTTTTTTATTTTCTTTATTTTTTCAATTTTTCATTTTTTCCGAATTCTCTTTTTCTTTTTCCAGGATGAAATTTTTCAATTTTTGAATGTTTCAATTTTTTGATTTGCAATTTTTCAGTTTTCAATTTTAGTTTTTGATTTACAATTATTCTAGTTTTCACGTAAGTAGGTACTATTAATAATTTAAAAAATTTTTCATTTATTTAATTTTTCAATTTTTCGATTCTTCAGTTTTTCCTTTTTTCTTCAAATTTTGATTTGCAATTTTTCGTGTCAGTTTTTCTTGTTTTTTATTTTTACAATGTTTCCATTTGTCTATGTTCCAATTTTATAATTTGTTCTTTCATTTTTCACTTTTTCAATTTAAAATTAAATTTATCCAAAAAACTGAAAAATTAAATAAAAACAAGAAAATTAAATAAAAACAAGAAAATAAAAAACAAAAACCCCAAAAATATAAAAATATAAAAATCCCAAAAAACCCTAAAAACCGAGGAAATCCAAAAAAAAGATAAAACTCAAGAAGTCCAGTAATTCCAAAAATTCAAAAAATACAAAAGTCGAAAATCACCAAAAAATACAAAATTCTGAAAGTTCAAGGCAATAAATCAGTTCTTCTGGAGTAAACGCAACCAATAAATGAAGAAAGATAACTTCTTTTGTAAATATCAGCTTCTATGGACCATAGTTTCTTGCTGTTTCAACTTTCGAGTTCTCAGTTTTTCGAAAGTTTACTTTGCGGACTTTTCAGTTTACTCCTATTTATTATTCAATTTTTGGATTTTAAAATTTCTCAATTTTTCAAATTCTCGGTTTTCAGTTTTTTTCTTCAATTTTACGATTTTTAAATATTTCGATTTTTCAATTTTTGACTTTTATAAACTCTTTATTTGTCACTTTTTCAGGTTTTTTGGTTTTTCAATGTTTCTATTTTTTCAGGTTTCGATTTTCAACTTCACTTTTTTGATTTTTCGATTTCTCAATTTTTCAATTTTTTAATTTCTCTGTTTTTGGACATTTCAGTTTTGGGATTTTTCAGTTTACTTATTATTCAATTTTTCGATCTTACGATTTTGCAGGTTTTTGATTTTTCAATTTTTCGATTTTTTTAAGGTTTCGATATTTCGACTTTACTTTTTTGATTTTTCGATTTCTCAATTTTTCGATTCTTTAGGTTCTCAGTTTTTGGATATTTCAGTTTGGGGATTTTTCGGTTTTTCTTTCATTTTTCAGTTTTTCGATATTTCAGTTTTGGGATTTTTAATATTTCTGTTCGAGTTTTCCATTTTTGACTACTGGATTTTTGGATGTGTCAACTTTTTACTTTTTCGATTTTTAAATTTTGATTTCTCAATTTTTTGGTATTTTAATTTTTCAATATTTAAAATTTAAGATTTTTCAATTTTTCATTTTAGCTCTTCCATATTTCAATTTTTCAAATGTTTCGATTTCT